GAATACATGTCTATGAACTTTAAAATCAAGTTCAGTCGAAAAACACATTTACAAAAGGTCTATTTTTATCCAAACACTCTGTGTGTTTATACTGAAAAAGGTATTTACATTCTAAAACATGTTTTTATAAAGCGGTGTCTTTGATTTATAGAAAACATGTAGCCTTTTCATACTATCTTTTCAAAAATGAAAGTCAACATCACAGGTATTTTAGATAAATTAATCAACAGCAGTCTGTTTGTGTGTTATGTTCTAGTGTGTATTTGAAGGAAGCGAGCTTTGTCACCTTCACAAATGTGTATTAAAGGGAACGTTTACCTAGCTTAACAGCGACGAAAGCTTTCAGACCCTCTATTTTCATTTCCACAAAGACACGTGGACGACGTCGGAAACCGACTTTACTTTAAAGTGGTCAATTTCTGGACAATGGTGGTAATGAATAAATGTTCATTAATTGAAATTGTAAATGTCTTGAATGGTTTTATCCTCTGGGGTTTAACGTTGATTCGGCTAGTTAGCTTTAAGATAAATATCTGGCAAAATTTTTGTTTAAAATACTTTAAAAAAATATTAACTTCTATAGTTAAAGAAGTCATTTTGGGATTCAAAGTTGAACTAATGTGAAGCAAATATACCTGAAATATAAACATTTTTAAAAAAGTTTTTTAGATGACTTTTTAGATTTAAGAAAATTTTAACAGAAGCTTGCAAGGTTTAGAACATGGTCTTGGTTGAAAGCTGTGTTGCCTAAATTTGACGTCAGCCCACCGTTATTGCTCAGTTATCAAGGTAGACTGCTATTCTTGGATGGATCAGTTTAAGAAACTAATTCAAGTAGTCGGTGTCGAGTTTTGTGTGGATTTTATCTGTATAGGAATCTGCTGTGAATTTATGACTTATGTGTGTTTCTAAGGAAATTTAAACATGGATTTAGAAAGAAAAAAAGAAAAATGAAGGTTTTAAATTAAGTTAGGTTTTAAAATTTGATTTAATTTAAAATTGTGATAAAATTCTAAAGGGTTATAGTTTAAAGAGGATATTTGTGTGATGAGGTTAAAAATTCTAAAACTGGAATATTTTTGAAACCTTTTCCAAAAAATATTTGTCAAAATTAAAAGACTAGCTAGATCATGTGAATCTGCCTGGAATACGTTCATCTTTGTGTTGAAATTGTGTAACCTTGACAACCTAAAAATGGCTGCCTTCAGGAGGATAATTTGATGGATATAAGGAAACAAATTTTAACAGCTTTTAAAACATCAATTATTTATTAATAAGTACTTTAACTTTGTGTATAAATAATGAATTTAAGAGAGGAAAAATTGAACAGCTATGACAGTTAAGTTTGTACATCAGGAGACGCAGTATTTACGTGTGTTTGGTAACCATGTTTTACCGTGATTTGAGGATTGGATTGTTCCCTCCTGGGGACCTGACTTATTCTAAAGCGCGTATTTACAGACGTCATGTGCTCATTCTAAAGATACTGAGGTCACAGGCCAAGCTGAGAGTAAGTTGTCATCAATTAGCGAAATTAAAATCGGCAAATTAAATTATTTATACAAGGTTTCAGTACTTAATACTTTCTACTCATATAGATCCTAAATGAACATATAGGACAATAATTCTACACTGTTTCCAATTTTCATTGGATGTCATACACTACAAAATCATTGTCAGTAAAAAATCAAACCTCCTTTTATATTTTAGTTAATTTTATTTGTTTGGAGATAACAGTTGTTCATTGTAAGGGTTTATCTCAAGTCAATTGAGATATGATGAAGAAATATAGGTTCTCTTTTGTTTGATTCAAATTCCTTTACAGATTTCTTTCTTTAGAAACATTTTGACTGCCAGAAAGATGGTCAAGGGAAACAAAATGTCAAAAAATAATACTGTCATTCTTTCACAGATCAGTTGCCTAGATAGGCCACCTGTCTATTATGATATCCTTAGCCTAGTATAAAATAGACTGTCTGATCAGAAAACAAGTATAAAATAGACTGTCTGATCAGAAAACAGGTATAAAATAGACTGTCTGATCAGAAAACAAGTATAAAATACACTGTCTGATCAGAAAACAAGTATAAAATAGACTGTCTGATCAGAAAACGGGTATAAAATAGACTGTCTGATCAGAAAACAATTGTCAATGTAGAAAAACTGCTGTGAGAGATTATATTATTAACATTCTTAAAAGATAAACAGTGATCAGATTACATCCCATTTCTAACAAATTCTATTTACAAATCATTTGTTATTTAGATGAGCTATCTTGAGTCATATAACATCTTTGGAGATCACATTTATTTTGAGATAGTATGTCTTGAGAGATCGCATGTTTTTTGCATATGGAGATCACAATGTCTTGAGATATCACATGTCCTGAGAAATCTCACTTTTGTGGAGATCACATGTCTTGAGATGGTACCAGTCTTTAGAGATCACCTGACTTAAGAGAATATCTGTCTTAAGAGATCACCTGTCTTGAGAGAATACCTGTCTTTAGAGATCACCTGTCTTGAGAGAATACCTGTCTCTAGAGATCACCTGACTTAAGAGATAACATGTCTTGAGAGATCACCTGTCTTGAGAGATAATATGTCTTTAGAGATCACCTGACTTAAGAGATCACATGTCTTGAAAGAATACCTGTCTTTAGAGATCACCTGTCTCTAGAAATCACCTGACTTAAGAGATAACATGTCTTGAGAGATAATATGTCTTTAGAAATCACCTGCCTTTAGCGATCACCTGCCTTGAGAGATCACATGTCTTGAGAGATCACATGTTTTGTGAGATTCCATTTCTTGAGAGATCACATATCTAGAGAGATCACCTGTGTCATTTGATTTTTTGTGATTTCTTATATTGTCTTACCACATTAATTAGTGTCACATTACAAATATCAGATCACACATCCAAATTCACTCCCATTTAAATGGCCATTTGGTATGTTGTTCACATTGACATCAGATACCTCCATCAGATCCCTCAATCTTTCAAAGACCATTCTGCTAATGTTGTGATCAATTTGTAATGTTTTTTTGTGACCATTCTGCTGATGTTGTGATCATTGTAATGTTGTTGTGACCATTCTGCTAATGTTGTAATCATTGTAATGATGTTGTGACCATTCTGCTGATGTTGTGATCATTGTAATGTTTTTGTGACCATTCTGCTGATGGTGTGATCATTGTAATGTTGTTGTGACCATTCTGCTAATGTTGTGATCATTGTAATGTTTTTGTGACCATTCTGCTGATGGTGTGATCATTGTAATGTTGTTGTGCCCATTCTGCTGATGTTGTGATCATTGTAATGTTATTGTGAACAATCTGCTGATGTTGTGACCATTGTAAAGTTGTTGTGACCATTCTGCTGATGTTGTGATAAATTTATAACGTTGTTTTGACCATTCTGCTGATGTTGTGATCATTGTAACGTTGTTGTGACCATTCTGCTGATGTTGTGATCATCGTAATGTCGTGTGACCATTCTGCTGATGTTGTTATCATTGTAACATTGTTGTGACCATTCTGCTGATGTTGTGATCATTGAAACGTTGTTGTGACCATTCTGCTTATGTTGTGATCATTGAAACGTTGTTGTGACCATTCTGCTGATGTTGTAATCATTGTAATGTTGTTGTGACCATTCTGCTAATGTTGTAATCATTGTAATGATGTTGTGACCATTCTGCTGATGTTGTGATCATTGAAACGTTGTTGTGACCATTCTGCTGATGTTGTAATCATTGTAACATTGTTTTGACCATTCTGCTGATGTTGTGATAAATTTATATCGTTTTGACCATTCTGCTGATGTTGTGATCATTGTAATGTTATTGTGACCATTCTGCTGATGTTGTGATCATTGGAAAGTTGTTGTGACCATTCTGCTGATGTTGTGATCATCGTAATGTCGTGTGACCATTCTGCTGATGTTGTTATCATTGTAACATTGTTGTGACCATTCTGCTGATGTTGTGATCATCGTAATGTTGTTGTGACCATTCTGCTGATGTTGTCATCATTGTAATGTTGTTGTGACCATTCTGCTGATGGTGTGATCATTGTAATGTTGTTGTGACCATTCTGCTAATGTTGTGATCATTGTAATGTTTTTGTGACCATTCTGCTGATGTTGTGATCATTGGAAAGTTGTTGTGACCATTCTGCTGATGTTGTGATCATCGTAATGTCGTGTGACCATTCTGCTGATGTTGTAATCATTGTAAAATTGTTGTGACCATTCTGCTGATGTTGTGATAAATATATAACGTTGTTTTGACCATTCTGCTGATGTTGAGATCCTTGTAACATTGTTGTGACTATTCTGCTGATGTTGTGATCATTGTAACGTTGTTGTGACTATTCTGCTGATGTTGTGATCATCGTAATGTCGTGTGACCATTCTGCTGATGTTGTTATCATTGTAACATTGTTGTGCCCATTCTGCTGATGTTGTGATAAATATATAACGTTGTTTTGACCATTCTGCTGATGTTGAGATCCTTGTAACATTGTTGTGACTATTCTGCTGATGTTGTGACCATTGTAATGTTGTTGTGACCATTCTGCTGATGGTGTGATCATTGTAATGTTGTTGTGACCATTCTGCTGATGGTGTGATCATTGTAATGTTGTTGTGACCATTCTGCTGATGGTGTGATCATTGTAATGTTGTTGTGACCATTCTGCTGATGTTGTTATCATTGTAACATTGTTGTGACCATTCTGCTGATTTTGTGATAAATATATAACGTTGTTTTGACCATTCTGCTGATGTTGAGATCCTTGTAACATTGTTGTGACTATTCTGCTGATGTTGTGATCATCGTAATGTCGTGTGACCATTCTGCGGATGTTGTTATCATTGTAACATTGTTGTGACCATTCTGCTGATGTTGTGATAAATATATAACGTTGTTTTGACCATTCTGCTGATGTTGTGATCCTTGTAACGTTGTTGTGACCATTCTGCTGATGTTGTTGCAGTCATTGCTAGATGGACAGAAAAAGAAAAACTTACTGGACACAGATTTCGTTGATGACAAGTCCTCTGAACATTCCGGGTCATTCAAGGGCAAGACCAGAAGGTCAAGGGGCAGCAAGGGAAAAAGTGAGTTTTTGGTTATTGAATTTGATAATGAATAAAGACTATTCAATGCAGATATACAGTGATAAATTTACGTGGGAGTCCAGAGTCCTGTAGTCATAGATTTTGCATGACTCACAGAAATCTGGATATGCTTAAATTTTGCACAAAGAGACCCATAGATTTTAACAACACAGTGGGAAAAATAAAAAAATAAAAATATGAAATATAGATTTATCCTTACATATACTGTTAACAGTAATTCAAGTTATTGAAAAAGTTAAGCAATGTTATTGTGGGCCTCTTGCCACTAGTCCTTTAGTTATAAATCAAGTTTTTATCTATTTAAGTTTGCCGTTTATATCTTAAAGCTGCATAAGTTTTCTTAGCTAAATCTTTAAACTTGCCGTAGAGGTCGCTAATTTTCAGGTACTGTAGGCTGAATTTCTTTTTGTCCGAGTCCAATTTTACCACAGTGTTTGTATACAATTTGATACCCTTTGTAACCTTTCACCCCTGTGCTTGCTACAAGGGTCTTTGGGCTCTTCCCGAGATGACAAGGAATATATTGGAAATGTGCCGGTTGTTGCGATGCGTGCCGGAGATTCGTCCCCAACCACCCTTCCACACATCTCTGGGACCCTGCCCCTCCCACCAATAGGGGAAGCCAGCCGTGAACAGACCAACATCCCTCCTGTGGTGCTGCCACCTATTGGCAATGAAGCAGGTAGGACAACTCTGTATAAAATTGATTTGTATATTTATATAAATATTTATATTACACAATTATCTTTCTCTTTTCAAGGTAGATGATTTCTTTTATCTTGCTTTATACTGTACATTGTTCTGTCTATTATATTTATGGTATCTTCACATTACAGGAATGGCAATGCTCATAAATGGTCTATCAGATTAACTTTGTCAGGAATAGCATGAATCACTGTTATAATTTCTCAATTCATGAAATTTGTGATCTGTTTATTTTGCAATTGCTGCTAAAATTGAGAATAAGTTACCAGATTTTTTTTTTTAGATTTCTTCAAATTGTATCTACGTAGTTAAACTGAAATTATATTTTCTTTAAAAAATAATTGTTTGATAACATTTATGGAATGTGAAGGTACCTTAACCTCTGTTTCAATGTCCAAAATCTGTCGTGTTTAGTTATCAGTGTTGATTGGTGATTTGTTTTACGGGAGCAGGTTTCGTTAATGTGGTGACGGGAACACTAACTTTGCTTTAAAATATACCAATTAACCGAGTTATACACATGCATTTTTTTGCCCCACCCTTGTTTTAATTTTAACTTGGTTATATGACACATGTACGCCAAGCTAAACTTGTTGGTTCTTAACATTTTGACCTGGTATAATTATTCCCTGTTTTAACGTTTTGCTTAAGCCACCCATCCCCTTCCACCCTCCCCAAACCCTTCTTAAATCCTGATGTATAATTAACCTTTAAGAAATATGTTAAATCAAAATTCAAGGAATTTAAAAAAAAAAAACATTTGATATATCCGATCAAAATTCCCATAAATAAAAAAAAAGTTTTCCAAAAGTTGATACTGATAAAATGTTAACTTATACATAATGTATCTTGGAAATTTAAACTTTTAATGCTAATTTCTTGAAATTTGAGGCAGGTACAAATATTCAATATATATGCCCTATGGATTTCATTCAAAATTGTTTCATTAATTACAAAATATTTATGAATAAATCAGGAAAAAAAGTAACATGTATTTTTAAAAAAATAGAGCTAACATTTATACTAGTTCACTTGTGAATTTGGGGTAGTTTTTGATTTGTGTCTAAAGATGTTTGTTTTGAATTCTTAGAAAATGGTATTATGATTGGTTGGTCTTTTTCTTTGTGGTGATTGGTCATATTTAACATGAATTTAATGGAATATCCTGGTTAATATTAATGTTTAAATAATTGATTGGCTCTAGGATTAAAGTATAGAATTAAAATGGAAAGTTTTTTGGTGTTGGGTATTTATTTTATGATTGTCTGTTTGTAGTGGCAATTAAACATTCATCACTTAGTGTCTTATTTCTTCTTACTTTCAACTTTAAAGTTAGTATTCTTCTGTCTTCCAAATTCTTTCATAAGACTTTTCATTCTTTCTTCTTTAGCAATACTTATACTACTACACAGAAATTCTTTCTTCTTTAGCAATACTTATATTACAACACAGAAATTGTGAATGCATGTATTTATATGGTAGTAGTTTCAATGTAGAGACCACAAGATATAGTTATTATAGTTGAACACATAAGTTAGGTGTTCCTTGCTTTATAATTTATTAAAAAGGAAATTGCATGTGTTATATTCAATGCTGAATGATTGTTGCATTACAGTTTTTGACATTTATCATCAAGATCAAAAGAATGCAAATTGTATTTTTTATTGAAAAATCAATTTTCAATTTATATCTTCTATAATTTATACATATGTAATTTTAAACTAAAATGAGATTGAATATATTTAATTTAAACACTTTTGATCTTGATACAAATGTTAAAAATTTTGTGATAGAAAAGACCTGCCATTTTGTATTAAACACAGAAGTCAAGAGCTAAATACATGTAGTGATATTTTTAAATATACAATTATATGAAAATCCTTTTATCATATAAATTGTAAAGGATACACGTCACCTTACTACTATGACATACTTCTCCTGCTAAAAGAGTTCTTAATTAAGAAACCTCAGAAAAACCTCTTTGCTTCTGTGTTATAAGTATACAGATCTGAATACACTGTGTTTGCAATGCCGCATCACCCGCTGTTAATTAGTGCTATATACGCATGGAAAAGTAGTTCTCTAAAAGTGTTCTAATCTGCTGCACAAATTTTGGGGTTTTAAATCTTGGACTGCTTGGAGGATCTTGTACTATTTTTTTTTTTAAAAACATGATCATAATTTTTCTGGCCTTACCCAAACATATATTGTTGAAAAGTACCATTTGTTTATTAGCATTTAAACTGATTTTCAAATCCATTTAAAATAAAATCTAAAATTTCTCAAAAAGCCTATGAATTTGATGGTAGTTCAATTTTATAATATGTCTTGAGGTTATGACAATGTATAATTATCCCCATATAATATGTTAACTTAGTTCTGACTATTCTAGATAATAAGATGAGAAGATCTTTAAAATATTTCAATGTTTCATGCTTTATAATATCATAATCCTGATTCCGCCCTTTTGAACAGATGCATTTTCACTTGAAAAAATATTGAAGAAATTCACATATTTTTACTTAAAATGACGACTAAATTGTACCTACCGGTAAATATTTTATTCTCAAAATTTACTGTCAAAAAGTTTGGAAAATAATGAAAAGCATAAAAATTTGGAGCATCAAAAAGTATTTAAAATTCATAAATATCTATAAAAGCATAAATATTTGTGCGAGTCTTATATTCAACATTTCACAATGGGACCAGCAGATTAGAACCTTTTGGTAAGAGAACTGACCTTTGACCCCAGCTTGTGCCTAACCTTGTTACACGCCTCTGTGTCTGTTTAGTCCCTCTAGTGAGCGTTCAACCACCTACCCCCCAGCACACATTCCTATCCACACACGGAGCGCAAGAACCCGGCCTCAACACACAGGCTGAGGAGGATTCGCAAGGTAACGTCAAACAAGGGCAGATAACTGTGTTGATTTGATATAGCATGTTTCTGATTTTCAGATTTATAGTTTGGCCCTTTAAATGCAATGTGACTTTTGAATGTTTTTATGTTGACATTGCTTTATTTGACCATTGAATGATTGTTTTTGAAAGAAATCTGGTTTAAGAAACAGAAAATTCAAACTTAAATTGGTTTGTGTAGTTTCAGGAATTGTTTAGTAAAATATTTAAAAGACCCGCTTTCAAGATCACAAGGGTAAATAAGTTTGTTGAAACTTCAAACAATTTCAGAGAGAACGTTATTACAGACCATGTTTTTACAGAAAAGCATTGATTTAAAATTTAATTTAAAATTAAATTCATTGTTTTGAAATTCTATATCAAAGTATCGTTATTGTGAATTATTTTTATTTTAATCACGAATAAAGTTGGCTTATGTCTGTGAAACTTTTTTTTGATAAAACAATGCCAGGAAATGTAAATCTAATAATAAACTAGTTCAAGTAAGTACAAATCTAAAATATCTGCCATTAATCCAAGCATTTTTTACTGATAATGACCATTAATTAGTCCCCATCGGTTTCCAGGGGAGGGTACTATAGGTTTGCATGCATCTGAGAAGTTTGTCCAGGACATATCTTCTATACTATTTCACCTTGAGTAATCAGTTTTGGTGTACAAGGACATCTTGGGATGGCGGAGTGCAGAGTGCAAGAATTAGGTCACTGTGACCTATGACTTCACTTTCACTTTTGAAAAAGGTTGCCGAAAGCATATCTTCTGTACGATTTCAGCTAGAGTAAGCAGATTTGGCGTACACGGACATCTTTGGATGACGGAGTAGAGAGTCCAAGAATAGCTCACTATGACCTCACTGTATCCTATGCTTTGACCTTAATTTTTGAAAAGGTGTGTCCATGGCATATCTTCTTTACTATTTAATATGGAGTGACCAGATTTGTTGTACAAGGACATCTTTGGATGGTAGAGTGCAAGAATAAGTTCACCCTAACCAATGACTTGACCTTTGACCTTAACTTTTGAAAAGGTTTGTCAAGGGCATATCTTCTATACTTTTTCACATTGAGTACCGTAACCAGATTTGATGTACAAGGACATCTTTGGATGACAGAGTGCAGAGTGCAAGAATAAGGTCACTGTGACCTTTGACTTGACCTTTGACCTTAAAGGTTTGTCCGGGGCATATCTTTTATACTATTTCACATTGAGTACCGTAATCAGATTTGGTGTACAAGGGCATCTTTGGATGACAGAGCGCAGAGTGCAAGAATAAGGTCACTATGATCTCACTGTGACATATGCTTTGACCTTTGACCTTAACTTTTGAAAAGGTTTGTCCACTATACTATTTCACATGGAGTAACCAGATTTGTTTTGTCCTGAACCTCTTAGCTAAACCAGTTAAAACATAAAAATAGTCCTTTTATCCCAATATTAAAAACCCATCTGTTAATGAAAGCCTTTTTTGAGGCAAATGATTCACTGTTTGGTTGAACGGTAGGTAGTCAGTTTGGAACAGCCTAGAGTTTTGACGATAACTCTTGACAACTCATTGATTTAACTTCCTAGGAATGGATTCATAAGATTTGGCTGGTAGCTAAATCTTTAGATAGAACTCAAAAGTTTGAGAAGGAAAATGACATTGACCTACTTACAAGGTCACAGGGGAAAAGATGTCAAACAATTTCTGAAGAAGAACCAATAACGTAGAATCTTTTAATAATATTTGTCTGGTAATTTCAACAGATGGAGCCAACAAAGTTTGCGAGGGAAATATTTGTAGTACAATATATGTTTAATGAGAATATTTTGCTATGACTGCTTAAATATTCAGGTGAGCGATACAGGCCCTCTGGGCCTCTTGTCACTTAACCATAAATGTTAAACCTTGTCATTGCTAGGCGACTAGATCTATACACAACATTAATAAACAAGTAAACAATCAAATCAGCTTCGGGTCAGTTGTTTGATACTTTGACAGCTTAACATGTCATTAACATTTTTTTAAAAATAAAAACCTTCAAAATAATACAATCATTTTTTATGAGAGCTGTTTTATATAATCATTTTAATGAGTCCTTCATAATGTTTTTCCTAAGAATTTTAATATTTATAGAAATATTCCATATTTAAAATATTCAAAAAGGTGTTGTTAAGTTGATCAGCCATTGAAGATTTAGCAGCGCAAGTCATACATACAACAATCAATACCCATAATGGTGACACTTACACTGATGTAAGGGAGTATATATACATTGTATATATATGTGGATAGTAGTTACTCCAATAAACACCCAATGAAACTCATGTAACAGAATATTTATACATTGTATATATACGTGGATAGTAGTTACTCCAATAAACACCCAGCGAAACTCATGTAACAGAATATTTATACATTGTATATATATGTGGATAGTAGTTACACCAATAAACACCCAAGGACACTGATGTAACAGAATATTTATACATTGTGTATATAAGTGGATAGTAGTTACTCCAATAACCACCCAACGAAACTCATGTAACAGAATATTTATACATTGTATATGTACGTGGATAGTAGTTACTCCAATAAACACCCAGCGAAACTCATGTAACAGAATATTTATACATTGTATATATATGTGGATAGTAGTTACTCCAATAAACACCCAATGAATCTCATGTAACAGAATATTTATACATTGTATATGTACGTGGATAGTAGTTACTCCAATAAACACCCAGCGAAACTCATGTAACAGAATATTTATACATTGTGTATAATTGTGGATAGTAGTTACTCCAATAAACACCCAACGAAACTCATGTAACAGAAAATATATACATTGTATATATATGTGGATAGTAGTTACTCCAATAAACACCCAATGAAACTCATGTAACAGAATATTTATACATTGTGTATATATGTGGATAGTAGTTACTCCAATAAACACCCAACGAAACTGATGTAACAGAATATATATACATTGTGTATATACGTGGATAGTAGTTACTCCAATAAACACCCAGCGAAACTCATGTAACAGAATATTTATACATTGTGTATATATGTGGATGGTAGTTACTCTAATAAACACCCAAGGACATTGATGTAACAGAATATATATACATTGTGTATATACGTGGATAGTAGTTACTCCAATAAACCCAACGAAACTCATGTAACAGAATATTTATACATTGTGTATATACGTGGATAGTAGTTACTCCAATAAACAACCAACGAAACTCATGTAACAGAATATTTATACATTGTGTATATACGTGGATAGTAGTTACTCTAATAAACCCCCAACGAAACTCATGTAACAGAATATATATACATTGTATATATATGTGGATAGAAGTTACGCCAATAAACACCCAAGGACACTGATGTAACAGAATATTTATACATTGTGTATAATTGTAGATAGTAGTTACACCAATAAACACCCAAGGACACTAATGTAACAGAATATATATACATTGTATATATATGTGGATAGAAGTTACTCCAATAAACACCCAAGGACACTGATGAAACAGAATATTTATACATTGTGTATATATGTGGATGGTAGTTACTCTAATAAACACCCAACGAAACTCATGTAACAGAATATTTATACATTGTGTATATATGTGGATAGTAGTTACTCCAATAAACACCCTACGAAACTGATGTAACAGAATATATATACATTGTGTATATATGTGGATAGTAGTTACTCCAATAAACACCCTACGAAACTGATGTAACAGAATATATATACATTGTGTATATATATGTGGATAGTAGTTACTCCAATAAACACCCTACGAAACTGATGTAACAGAATATATATACATTGTGTATATACTTGGATAGTAGTTACTCCAATAAACACCCAACGAAACTCATGGAACAGAATATATATACATTGTATATATATGTGGATAGAAGTTACGCCAATAAACACCCAAGGACACTGATGTAACAGAATATTTATACATTGTGTATAATTGTAGATAGTAGTTACACCAATAAACACCCAAGGACATTGATGTAACAGAATATATATACATTGTGTATATACTTGGATAGTAGTTACTCCAATAAACACCCAACGAAACTCATGTTTCAGAATATTTATACATTGTGTATATATGTGGATAGTAGTTACACCAATAAACACCCAAGGACACTGATGTAACAGAATATTTATACATTGTTTATATAAGTGGATAGTAGTTACTCCAATAAACACCCAACGAAACTGATGTAACAGAATATATATACATTGTGTATATATGTGGATAGTAGTTACTCCAATAAACACCCAAGGACTTTGATGTAACAGAATATTTATACATTGTGTATAATTGTAGATAGTAGTTACACCAATAAACACCCAAGGACACTGATGTAACAGAATATATATATATGTGGATAGTAGTTACTCCAATAAACACCCAACGAAACTCATGTAACAGAATATTTATACATTGTGTATATATGTGGATAGTAGTTACACCAATAAACACCCAAGGACATTGATGTAACAGAATATATATACATTGTGTATATATGTGGATAGAAGTTACTCCAATAAACACCCAAGGACACTGATGTAACAGAATATTTATACATTGTATATATATGTGGATAGTAGTTACTCCAATAAACTCCCAAGGACACTGATGTAACAGAATATATATATATGTGGATAATAGTTACTCCAATAAACACCCAACGAAACTCATGTAACAGAATATTTATACATTGTGTATATATGTGGATAGAAGTTACTCCAATAAACACCCAAGGACACTGATGTAACAGAATATATATATATGTGTGGACAGTAGTTCATTATTCAAATAAACATCCAAGGCTTTGCAAAGCATATTTTCCACTGAACATAAAAAGAAATTACATTCCATTTTCAACGTTTATTTTCAATTTTTAATACAGAATGTGAGCGATATATATGTACCTTCAAGCAGATTTCTCAAAATCAATATATTGAATATTACGATGGATTTTTTTTTAGAAAATGAAATTAATTTATATGATTTATTATATAATTTAATACATAAAATTTAAATATTGATGTGACTAATAGGACATTTCAATCAAAATAAAGTTATAATAGTTAAAGAAAGATGGCACCCAACAGATTACATTTTGAAATGAACTGATCACAAAAAGTTCATGATAATTAAAATAATTAACTGTTTACTGCGTAGTGTATCCTTTCTTATAGAAATAGTTTTTTTTGTATGTCATTCTTTTGATTGACAAGATTTGTTTCCAAATAAATTTGCATTTGTACTATGGCGGAAAAATGTGTGAATACTTAAATACACGGTAATTTTCCTGCAGTTTAATTTTTCACCCTCCGTTATGAGAGAGAATTTATCATTCCAGTGAACATTTGGGAACAACATAATATACATAGCAAGTAAATGTGAAGGGCATTTTAAGATTGGGCAAAAAGTGATTTTACCATCAATGGGCGAACGTATCCCTGTTTACAGTAAACGATATTTTAGAAGAAGATATTAAGATGATGTATTTTTCTGTGCAAAGAAATTTTTCTAGATTTACTTGAAGATGTTACTGATCCATGATCTTTGTGTTGTACAAAAACGATTTAAAATTTTGAAAAAGTCTATGTCGCTGTGTTTAACTAATTGTTGGTATCGTATGTATCTGTTGCGTAGATATGGCTGATGGAGTGTGGGGTATGGGAGATAATGACATACTTCGACAGAAGGCAATGGACCTGGAACGTCGTCGAAAGGAGGAAAAACTCCGACGGAGGCGTGGAGAAGGTAAACCTATCAGTGAGGCACTCATAGGTCAAAACCTAAAGCTTTATGCTGCTGAAAGCTTCGTAAATCTTCTCAGTAATTATAAAGTGTGAGGTATTTCATGTAAAAATGGCTTCTTCTCAAATAAAGTTGCCTCCCAAGAATTTCATTGAACAACAAAGTTGCTATTAAACATGATCTGCTGATATAGTGATCAGTGACAGTGTGTTCTATTAATGGTGAATTCTTGTCTCAGCTGTGATGGGAAAATTGTCAAAATGTGAGGTATATGATACATGTATGTTGTGTGAAGAAAAAATGTGCACGCATACACTAAACACACGGAGGCACGTCCTTAACTGACCTTAGCTGTTAATAGCACGTGAAACAAAATTAAACCAAACCAATCAGTGTCTATAAAAAGAAAACATTTTGTATGCGCTTTAATAGCCACTTTTGCTATTAAAGCTGATGTTTGTCTTTTAAAATTTTATTTGTTTGGTATTGTTTCCTTTCGTGTGTTTTATCTACCTCTTATTGGACCTAAAGACCTCTTCTGTGTTGATCCGCCATTAAGAACGCAACAGACAAAATAAGATAAAAATGATCAGACTTGGTAAAACAAAACCATCACCAGCTCTCTGTTTGTAATTTTTGAAAGGTTTAATATGTTGTCTCCCTTAACTAGGCCCCTCCGTATCGGGAGGGTCGTACCTCCAGAGCAGCAGTGAAAGTCTCGGGGCTGGTAGTGGACATTCCGTCCCAGCTGCCAGGCCTGTTCGTAACCACTGGAAGGGGAGTAACCAGAGTCTACGCAGTATAGGCTCCAAGAAAGGTAGGTAACTCCAGTAACTTGAGATGGCTCACTCAGGGCAGGTAGCTTTTTAGTGATTTTTCTTGAAAATAAATTCATTTTCAATTCTGAGATTTAATATCTTGCTGGTTATTAATTGTTCTGTTTGATAAATGAATATCTGTTATTATCAGCCATCTGGAATTGTATAGCTGGTCAGGTTGTTTTGCATAAATTTGGATAAAGGTTGGAAAAATATATCCCAAATTCATTCAGTTGTGTGTAATTTGGATGATCACCAGCCATCTAAAAATCTGCTTTACAAAATAAATGCTATTAAAGTTTGTGCAATATGGTTTTGCTGACATCTCTATCGAAAAGAAAAAAATATTAATAAAATTTTAATTGATAAAATAAACTTAAAAAAATATCAGTCTCAACTTTGGTATACTGCTATTAAAATTTGTGCAATATGGTTTTGTTGACATCTCTATCGAAAAGAAAAAAAATATTGATAAAATTTTAATTGATAAAATAAACTAATAAATATTTTTCAGTATCATCTTTGGTATACTGCGGCTTAACATGTAGAAAATAGATAATGATAACTTATTAGAAGAAGTTAATTTATATATATTGTTACATATGTTTCTGTTAAAATATTGTGAGTTGAGAATTTACCGTATTTTCCTTGAAGCTTGATAACTCGCCTGCAGTTTCTAGATGTCACTTCTTACTTTCTTAATGATTTTCTACCTATTAGATCTTAAATTAATTTAATTTTGTCCTATTTGTAGATGTGGTTATCATTTCTATGCAGCTATATTTGAATTGATGTGTAAATAAAATTTAATTTAAGAACAGATCGATTCTTTTTTAGAATAGATTTGAAGAAATAACTCTTTAAAAGTAAAAAAAAAAAAAAAAAAAAATCATTTTATTATGTAACTCACTCTTAAATAAAGATAAAAATATTTTTTGTTTAAAAATTCAAAGTTTATGAAATTGATATGTTCACATTATTTTTCTTTTAGAAGTATATTTTTCTTAAATTTCCATCACATATAAATATCTTCTCTTTCACAAGTTAGTAGACTTTGAAAAAAAATGTTAAAAAGAAATGTTAAATAATTCTAAGATCGTTTTTATGCAGAAAATTTTGCAAATAGGAAATTATCTCCCTTAAAATTGAAAAAGCAGTTTTAAAAACTCAGAATACTTCTATGATACTGCAAAATTTGGGTAACAACAGGTAAACTAAAGATGAGTAGAAAAAAAAAAAAAAAAAAAAAATATTGTTAATGCCGCCTTGTTTTACAGCTGACAGTGATGGACATCTATCTCCAGAAACAGAAATTGATGCTCGTAAATTTTCTTTTCAATTTGTGATTTTGTCCTATCAGTAGATTTTCTCGTCCAGTTTGTAAACTTGGTACTTTTCTGTTCTATCAATACATGTATTTATTCCAGTATATATAAATATGTATTATGCCTCTGTGGGTCTTTGTGGTTCAAGCTTAAAGTTTGCAATAGTTATATTTTATTCTTTTGTTTATTTCCTTTTATAAATGGCACTCAGTTTTATTTTTATTTTTGTTCATTTTCTTTTTTTTTAAATCATTAAATATATTCCTTGGGATCCTGGTAAATAGCATTCCTGTTTCCTGTCACCTGATTTTAATAAAAGGTTTTATGAAGTTATTTTGACTTAGCCCTAAATGTATCAATTTAATCACTTTTTCAATTTTCCAATTCCCCCTTTTTTGTTCAAATAATCATCAATTCTTGAAATAATTTTGTGAATAAATTTGATTACACATAGATATCTGATACATTTTATTGAATTTCAGTTTGTGGGGAAAATTTAAGATAGTAATGAAAGTATTTTTGTATGAAGTACTTCTGTTTGATTCTGGCTCTATATCTACAATGTTTTATTAAATGGAGTTGGGTTCTGTTTTTGGTGTCTGTCAAATTTCTAGTGTGATTTAGAATATAACTATGGTAACTCAATAAAACAGGAGAAGACATCTGTTATATTTAAAAGTGAGTTATCTTTCCCTTGTGTTTATTCTATTTCCCTTCTACTTCCTACCAATAGCTCGACTGGAGTGGTAAATCATATTTTTCTGAAAATATTTGTTAATGTGGGATCAGGTTCAAACAATATAGATTTACAACATAATATAAAATGTGTATAATTTCAATGTATAATTAATTATTTGTTGCTTTATCAGTTAAAATTAGGTCAGAGCTTGTTTGTTGCTTTCATCTGTTCATTAATCATTGTTTAAAATCATTTTATTTAATTAATGTCAACATGTTTTGATGTCTGCAAGTTGTTCATTTTACAGAAAATATCCTCACGAAGTTACAAAACAAATATAATGTATGGATTTGTAGATTGTCTTGATTTATTTTAGCCTTTGCACAAAAATAGTGGGAAAAAACAAAATTTAAAACAAAAATAATAATTTAAAAGACAACTATTAACACAATCTTCTGTCCAATCTTGTTGACAGTTAAAAAATAAAAATATTTTTTTTAACTTCTTGAGGAAATTTATTAATCATAATTTTTACAATCATCAATGTTAGAATTGCACTAGAGGATTTAAGTGTAATTTCAGTAGATTAGAAGGTTTTGAACAATTTTTAATTAAATTTTGATTTTGATTCTGTTACACCTTACCTGGTATGGACTGGTTTGTGTTCAATGTTTTATTTTGTATTGTACATGTTTTGTTTGGCTGTTAGGGAATCACAAGCATACAAACTCAACTGACACTTAAATATTTATAGTGCTTTGTCACTTCACAAGCTTAAATAGTATACCTAAAAAGTGGGAGGTTGCGGAAATATTTATTGGACAATTATTTCACTGACTTTAATACTTTAAATCTGTATATCTGATATTTATGTATTAAATATTTACATATAGTGTGAATTTTATATGTATTCCTATGGGACTGGATAATAATTTTACCTGTTTCACTTTTAATTTCATTTTCTTGCATCATGCCAGCACCTGTTAAATGGAAAGTTTCACATTGGAGTCTGTAAATATTTCATTGTATATATATTATAGAAAAAGATTAATTGCAATATAATGTCAGATTTTGTTTATAGAATAGAACATTGCCATTACAAGAAACTTGTTGAACACATTATTTGTCAATGATTTATTCCTAGGTTTTGATATATGTTAACAAGCTTAGTTTTCAAAATTTCTAAGAATTAAATATTGATTGTCCTTCCTTATTTTATTTAAATGACCTTTTAGATAATAAGGATAAACACTCGGAGAAGAGAAGGACTTCAGTTAACAATTAATTTATCAAACAAAATCAAAAATTGAATTATTTAAGAATTTTTCTTGATCATGAAAACTGATTAAGAACTTGCATATTCTGGTATAAAAAATACCTCCATTGCATAAACACATTATTGAAAATTAAGAATTTTTTTTTTTTTTTTTTTTTTTTTTTTTTTTTTTTTTTTTNTACTATATTCAAAATCTCTTCATATACTTTGGTGAATGTAGTCAAATTTAATTTAATTGATAAAATAAACAAGAAAGAAACAAAACTTTTAGATGTAAATGGAGGACTCGTCAACTACTGATCCTATATTTTACCAATGTTTATTGCTGCATGTATCTAGGTATTATAATTGCACAGCATCAAAATGAAAGAAAAAATATATCAAGGGAAGTAACTCTAAGCCAGAAAAAAACTCCTTTGACATGGGAAGTAACTCTAAGCTCTTAGAGGAGAACAAAATCAGCTATAAAGTGGAAGTCTTCGGGAATAAACTTCTATTGTGGTAACCTATAACTTAAAATAGAGAAGAAATTTATAAATAAGTTTTCTTTATTTTTGTCATTATAGAATCATTTTATTTGAGCCAGTTTGTTTGTGTATATATATATATATGAATGCTGCTTCAGTGTATGTCAATGTTGCAAACATATATATATCTATCAGTGTAGTGGAACATGTCCTTGGAAATTGTTATTCATTGAAAATATTTTGCCAGAAATGAAAGTATTCAATTAAACAAGTTCTGTTGAGCATAAATATTCTGTTTAAAAAGTATTTTTGATTTCTGTAATAAAAGATACTTTTTCTGGAAGTTAATTATGCTGCAGAAATTAATCTAGATTTTTTTTCATTTTTGACAATGGAACATACAAAATTATACTAACAAAGTTCCAATATGCTTATATATATTAAGTAATATATATAAAATTGTGTTCATTAACATAATCTGTATATCTCATATCATGTTACTCTTGAGCAGAATTATTTAAAGTTGAATTTCTCTCAATAGACATGATTGTTTTACTCTAATGAAACATTCAATATGAAAAAGGATTTTCTCTTATATCAAGTTAATTATTCTGAATAATCACAATAATATTAATGAATGTTTTCTTTATCATAAACTATGAGTTTGTTCATTTGAAATGTTTCAATGTGAAAAATGTTTGAATTGGTAATAATATATAAAAATATTTTTCATTTAATTATTAAAAGTAAGATATTAATTAAAACAAATGACAGGCAATTTAAATACAAATTATAAAGGATTCTGTAAAACTTACCAATTAGGGCTTACTTTTCAAATAAATCATAGCTATGTTGGCTTAGTTTTTACTCATCAAACAATGGTATGCCTGCACAACAGATGTGACTTGAAATATTTTTCACACCAGTGAAACTCATGATTATTAAAAACAGATTTGTCATCAATAACAGAAGACAATTCCATATAGAGTTGCTCTGTAGTCAGTTAAATCCTTCACCCCTGAAATTTCATAGTGAACTATTCCAACCTTTGAATTGGAAGAGATCAAATATGTCTTCAGGGGTGAATGAGTTAATGCCAGAGTTTTAAGTGTATTTAAGGATTCCTGTAACACTGTAAAAAGTCTCTAGCCATCGTTGGATATTTTTTTTCTCAGTATAGCTATAACATTAATAAATCATTTCTAAAAGATAGGCATACATTGCAGAAATCTTATGAAAAAATGATATTTATGAAATAAACAGTACTCAGAGTTTAAAAATGCTGACCAGAATTCAAACCCTGGACCATGAGTCATTATACAGTTGTTCCTACCAACTGAGCTACCAAAGAGGAGCTTCATTTATGTACAAAAATCAACTGTTTAATCTTTGGGTGTTTCCCTGCAGTGGGACAGGGATCCTTAACTTAATGCCCCATTTTTCAGTTGTTTTGATCCATTACTAATCTAATCCTTTTAACTTATCTAACATCACAATTTTCTGCTAAAATTGTTTATTGTTGTATTCATATAATCATCAAATTAAAGAAAGAAAAAATTGTAATTTTTATAAAATTTTTGAAATCTTAGTATCATTTTTTTTTTTTTTTTGTGAATTGCATTAATAGGACATCATTTGATAGAACATATCATTTTTTCCATTAATATTTTTTTTCTAAATTGCTGTAATATTTTTCTTTTTATGTTTCTACTATCCTCATTTGTAAATAGAAAAATTATTTTAGCATTTAATTTTCAGCATTTAAGATTTTCAGTGGTTAAATCATCATTTTTTCACAGTAATTATAGTTCTGTTTCCTTAATTAGTTTTGATTTTGTTATTGCCACATGACAGGAAGTGGAGACGAAGGTTCACTCAAAGGAAGCGTGATATTTGGACCAGACGGTCAGGTGATAAATGTCGGAGGTGCTATCCAACCATCGCCTCGTTTAGAGGCGACGGGAATGATCGATCAGGTTACAGATGCCAATCGATTCTTCGGGAAAGGTAAGAGACCTAACTCTGGTGTACATTTGATACCTTACAATTTAGGCTATAGGATTTTTTGTTTTACTTTCCATCAAAACCTGAATAAGTGTAATATAAGTACAAGTTTTACAAAGCTGACTGATAAAAGTAAGGAAATGTTTTTCTTACATAATAACTATTCTGTGTTGCCTATTAAAAATTATCATACCTGTCATGGTCTTGTGAAATTCAGAGGGGTAGATTTAGTTTTGTTTTTAAAGAAGAAAAAGAATTACAAACACCTGGATTGCTCTTTTGATAATAAGCTAATGGTAGCAAGTCGGATAGATACTAATTGCTTGCATGCCATGTTGAATTTTCTAGGTGTCAAAAAGCCAGCTCCTATAAGTAAAGGTAATTGATTAAGCTTGTCCCACAGGCACTCGGCCCTTCTTAGGTAGATATATATATATCCTGCAGGCATGTAGCCATCCTTATATCAGCATTTTCCACAGGCATGTAGCCATCCTTATATCAGCATTTTCCATAGGCATGCAACCCCTTCTTATATCAACATATTCAAAAGGCATGCAGACCCTCCTTATATCAGCATTTTCCATAGACATGCAGCCCCTCCTTATATCATCATTTTCCACAGGCATGCAGCCCCACCTTATATCAGCATTTTCCATATGCATGCAGCCCTCCTTATATCATCATATTCAAAAGGCATGCAGCCATCCTTATATCAACATTATCACTGTCATGCAGCTTTCCTTATATCAGCATTTTCCACAGGCATACAGCCATCCTTATATCAATGTTTTCACTGGGATGCAGCCCCTCCTTATATCAACATTTTTCATAGGCATGCAGTCCTTCCCTATATTGACATTTTACACAGGCATGCAGCCCTTCCCTATATTGACATTTTACACACGCATGCAGCCCTTCCCTGTATTGACATTTTATACAGGCATGCAGCCAGCCTTATATCAACATTTTACATAGGCATGCAGCCCTTCCCTATATTGACATTTTACACAGGCATGCAGCCCCTCCTCATAGCAACCTGTGTATCAGATGTATGAGAGAGTGTTGCGTAAAACATAATTTTGTCTGTTTTTCATAACTATGAAATTATATCATTTACGTGAATGATAGATTTATCATCTTTATCCAACATAAGCCCACGCCTGGTAATAAGCCCATCCATATTTATTGCAGTTCAGAAGAAATCCCAACCATTCTTTTTCATTGTCCTGTAAAAAGCCCATCACTTACTTTTTGTAGAGTTTATGTGCTGTATACCCAGGGCGTATTGCAGGATAAATACAATGTTACTAGTTTTACAGGAATAAAACATAAAGTTCAGAATTCAAGAAAATACTTAGGTAAGAAATAAAAAGCAAAATATTATCCTTTTGATATTTGATACAGACTTTCTTTTAATGACCTGCTTTCCAGTTAAATCATTATAAATCTTTAATGTTGTTGAATCCCTGATTTTTTGTCACTGAATAATGCATTTTTTGAAGAATGAAGACTAGTAGAAAGTTAAGTGATTATTGATGCCCTATACACATGTTTCTTATTGCAGGACAACACATATCCTTATTAGGTTAGAAATATATGCTTGAATATAACTGGATTACTTAAATTTCACAAACGCATGTTTTGAATTTGACTCCGTCTTCTTGGGAAACTTGCAATTGTGTCAAGACCTTTAAACTGGTCCCTAAAATAATTTGCTAAAAATTGAACATCTAATGAAATATAGGTAATCTACAGTATAGATATGTATGCATATATATATATATTATTCAAAAGAATGCTAAGCTAGGCCAAATAAAGACGTATATCTGTTTTCATCATATTACTGTTCCCTTCCCTAGATTTTGACAGGAAATGACAAATATACAAGTATATGACTATTACTTATGATGTTCTTAAAAGAAAAAAATGTCTGTTTTTTTGGCTTGGCCTGGACACCAAACATTTTCAAAGATTTTTTTTATTGAAAACAGATGTTTGTTTTTACTTGGCCTTAATGACTTGAAGCACTGGTATTATATTAGACAACAATTGAATGTGCATCTGGGTTTATGAGATGCCTGTAATTATGACCTTATGACCTCTGCAGATGTAATATTAGGATCGTTGACAATAGACCTGCCATTTCTCCGTATGTATGGTACGTTATTGAATAAAGGTTGGACGGTTGATGTACTAAATCCTTTATAAGCTTCATTATGGAAATGTAATGATTGATACAGTTAATTGTAAATTGTTTGTTACTATGATGGTAAAGGATATTGATATTGCTGTGATTTATCACATACCTGTTGAATCTTGTTATAGTAATACAACCAATTTTCAAACCATGAAATACAACGTTCTGTATTGCACATTTGCAATACAGAATGTTGTATTTACCTACTAGACGGAACTACTTTTTATGGGAATCCCCTTGTCATGGCGAACTGAAAAGTTCCCAGTATTTGCAAAAAATATCAAAGTTTATAAAATCTTTGTATCAATCTCTACCAAATATGTAAGGTATGTGATAAAAGCAAGACCACAGACTTGTGTTTTTCCAACGAATCAGAAAGCACTCATTTATTGCACGGACATATATATTCACTTGTGCGCTCCGCGCACTAGAGAATATATTCGTCCGCACAATAAACTTGTGCTTTCTGATTCTTTAGAAAAACACAAGTGTGTGGTCTTGCATATGTATCTGTCATTGAACATCAAACAGAATGGTTAATGTACTAAATCCTTTATTAGCTTCATTGTGGAAATGGAATGATTGATACAGTTAATTGTAAAATGTTTGTTACTATGATGGTAAAGGATAGATATATTGCTTAGATGTTTCTGTCATTGAATATCAAACAGAATTGTTGATGTACTTAATCCATTATTAGCTTCATTGTGGAAATGGAATGGTTGAAGGAACATTTAATTTTAATTTTCATGGCTTTTATAATGAATCATTGTTGGAAATTTGACACTTTTACATTCAAGGATGTAATATCAAATATTCATATTGAGGGGATTTTTCATGTATGCTTATACATGGAAATGGTCATAAACATTTCATCATCTACTAACAAATTGCAACATCCACATTTTTTTTAACAGATTATTCATAAAATTATAATTTGTTATTTTTGATCAGTGGTCCTTTGTGTTATACCCAAGCTTTAGAGTTAGCTTCATGTATATCCATCACATTGCATGTCATCTTTATTATATCATATATTCATAGATCCTCATTCACAGATATATATCCTATATTAGATGTTTCTCTTTATATTCCATAAACAGCATATTTATTCTTTTTATCAAGAAACATGTTTCACTAAAATATTTCATCCGTAAGATTGGAAGCAATGCATATTGAACTTATTTTTACAATTCATATATTACATTTAAGCAATTATATTGTAAAAACCATTGAACTTATATGAAAACAATTTGATGTGCAATTTCTGAAAAAAAATCAGCATCACTATTTTACCTAATAAGAATAATGCAATGAAAGGGCAATAACTCTGATAGAAATAATTTGACTAATTGCTCAATTGCGACTGCATGATTTTTCTTGACTTTGCTTGTGGTTGTTTGAATTTATTTGAGTTTTATTTTGATTGATGGCTGTTATTTATCAGATCTTGTGAGTGACGAGTCGGATGATGAGCCTGACGAATGGAAACACAGTAAAGCCCTCCGTCGTCGGGAGGTAATGAGACGAGGTAAGTACGTTAATATACCTGTTAATTACTTGAACTGGGAACAATTGTGACGCGGTACTCTAGGATATTGAGATTTATTAATATTTACCTGTTAATTACTTTCATTGGAAAGTAAAGCAACAAAGTATGTTTGGATATTATTTATAATATTTGTTGTATTTTCAAAACATTTTATTCTTTAAAATATTCAGCTTTTATTTGAGAATAGACAAATCAATAAAAAGAATTGTCAGATTTAAATAGCTTATATGTGAGTTTCTTTTTATTAGACAACAAGTGTTTTTGTCTGATTCAAAACCAGTATGATCAATAAAAATATATTTACTGTAATAAGAAAAAATCTCAAGAAATTCTATAAAATTGCCTTTCAATGTATTTGATAAAAAACAATATTAAATTTTAGAAGTGGTGCGAGAATAAAAATTATATTTACACGTCTGTTATTATTTATGATGAGAAAAACCTAAGGAAGATTTTTTTCAAATAAAAAGAAAGGGGGGCTTTTAAGAAAAAAAATTACAGAGAGATTAAAATGAAAATGTGTGAATATTATATTGAATGAAATATATGAGATATTTGCTCTATACAGCTGAGGAGACAAACATACTACACAGTATACAGGTATTACACACACTGAATGGTGTATCATACCGTTTGATTTCGGAATGTTGAATGTTTTGTTAGATATTGATTTGCCATTGTTACATTTTGTACATCCATTCATAAGTTCAGTTAGAAGATATCTTATTATAAGTATCTGGATTCTTAAATTGTTAAGGTTGGGACCACAATATTAATTATAAAATAATCCAGTTACTTATTGATTATTATGTTATCACCTTCAGAGATTGGATCTTGCAGGGATTTATCTCCCCTTCCTGGTCGATTAAAATGACTAATTCTGAATTGTTTTTGCAAGATAAATTTACTTTCTAAAATACTTTTTATAAACTTCCTACTGATTTTTCTTCTCTTTTTTTTAATGATTGATCAGTAAATAACTATAATATTAGACATTTTATATTTTGATTTGGTATGATGTGTTCCATTTCATATTTTATCAACATACGAAAATACCAATTCAAAAGTTTCCTGGTTTTGCTGATGATTTTCCCCAATTTGGACCCCAGGGTCCTTTTCCTAGACTACACTGATAAATCCCTGCCTTCAATCAAGTTATTGTTTTGTAATTAAGTATTTTATCACGACTGTAATGCTGGGTTATGTCACTGCAGTGTGGTGTACAAGTTAATATTCCAGGAAGTGACAGGGAAATTTTATACAAAGAACTTGTCTTCAATCCAGGAAAAAATCTAAGGAATGAGATATGTTTTTAGATTAGTGTTGATTTTGTTGACGCATATGAATGACAATGTTTGTGTGTTCCATTGCTTTTTTTTTTTTTTTTTACTATTTTGAGTATGGAAGCTTGGGGTCGGGGCGAGGCTTCATCTTCCGTTTTGTTTATCCAAATTGGGAATTTAGTGAACCTATTCAAACACTATATTTTTGCCTTAGTACGATTCAGGCTAGAAATCCTGTTTATTGAATGCTAAATGTGACATTGAAACATTCAATGCATCAAAAATAAAGGAGGGGAAAAAGGAAATAAATTATTTGACTTTGATTTGGTAAATTTCAGATCAAATTATGGAAAACACATTATATTTCCTATGGGAAATAGGGCATAAATTCAGTCCTTAATTGTGCAATATTTTCCACAATTCAAACTTTTTTCGTAATATTTGCTCTGATATAAATCACAAGATACATCTTGGTATTCTAGCACAAAACACATCAGAATGAACACTAAGTAAATTTTTGTTTTTAAATAAAAATTTGCCCTGGTGGGTTTTTTTTTTCTTTCTATTCTACCATTTAACAAAATTTTCAATCATGAGATGTTCAATTTTCAGTTTAATCACCTTTTGTTCCTGTTTTCTATTTTTATATCAATAGTAATCGAGTGATTGTTTAAAAGTAACTTATCTTTGATATGAGTTATATTTTTAATCTTTAAGGTAAAATGTACCACTGCATAAGTTTTAATCACAAAGAAGAATTGCAATCAGAGTATTTTTGACTTGTAATTCTATATATTGGATAAAGCAACCTAAAGGAGTGTTTGTAGCATAGAGTAACCTCCCTTGTCAAGTGTTTCATTTTCTTTATGACCATGCATCATTTTGATGCTGTGCTGGTATAATTCCTTAACACAATATTGGTGAAGTGTAGATTTCCAGAATATGTTTTAGTTTTTAGCATTTTATTGAATTACTAAAACAAAATTCAATTAATATTCAAAATAAACAAATAAATTTAGTTTACATTTATACAAAGAAGCAAAGTAATTTGTCAATGAATTAATCAAAATATTATTGAAAATCAAAGTAAACAATATGAAGAATTTGAAGCAAATATTAAACAAACCAATGTTTTCTTTCAGGATTTAGGTTTTGTGTATGTCATCAGGATATTGAAAATAACTTTTTAAAAGTATGGGTGCTTTTTTTCAGTCAGAGTTTAAAAATTACCAATTCCTTTTATGATGTACATTGTATACTATTTTGCATTTGTGGGATATTTTGATTAAGGAACCATACTGTTTCTTCAATTGCCTATTTGACCAATCAGAAATTGAAAATACTATTTCATCAATTGCTTATTTGACCAATCAGAGATTGACTATACTGCCGGCGATATTGACGCCACTCAGTCAATCAAATCGTGGAGCTACTTGTCTCGGGATATCAATGACACAGATATTATGGACCTAATGGTGAACAAATCTACAAGTCTACCCGATGGTCTTGCTAGCATAGAGCAAGGTAACTGATGGAGTGTGTCCAGGATCCTCCATACGCGTGTCGCTAACATTCATTTCTCCTTCACACGTCTGGCACTTCCGACCTTGATTAAATAGGAGCCGGGTCACAGTGACCTTGTTTGGCACTCAGATGTTTGTTGCAAACACCGAATTGAGTTCTAACATAGAACAAGGCTTTTACCGATCACAAATTTGTACGATGCATACCAAGGGCAAGGTCACTACATGACCTTCTCTAGAACTAAAATATAAACTTGCCATTCACTTCCTACTAACTGAAGCGTAAGGTCATAGACATAAGATGATCTTGTCATGAACTGTAAAATAACTTATAACAAGGTCATCAATAATTCACATGTACTACTACACTTGAAACCCTTAAACTTTTTTCCTTCCTGTTTGACTCTGCAGTCACCATTGACCTCATTCTGACATTTTTAAATGATTTTGTGTAAATCTGTCTTTAACCTTTGACCTTTTACCTAATTTTCAAATTGATATACATAGATTATTATACACCAACAAATCCTTTTACCATTTTACCGGAAAATTAGATCACAAACCACTGTAGGTCAATAATAAGTCTATTATTGTTTGACCTTGTTTCATGACCTTGACCTAATTCACTTACCTTAAATCTGATTGACCTTTCACTTTTTCGGATTTTACAAGGATTAAGTCACTGTTGTTACACTGGAATTAATAGGAAGCCAATTTATCACTTGTATAGTTGTTGTATAATTAATTGAAATTAATTAACGTTGATTGAAGTTTTTCACGTTGCTGTGACACTTGATTTTGTTTGATGTTTCCTGCAACTATCACATACCACTTGTGAGAGACTTGAATTGTTCAACAGATATTTACTGTCTGTCGTAAACAACAATTTACATTGAATTTCATACTTTTCAATAAGACTGTTTTATGAAAATTTCTCTTTTGTTTTTGAATAAGTAGTTTTTATGTCTTTTTGCTGTAAGCGAATAATTGAATTTTAAACCAAATTACTCACTTTTTCTTCATTCAGGAATACCTGCGATAAAAGCAATGTCTTTCAAACTATCATTGCTGTAAGGTAAAATTTGTTAAACATCTTGCTATCATTAAATGCTAAAATGTTTTAAGCCTAAAATTCTAGAACATCAATGATTCATTGTTTCAGAGGTCTTCTTTAGAATGCCTAAAGATATCACAATGTTAAGTCGCGCCACAGAAAAAACAGAGGAAAATGATAGAACAGAACCTACTCCAGCCCAGGACCCATTCTTCACACGCTACCCAGCGCCCCCTGATACCGATAACCTCAACTCATCCATGGGAGGGGAGGGAACTGCTGCTCCAAGCAGACTGACCTCTGTTAGTCTTATTGAAAGCACATCACACCTCATTCCCATAGAAACTCCACACCCAGATAAAATAGACGAAGAATCGAAGGAGGGGGAAGGTCGAGAAACTCGTGCAGAAGGAGCTGTTTCCAAGGTAACCGCTGCTAGCCGAGTAAGCAGTACTGCTGAAGGTCCAGCACCTGTGTCTCAGGTGACGTTTGTGCAGAGTCAGAAATCCATAATCGACAACCCCTTGCCTGAGAATGAGATAAAAGAACAAGTCTCTGTGGTGGAAGGAAGGGAGCCAACTCCGCCTGAAGAAATACCTTCGGAGGTTACAGGTGAAGAGAATAAAGGAGCGGAAGAAAGTAAACAAGACAAAGATACTGAAGGAGCAGTAGAGAGTAAAGGAGAGGAAGAAAGTGAAACACAATACACTAGAAACGTGTCTAGGCAGTTGTCTCGACTCTCATTGGCCAAGTCTGTTGTCGAGGAAACCGAGGTTGTGGAACAGCAGGAAGTTGTTCCAGAGAGTGTTCCTGCATCCGCTAGAGGTAGAATTTTGTCTGACCTTTGAACTGGCATCCCTGACTTCCTGTCACGTATCCTAGCAACAGAATAGTTGAAAATTAAAAAATCACCAACCTGAATGTTGAATGGCACTCCAAATAATGAAATAGTTGTTTTTGTTTGCTAACAAAGAAAATTTGAAGCATGTTGTATTTTTTTTCAGGTTTTAACGGATATTAATTAACACTTCACTGTTAATGGTGTGATGTTGGTTTTGAATGAGCACCCGTCTTAAGATCTGCACTTAAATTCATTTTTATTGTGTCAACTTTGGTAGCATGTTATCTCACCAAATCTCAACTGTGGTTACCTTAGCTGAATTCATAATGATTTCAATAAAAGAAGCTTTGAGATGTATGATAAAAATTCCTTGTTAAGAAATTCAAATCACATTTGTTAGTTTTGAAATATTGCTTTGTAGAAATTTCCTATACAAGTATTGAAAGATTGTTGTATATAATATAAAACAAAATTAATGTAAAGTTGGAGAGTATGAGAGATATGGAAATATTCTATTCTACGCAAAAATGTAGAATTTGGGGTCAAGACAGAAGCATGTCCGAGGTAAATGTTACATATTGTGTGAAATTTGGACCGAAGCATGTCAAAGGTACAATTTCAAAAACTGTGTGAAATTTAGGGTCCAGACCAAATCATGTTGAAGGTATGAATTCCATATTGTCAATATATACCTACCTATTTTGCACTTCCTAGTCAGGATTTAGAAAATTCAAGTTCCTAAACTAGAGATTATTGAATATTCATGTAGGACACACATCCTTTAATGGATCCATATGTCTTGTAGATGAAGAGGTAGGGTGTTAAAGGCGTGGGACATTTATAGATAGATTTCTGATTAACTTGCTGCAGAAGGATGTTTGATATCTATCAAGTTGAAACATTGGTTGATATCATTTGTAGTCAGACATTTTTGTTCAAATCCATGATATTCTATGAAAAATACTTTCTTATAAAGAAAGTTAATCATTTTGTTTCTTCCAGGGGAGATAATATTTTAAGTTTATTTTATTTCTCAAAAAAAACCAATGAAGTGTGAACAGTATGTGAAAGTATAAATTACCTAAATTTTGTAACAATAATATGTAAATATACATTATTTCATAAATTATATTTAAATTTTCCCCTAATCATCAAAAGAGAAACATGTACATTAAAAACAAAGTGGGTTTTTTCTAACACTTTGTCTGCGAAAGATTTTGTTAAGATTAAATTTCTGCTGACAAATTTGCTTTGTTTTCAGCAGACAATATTTCTAATCATTCTTCAGGTAAATTAAAAAGAGGTTGAAACATGTTTTAAATTAAGTATTTAAAATGTATATATGTATAAGTTAATTAAAAATCTATTTTCAAATAAACTTACTTCCATTCATTATTTTCAGAGGGGTCTGTGAAATCACAAATATCCGAAGAAGACATCGTAAATGCTCTCACTGAGCATGCCCAGCAGGTTGCTGCCAGCGTTCTCAGTTCTAAGCCTGAAACGGGTAATAATCTGGAGGCAGACGTCAGGGTAGGTCAAAGGTCAAAGCCATGTTGTTCTGCTGTAGGGTTCAGTGAGTGCATGATTATAAACTACATGTACTGTACAAAACCTTATGAATGAACAATATTTTGTCATGTAAATACTAATAATGCTGTCACATATATATTTTGAGCAATTTTTTAAAGTGAAGGCTTAACTACTGAAATTGTTACGAGTTTGCATAATTCTGTATATATCTTGCATGATAATTTTGTTTTGACTCTTAAAAAGAGTATTACATGCTGTTTGTCAACATGTACTTAAGTGGGTTGACCATGATTGGCTACAGTAAATGCTGCCTGTATTAACCCTATGAAGACTGGTTTATGTGAAATATATATCCGCATCTAACCAACTTTCAGCAAGCTGCAGAGATGTGGATGGAAAAACACCCCCCGCGACAAATCTCACGGAGTCATTCCATTCAGGATAACCACGACACTGTAAGAATCTGTGTAATATATCTATTCTTTATTGTTGTTTACTCGTACTGGTATCTACAGCTGTACAACATTTTTTTACTTTGCTCCACATGTGAAACTTGCTCTTAGCATAAATTCGATTTTAGGACAATACAGAACTTGCAAGATTTTTACAGTATTTTTTTCTAATGTTAACCCTTTTTAAAAAAAAAACTACTTAAACCCTGAGCATGTAACTTAATTATTGTTTAAGAACATCAGCATGCTGGTAGCCTCCAAACCTATTTCTGTATACACTCTCCCGAGAGCCTCCAAACCTTTTTCTGTATACACTCTCCCGAGAGCCTCCAAACGTATTTCTGTATACACTCTCCCGAGAGCCTCCAATCCTATTTCTGTATACACTCTGCTGAGAGCCTCCAAACCTATTTCTGTATACACTTTCCTGAGAGCCTCCAAACCTATTTCTGTATACACTCCCCCGAGAGCCTCCAAACCTATTTCTGTATACACGCTCCCGAGAGCCTCCAAACCTATTTCTGTATACCCTCTCCCGAGAGCCTCCAAACCTATTTCTGTATACCCTCTCCCGAGAGCCTCCAAACCTATTTCTGTATACCCTCTCCCGAGAGCCTCCAAACCTATTTCTGTATGCACTCTCCCGAGAGCCTCCAAACCTATTTCTGTATACACTATCCTGAGAGCTTCCAAACCTATTTCTGTATACACTCTCCCGAGATCCTCCAAACCTATTTCTGTATACACTCTCCCGATAGCCTCCAAACCTATTTCTGTATACACTCTCCCGGGAGCCTCCAAACCTATTTCTGTATACACTCTCCTGGGAGCCTCCAAACCTATTTCTGTATACACTCTCCCAAGAGCCTCCAAACCTATTTCTGTATACACTCTCCGGAGAGCCTCCAAACCTATTTCGGTATACACTCTCCCGAGAGCCTCCAAACCTATTTATGTATACACTCTCCCGAGAGCCTCCAAACCTATTTCTTTATACACTCTCCTGAGAGCCTCCAAACCTATTTCTTTATACACTCTCCTGAGAGCCTCCAAACCTATTTCTGTATACACTCACCCGAGAGCCTCCAAACCTATTTCTGTATACACCCTCCCGAGAGCCTCCAAACCTATTTCTGTATACCCTCTCCCGAGAGCCTCCAAACCTATTTCTGTATGCACTCTCCCGAGAGCCTCCAAACCTATTTCTGTATCCACTATCCTGAGAGCTTCCAAACCTATTTCTGTATACACTCTCCCGAGATCCTCCAAACCTATTCCTGTATACTCTCTCCTGAGAGCCTCCAAACCAATTTCTGTATACACTCTCCTGGGAGCCTCCAAACCTATTTCTGTATACACTCTCCAGAGAGCCTCCAAACCTATTTCTGTATCCACTATCCTGAGAGCTTCCAAACCTATTTCTGTATACACTCTCCCGAGAGCATCCAAACCTATTTCTGTATACACTCTCCTGAGAGCCTACAAACCTATTTCTGTATACACTCTCCCGAGAGCCTACAAACCTATTTCTGTATACACTCTCCCGAGAGCCTTCAAACCTATTTCTGTATACACTCTCCCGAGAGCTTCCAAACCTATTTCTGTATACAATCTCCTGAGAGCCTCCAAACCTATTTCTGTATACGCTCTCCCGAGAGCCTCCAAACCTATTTCTGTATGCACTCTCCCGAGAGCCTCCAAACCTATTTCTGTATGCACTCTCCCGAGAGCCTCCAAACCTATTTCTGTATCCACTATCCTGAGAGCTTCCAAACCTATTTCTGTATACACTCTCCTGAGAGCCTACAAACCTATTTCTGTATACACTCTCCCGAGAGCATCCAAACCTATTTCTGTATACACTCTCCTGAGACCCTCCAAACCTATTTCTGTATACACTCTCCCGAGATCCTCCAAACCTATTCCTGTATACTCTCTCCTGAGAGCCTCCAAACCAATTTCTGTATACACTCTCCTGGGAGCCTCCAAACCTATTTCTGTATACACTCTCCAGAGAGCCTCCAAACCTATTTCTGTATCCACTATCCTGAGAGCTTCCAAACCTATTTCTGTATACACTCTCCCGAGAGCCTACAAACCTATTTCTGTATACACTCTCCCGAGAGCCTACAAACCTATTTCTGTATACACTCTCCCGAGAGCCTCCAAAACTATTTCTGTATACACTCTCCCGAGAGCCTCCAATCCTATTTCTGTATACACTCTCCCGAGAGCCTCCAATCCTATTTCTGTATACACTCTCCCGAGATCCTCCAAACCTATTCCTGTATACTCTCTCCTGAGAGCCTCCAAACCAATTTCTGTATACACTCTCCTGGGAGCCTCCAAACCTATTTCTGTATACACTCTCCCAAGAGCCTCCAAACCTATTTCTGTATACACTCTCCCGCGAGCCTCCAAACCTATTTCTGTATACACTCTCCCAAGAGCCTCCAAACCTATTTCTGTATACACTCTCCAGAGAGCCTCCAAACCTATTTCTGTATACACTCTCCCAAGAGCCTCCAAACCTATTTCTGTATACACTCTCCCGGGAGCCTCCAAACCTATTTCTGTATACACTCTCCCGAGAGCCTCCAAACCTATTTCTGTATCCACTATCCTGAGAGCTTCCAAACCTATTTCTGTATACACTCTCCTGAGAGCCTCCCAACCTATTTCTGTATACAATCTCCTGAGAGCCTCCCAACCTATTTCTGTATCCACTATCCTGAGAGCTTCCAAACCTATTTCTATATACACTCTCCTGAGTGCCTCCAAACCTATTTCTATATACACTCTCCTGAGTGCCTCCAAACCTATTTCTTTATACACTCTCCTGAGTGCCTCCAAACCTATTCCTGTATACACTCTCCTGAGAGCCTCCAAACCTATTTCTGTATACACTCTCCTGAGAGCAAATTATTTTTTAAAAAAACATGTGAATCGGAGAATTCTTATGTAAATGTTTCTGAGCAATTCTTTAAGAAATCTTTGTATAAGTCATTTCTTTCACTTCCAGTAAATTATTCCTGTTTACATCTCTTGTAAGCTATTTCTTTCTTCATTTCCTGTAAAGTATTCCCTTTAACACTGACATGTAACTATATTTCTGTCTTCATTTCCTGTCAAATATTCCCTTTGGCACCAATGTGTAAGCTATTTCTGTCTTCATTTCCTGTCAAATATTCCCTTTGGCACCAACTTGTAAACTATTTCTTTCTTCATTTCCTGTCAAATATTCCCTTTGACACCGACGTGTAAGTTATATTTCTCATTCATCTGTTAAATATTCTGTTGACATGCCTTGTCAGGTATTTCTTTCCTTCAAGCTTAACCCTCTATGTACTATTTCCCCTCCCAACCCGACTCCATATAACCTCTTTGTTAAACTTCACTAATCTATTTCTTAATTCACCTTTGTACTTTCTCTCTTTGTAACACCTCACTGAAAATTATTTCTCGTTTGAGTGGAGAACAGTTCTGGAATGAACGGTGTTGAATCAGCACTTTGAATTAGCAATAAAGTACAATTTACTTCAGTGACCAAAACAGTACATCTGAGATAAAAGAACTCCTATAGGGAGTTGACGTATGTCTTGTCAAATGACGTTCTCAACTGAAAAATGTTGGCCTCCTCAACTACCTCAGGATTTGCCAAAAATATGTCTGGTTTTAGTTATTAGTGCACCTCTCAGCAGTTCAAATGTAAAAAAATATGCTAGGAGACCAAAAATATGAAGTACAAAAATGTTGTTCGTCACTACAAAATAGTGTAGGCAATGTTTTTGTTATTATTCGTAAAATAAGATATTTCTTGTCTTACATAATAATCGATTGTAGTGTATTTTGGGAGTTTGTGGTATAATATGACTGGCAAAAAATGAAGCTTGTTTACATGGTTTTAGATTTCAGGTAAATGTTCTTTGAAATTTTCTCTACATGTACTAGAGATTGTTTAACCCATGTTTCTTATTTGACATATTTCAAAGGAAAGAAACCATAGATAGCTATGTATTGTGTCTGCACATGTTATATTTCAGTACAATGTTTTTTGTCTCATACAAATTTAACAGTAGTCATTGAATATCAGCTATTACTCCATTTTTGATAATTTATTGATGGAAATGGGTAGGTAGAGGAGGTGGGGAGGGGAGGAGGGACAAACGAAAGATAAACCATTTATTTTTTATCCAAAAGATTTTTTTTAAATATTGCTTTTGGAAGATTTATCCAATATTTTGATAGAGCTACAAATAAATGATACTGTCTATTTTATTTCAATCTATAGAAGATATCTGTAGTATTTATCTTAATGTGTTGTTTTGTTGTAGTTTCCCTGGCTTATCTGGTGCAAACTTGAATTTCTGGTATAAACCTAAAACTTACTGGAAATAGATAATTAATTTTGCTAGACATTAGAATGAACTGCATGCTTTGAATAATTGTCATTTAAAACTTAAGAAAACCCAGTTCTAATTCTTCAATTAATGATTTTTTTATTTATTTTTTGATAATTGCATGGTTGTGAAAAATTCAGTTTTTCAAATTAATGCTTTTGAAGTTAAATTTATCCAAGACATTTAATAGGAAATCAAATGTATTTCATTGGTTTTAGCCACTCTAGACTCATGTTAATTAAGATTCTTTTTATATACTCAAATATGAATGTGAGTTAAATATTAATATACAAATTTAAATGTGGATAGAAGAATTAAAGATTTCCGTAATCAAATAATCGGAAGTGAAAATGTGCTACTTCATGATTTGAATCGAGTCAGAAAAAAATAATTCTTATTCATAGATGGGTCACTTAGTAGTTCCCAGGTGATTGACATCAGAGTCCCCAGTCTAAACATCTAGCCCTCGATCCAACACTGGGTCGTGGGTTCGATTCCTATATAGGGTAGTCACCAGGTACAGACAGCATGTCAGTGGTATATAGGGTAGTCACCAGGTACAGACAGCATGTCAGTGGTTTTTCGCTGAGAACTCCGGCTTTCCTCCACCACCAAACCTGGCACATCCTTAAATGACCAGAGCTTTTAAAAGGATGTAAAACACAAACAAACCAAACCAAACCTACGTCTGGTCATTACTTAATATATATTGTATTGTGATCTAAAATATTTACCTATTTGTCAATTCAATACGACAGCATGAAATGTTATTATGCGTACATGCTGCAAGTATTACAGCAACAGTTCTTTGTTATTGTTCATGACAATTAAAAAAATATTCACCTGTTCCATATAAAAATCATTTATGATTTACTGGTGTGAATTGAGATCAATTTACTTTCAATCGGCAAAATCCCCTTTTACCAAGTCTTTAATTGGTGCTATTACCTGTCTTAGGTAGACAAATCCTCATGTCAACCCACAATTGCGTTAATAATTGTATAGTGTTTTGACTCATTAATTGGGAACTATAATTAAAAGTTCGGCCTTCGTAGGTTTAATATATTGTTTAGACACAGGAGAGGTGAGCTGAAGTCTGTTTCGTAAATGTATCGTTATTATAGTTTCATGCTACAGATTTTGCTAGATAATAATAGATGAATGTTTTGTTTTTTGTGTGCTGTGTGGTGGTGATATTTTCATAAAAAAGAATTTGCTACAAATTATGCTTATAACTTAATTTTCTTTTTTTAATCATATAAAAACCAGGTTTCAGGTAAATTTTCCTATATCAGTTTTTATTTGGTAAGGAAATGTTTTGATGACGGGACATCATTTAAATGAGAATCTTGCATTGTTTTGACAATACCCGACTTGAAACCTCCCTTGATGTATATGGTACAGTACATCAGAAATGTTATAATATGAAGCCCTTGTACCCCTTTCTTCCACAAGAAAAACTGGTTAAACATTTTTTTTTATCTTCCCATTTTTACTAAAAAAGAATCTACTAGGTCATATATCAACCTTATTAAAAAGAAATAATTTGTTTAAATTTTTATTTTGTACCATAAATATGTTTCATTATTTCTCAAAAAATGTGAATTCAATATAATTACCTAATTTCTGCTTTCCTCAGAGAGAATAGACTTTTTCCTCATTTTTTCTGAGATGCAAGTTCCAAGTGTTACAAATATAATTTTCACTCTCTTTGTCTTTCTCATTGTTTTCTGCAGGAATCAAGATGTAGTATTGTTTACCAAATCAAGCAAAAATATGTGTTACTGCTAAAATGTCTTCAGTTTATGTAACTATTACATCAATAAGGTTTAAAGTGAACTTCTTTCCTGTGAAAGAATATTCTGTTTCAAGTTTTAATTGCTCTGAATGAAATATTTGATAATAGTTAGGTTCTGTTTCAAATAATTATCTTGCAAACATTGTTCCCCCTATTTTAATTCATTATCTCCCTTTATTTAAAAGAATTGTCTCCCCTTTCAGACTGTTATTGATGAGATTATAGAGATGCGGAAACAAAAGAGGAAGAGTGCTGGTCCGACTGCTGGGGAGTACCGAGAATTGATTAGGGAATCCCTAACTACCGCCAGTAAGTCGGGTCTTGAGACTTGTCTGTATGAAATAAGTGAAATATACCTCAATTCTCTTGAACTTCATTTGACTTGGATATATTATGCCTTATACATTAAATATGCATATTATGTGAGAGTTGTCTCCCATTTTTAAAAATTGTTGTGTTTGGACACAGAACTTCTCAATGGTTATATCATTCAATCATTTTGTTTACCTTTCAAACGGGTCCTCTTTGAAATAATCCAGGACTGGCTGACCATCTGTTCATAAATGATATTTTAGAAATTTCCTTACATCATCACAAAGTAACGTAACAAACCAAGATAAGCTACAGACAGTCTGTTAGTGAAGTATACAAAAATTTATTAAAAATTTGATTCATGGATGAAAACAACCCATTTTTGAAAACTTTGTAGCTTTTTCATTCTCTTCTTATAGCATGAATATGTTGTTAATATTTGGAACAGAAATAAATGGGGGGAAAAATTAAAGGAGAAAAACAGAAGAATTTTAAAAAGAAAAAAAATGCAAGAGGATAATGACTTTTTATTTAAATATTTGTAGTGAAAGCTCAAGGTCTGAATGAAAACATACCAGATGATACGGAAATCACACAGGCAGTTATAGAAGCACTGACGAATGGATCACTCACACCCGACGATCTGGAGCTTGTTCACGATAGTGACAGCGGCAAAAGTATAATCCGATCCCGCAGCCAGATGGCCAATGCAATGGGAGGGGTCAAGGAAGGTCATATTTACGTCACTGGGTCTAAAAGTAAGTCAAAGTTCACCTAACAAAATGAAATTTATCGCAAATATTCCTGTATGTTTTGTGATCTTATTCATGATTTTTTTTGTCTACGAATATATTTAATCGTAATAATTTACATTTTCCTGTTGATTTAAGGCATCAATCCTTTATGATGAACATTTTTTCAAATCAGTTGATTTTGCTTTCATTGTATGATATTTGTTGTATTTTGAGAATGTTTCATCAGTTTGAATGTTTTTGTTGTCCGAATCCCGAATCTCCTTCGATTCCTTTTCTTCCCTCTTCCAATCCCTCGCCCAACCAATGTTAAAAGGTAAAGTGTTGCTGCTTGCTCGGGTTACAGGGTGTCTTGATATTTATTTCATATTTTTTTTTCATTTATTTTTATTTTAACTAGGAGTAGTAGACGGAGGTGACTGGTTTTTTTAATTTTATTTAATTTTATTTCCATTATGATTATTTGCTTTTTTATGATTTTTGTTTAAATTTAATGATTTGGAATGAAATTTCAAGAAAATGAAAACTCTCTCACATAGCATTCTTCTGAAAACTGGATTTCATAACAAAATATAGATATCAATTAATCTTGTTTTCATTTTTATGTAGGAGTTATGTCCCTTGACATAATAGCCTGAACAGAATTTCTCAAGTGCACGTGCTGAATAGATTTTCATGAAACTTTGTACACCACCTTATTTTTATTTTAAAGGTTTAAAAGCCTGACTGGGGGAGTTTAATTTGGTAGTCTTGTACTGTTAGCTTTTCTTTATTATAATTTATTATTTTTAAGTACATTTTTAATGCACTTTCTACACCCTGCTAGTGTGTGTGTTTGTGTGCAGGCTAGTATTTGATATACACATGTGTTATGCCATTTAACTTCTATCACATATTTCATTTTATTAGTGTCATGTTTTGTTACGTATTAGACAATTGAGGATTTGATTTGTAATTAGATCAAAATTAACATTTTTACTTTGTTCACCAGTTACATTTTTTTCAATTTTAATTTCAATTAATGCAAATTCTTTTATAGAGTTTAATTTTGTTTCTTTTAAATTTAACTGGCAATAAATATACAAAACAAAAAAAGGTTAAATGAATTATTATTTTTCCCAAATTTCTTTTTTAATTTTGATGATAGGATGGGAATTATACATTTATTGCTGAACACAATGCAATATATAAATTAGTATGTGCATCTATTGATAATATTTACTATTTCATATTTCAATTTTTCAAGACAAATACAGATTTCTCTAAACTTCTTACTGAAAAAAGATAAAAACAAAAAACACCATCTTTCATCAATTTCTGGTTTAGTTTGGCTTTCAAATATTTTAAGAAAAATATTGTAAACATATTTTGAGTGCGATTACTTTTAAAATATTTTCAACTGGTGTATACACATTTCGTGTAGTTTAATTTGGTTTAAATGGTTTTGTCACAACCAATGGTAGTGGTATTAAATTATTTGTGTAAGCAGTCATTTGATTGAGTGATAGGGAAATAGGCGCAGGTTGTGGTCTTGTTAATCTGGACATATTGGTTATGAAAAAATTGTACAAATTAAAGCAATATATTGCAGCTTAAAAAAGATTGGTTAAACTATAGATGCTTGGCTGTTTAAGGGACCAAGACTCCGATATTTATTATCTATTTCTTTCTATCATTGGTTAAGAAATGATGTCTCCCCTGCAAACAAAAAACAAAAACAAAAATAGAAGTTCAACATGGGATTTTTTTATGAAGTAAATGGATTAAAAAACATAGGTTAATTTTAAAATTATTTTAAATTTCCTTTGACCGTTCCTAAATGTCAAGCTATTTTGTATTATCCAATGATTTAATTGTAAAAAGAAAAATCAAAGCATCATGGGAAATCTAACCAATGATTTGTGAAACAAAGCTATCTTCATAATATTTGTTGTATTCAGTACATCAAAACCTGTTTTTAGAGACCACCACTTGGCAGTCCATAAATTGGTCTCTTAACACTGGTGGTCTCTTAATACAGGTTTAGTTCACAATGAAATCACTAAAATGAGAAACATTTAAAGTGGTCTCCAAACACAGATGGTCTCTTCATAGAGATAGTTGCATGAGCAGGTTTTACTGCACTTTTCTTAACATTTTTCATGCTAAAGCAATATGTGAAAAATTTCAAATAATTTGAATAACATGGAAATGGTAATTATAAAACAGAGTCAACATAGCAACAGCTCAGCAACACATAATTAGAAGGCACATTAAAAACGAATATTAGGGAAAATGCCAGCATCTTCAGTATTAAAAAAATATGACAAAAATCTAAGGTTCAAAGTACATTTGCATGGTACATTTTTTCATGGCTCAGTACTCCGGATTAACAAAGCTATACTTTAGTAGCTAGTGTGGTAAAGGGTTTATTGCATAGTCCGCTTTGCTTAACATTGCTCTCTTTCCCTTTGTCCTCCTTTCTACAGACGGAAAGAAAGCTCCGGGGTCTATTCCTGTAGACCGCACCTCAAATGTTGATGTTGGCGAGTTTGATGTTATTAAATATGGCACTGCTGCATCTCAGTCAGGCTCTGAGAAAGCGCCTTCTGAGAAAGCAATGTCAGAAAAAGCAATGTCCGAGAAAGCTCCTTCAGAAAAAGCACCCTCTGAAAAAATTGGTAAGTCCCAACCACCATCAATAATGGGTGAGTCCATTGTTGAGGAACCACCAGAGGTCGTAGAGTCGGACAAAAAATCTTCCGTATCATTTCAATCAGAGGTGGAGCCGCAGGTTGATGAGTTCAAGAAAGCAGTCGAGGTGATTGAGGAGCAGAGAACAGAACTGGAACTGGAACCGCAACCCCCCGTACAGGAGGAACCAACGTTACCAGATGAACAGGTGAGTGACTCACCTTTTTTACTTGCAGTTTTGACCAGTCCATGAATTTAAACAGTTTTTAGAAAGTTTCTAGAACTTTAATGGTTTTCTGACTTGATTTTGAATGCTTTCTGGTAAAGGCCTTTGTTTTTAATGGTTTCATGTGAAAAGTTAGTGGATATATCATTTTTGTCTTTAAAGTGCATTGGATATGAAATTCAATGTTGTTAGTAATCTTGAGGTGTCCTTCTTCTTTAAAGATTCTTTAATAAAGATAGCTTTTGAAGGAATTTAATTAATTTAGATTAAAAAATTAAAACAAACGTGAATATGTTTATTGATCAGAAAAAATGACACGAGAATTAATGAAACTTGTAGAAAAGTTTGTTGCATTGTGTATTGAAATAAACAGATAGTACATGTTTTAGAAGAAAAATATTGAAATGTTTTACCATCTGTCGGCCACCTTCAAAAAATAGAAACAAACAAAACTACAGAAGGATTACCTAATTTGTATTTTCCTTCAAAACACAAGAAGAGTTTTTTCTCTCGTTGAATGTAAATGAGAACACCAAAAAATCTTCGAAAATTGAAATATTGATTGAATGATCATGATTCTTACAAAAATGAAGATTTTCTGAAGCAGTATTTTTATATAAAAAAAATGAAATCTGGTACGTTCTATTGACCAATCAGAGAGCTAGGAGTAGAAAAAGCAACAGGAGTCTTCAAAGTCGTCGTAGTTTCCAAAGTCATCAAAGTCGATGCAGCCATTTTGTAAGCGTTTTTGCATGACCATGTACTGATGGGAAGCATCATCTGGATGATGACTCCATTACTGATATGACCTTTGACCTTGCATGTTGTGTGAATTTTGATTAGGTGGTTTTTTAGCCTGTGATGCTGGTTTGTCGTGTAAATAAACATAGTTATTAAATTTACATTCAAAAATATTATTGTCAAAAGTTTGTCCTCTACAAATTGGTAATGAAATATGAATATAATTTCCCCACTATTCATATTGAAAGAACTTCATATTGTTTTGTATATTTTAGAAGAATTTCTCTCAAGAAATCATGCACTAGCTTTGGGTCCAATTAGCCATATGTTTTGGGTTTTTTTAATTCAAACTTTGTATCGAAAGTTTAAGTCATCATAATTCTCATATCATTGATTACGGTGAAATTCCTACAAATGGAAGACTGCCATCTTCTCTGTCATGGAGTTTTTGGTGCATGCTCTTAAAATTAATTTTATGGAGAGTTATGTTTCTGTGTGTCGGCATGAAGTTGATTGTTTTACTTTTCTAAACGTCATTTTTTACAAAATTGTCTGCCTTAAAATAACTGAAACAAAATTACAGAATATAAAGTTTTTGTGTTTTTTATGTTGTTAATTTGCATTAAAAATATCATAATTCCTACAAAAAACTGACTGTGAGCCAATTGAAATATTTCTGCATATGTTTTTTTTAAAAATTTATCTTTGAATTATTTTTTTCAATCTTTAATCTTTCCAGTTTAAATAAAACTTTAAAAAATAATATCATATTATTTTGGTTATTTTAAAGTCTATACAAGTATAGAAATATATATATTTTTTCAATTTAAAAGAAATTCCGTATTAATATAATAATTTTTTGTATTTTTTTCTGATGGAGATAAGTGTTATTTTTATATTGACTGGTGTTGGGTTTTATGAAATAGGGCAAAGTGTTGTTTTACATCTCCTGATGACGAAAATAAACACGGTTTTACCTTCCACATGATGAACAGATCTTTACCATAAGGTTGGACGAAACCTGTAATGAGCAGAAATTTGATATTGTTTAAGTTACAATTCTGTTATCAAAAGACATTTGAAGTAAGATTTCCTGTTATAGAAATCAGACATCAGCAAGAAGACGGATGAGAAGAGCACAAGAAGCGCCAAGAGTCGTGTATCGGACAAGAAGAGCAAGGTGTCTGACTCAACATCGCAGAAAGGAAAGTCAGAATTGGAAAAGCGGGAAGAATTTGTTGTCGGTAAGTCACATGGATTCCAGATAGGAATATAAGGAATTGTATTTTTGTACATTTTTCAATTTTCAGTATTGTTCCAGTTCCAGCATTTTTTTTCCAATATTCATTATTTTTTTCAAGGTTCCAGTATTTTTCCAATTTTCAGTTTTTTTTTCTAGTTTTCAGTAAATTTTTACATTGATGTCTCCAGCAGTGATTTGGATCAAAACATGAATTTTGATACACGTTTGAAATAAGGAAATCAAATAAAAAGTTGTTATAAAAAAAAACTAAGAATCAATCTGCAAGATATATAGAGGACTTAATTATGTGAAAGTTGAAATCAAAATTCATGTACGCGTTTTGTTATGTATAGAATATTGTAGCTTTAGAAAAGATAGTGTTTTGTAGTGCTTTTACATTGAAGTGTGGCTAATGTTTAATCTTCCCTAGAATTACATTGATATTGTTCAAAAAGCATTACATATTATTCATTTCAGAATCAGATTATGTCCGTTTGATTTTTGAATTTTGTAATATCACAAAGATTGAATGCATTCTTTGCATATTGGCTTTTGCCTTTCATCAGAGAGGACTGTTTTTTCTGGCAATTTTTTCAGAAGTCTGAACAAGAAAATTAATTACCACTAAAAAGACACTGGAGAAATCATTAATAATAATTAATTTCAGCTGCTAATGAGCAGTGTTCAGAAATAACCATATCTTGTATTATAAATGTATATATTATGCGAGTCAGATCAGTGAAGTTAAGGCCAAATCAATTAATAACTGTGTTTCCTGTATCATCTCTCATTAAAATATACGTAGGTTTTATATTTTTAAATATTTAATATATGTTTATTAATCAAGAATAGCAAAAAAAAGGTCAGAAAACAGGAAAAACAGGTTTTACTTTATTTGGCCTTCTGGAATTACACAGATGGTAGCGTCAAGACAGTGAAGTTATCAAAACAAATCTCTCAATGAGATATACCTCTGTGATATTGTACTGACTGTCAAACCTTTACTGATGGGTGAAGAGGTGTGTGTTGCATTTGTATGAACCTTGTGTACACTGATGTTCTATCAGGCAAAGTGAAACAGACAAATGAGCTTGAACAGCTGTATGGGCCGGTGGACCCTCCAGCTAAAGAGCCGACTCAGCCGCCAGAACCTGGTGAGAAATACTTCCGTCTCACAGTCTGTGAGATATCTGTCCTTGTGGTGACTTGTACTCAAACATAACTCTGTAACATAACTGGTGTGAGAATTCAATTTGACATTATCACATTTTTCGTCCAGATTTGAAATTAAATTATTTATCTCCCTTTTATATACTCTTTTTATATACTCTTGAATTAAAGACTTGTCTTCTTTACTCTAAAAAAAAATGTTTACACTCAAATGAGTCGTCACCTTTTTCAGTGATATTTTGCTCAGTTTTACTGCCAAATTCAGGCTGTTTCCCCAAACTAAAAAGTGCTGAGGAATATTTTCCCTATGTTAATACAAATAATGCTATATTTTCCAATTCATTAAGGAACAGGTTGTTGTCAAATTTAGTCAACAAAACCTCTGCTGTTACAAACAAGTTTGTTACACTCCAAAATCAAATGGGCTAGCCTATCTCCGCTTATAAGAAAATCATCAACCATTTATACTTAATGAATCCTCTTTTACAAAGAATTATTTTCTTTTACTCTCAGATTTTTTTGGTTTCAAAGAGACTATTCCGGAAAAAAGAATTTGGAGAAAACTTAAAAATGGTTGAAATGTGATAATGTCATGTCTCATTAACAGACATGAGTGTTTTTGTTTATGTGATTATAGCAGCCTCTTTATGGTTTTATAATGTCGTTTAACAATTCGTTTACACAACCTGTGTAAGTTTGTGTGGTTGAACCAATGTTTTTATTTAACTATACAGTTATTCCCCTTGTATTTTACTTTCCGGTCCTGCTGATTCATGGCTCAACACATGCTTTACATTTTTCAGACCATTTGATTCCATTAGATAAACAAATTGTTATCCATCATTTGGGATTATTTCTATTTTTTTTATTATAAAAGCTTTTGCACTGAGGTTTTGAAATTGTTACAAATATTTACTGAAAATTAAATCCTACCTTAAAGTTTTCCTACAGGTTTTTCTCCATAAAGTATACCCGCCTTTTTTTAAGTGTTGAGCACTCCACACATCATCTATCTGGCCCTAAAATGGTACTCACAATCTGTATCAAAATACCCGTCATGGTACTCCTACTACGTCTCAGGTTGTAGGGACTGGTACTCACACTCTGTATCAAATACCCGTCATGGTACTCCTACTACATCTCAGGTTGTAAGGACTGGTACTCACAATCTGTATCAAAATACCTATCATGGTACTCCTACCTCATCTCAGGTTGTAGGGACTGGTACTCACAATCTGTATCAAAATACCTGTCATGGTACTCCTACCTCATCTCAGGTTGTAGGGACTGGTACTCACAATCTGTATCAAAATACCCGGCATGGTACTCCTACTACATCTCAGGTTGTAGGGACTAGTACTCACAATCTGTATCAAAATACCCTTCATGGTCCTCCTACTACATCTCAGGTTGTAGGGACTAGTACTCACAATCTGTATCAAAATACCTGTCATGGTACTCCTACTATATCTCAGGGTGTAAGTACGGGGACTCACAATCTGTATCAAAATACCCGTCATGGTACTCCTTCTACATCTCAGGTTGTAGGGACTAGTACTCACAATCTGTATCAAAATACCTGTCATGGCACTCCTACTATATCTCAGGTTGTAAGGACTGGTACTCACAATCTGTATCAAAATACCCGTCATGGTACTCCTACTACATCTCAGGTTGTAGGGACTTGTTCTCAAAATGCTCTTAATGGATTTATTGATGGGGAAGAGACTGTCCCTAAAGACTCCAGATATTACAAAGTCATGTCTTATACATTCCTAGATTGTATCAATATCATAACCTGCTGGGCATGAATATTCCCAGATATCTCAGAGGATACTTATCCTATCCTTAATAAATATATCTGCTTTTTGTCAAATCTCCCCCTTCCATACCTTCTCCACCTACCATACTCTAACCCCAACACTATAATTATTGATTTTGATTTCTCTATCTTCCAAACTACGTACATGTATCTCTACAGAAACTTTAGATACCATCTTTCTTCATACACCTTTGTCTGAGATCCCTGATATCATCTAAAATAGAATATGCAGCTAATTGGTTTCATTATGTGTAACCAAGAGGAACTTTGTTTGGCCCATTAGGTTATGACTATGGAAGACACCATAAGACCTCCTGACCCCCAATAAAAATAGAAGGTTCAAATCTTGTGACAGAAGATCAGAATTTTTGTCATGTCTTCATTAGAATAAATGTGTATGTTCATGCTGAAAGTACAGAGAATAGTTAGCAATTGTAGTTCCAGCTTGTGAAAGGGCCGGGAAGGTAAAACCCCCTCCATTCGCACTGCTATAAATAGGATTTAAACTGAAAGTTGGAATTGCTTACTAAGGTCACTGTTTGTATATATCTAACACTAATAATAACCCAGTAATACTCAACTATGTTGTGGATTGTCAGATTGGCTTTACTCACATTCTGTTGTTTCACCATATTTATCCTGCAATAAGCCCAGGGGGGCAAACACATAATCTCTGACAGAAAGTACTGGTGGGCTTATTACAGGGCAAGGATGTTGTATTTGTTGGTATTTCTATAGCAACTTTACTGCAATAAATATGGACTGGCTTATTGCCAGGCATGGGCTTATTACCAGGCATTGGCTTATTGCCAGACATGGGCTTATTGCTGGATCAGTACTGTATTACATTATTGTATATTTTGTGCTTTAATTTTTTATGTAACATAAATATACATGATGGACTATATTTTTAATTGCCATAATTTTAATTTAAACTAATTCAGATATTGCTCCATGGAATGGAATGAATTGAACTACAGTATGAAATAATAATCAAATCTATTATAGATGAAGTGAAATCTTGGTACTGATAGAGAATAGTTTATAGCGTCGTCAAACCTTGCAATCCCAACTATATTTACATTTCATATAGGGTAAGGTAAAAATCTCCCTCTGAAAAGCTGTGAATTTAGTTTTCATTATAACTGGTTCTAGTTAGGGCATGACTGTCCCTATTTCACCGGTCTTAAATACAACAGCTCTACCACATACCAACCAATTCATTCTATTTTTGTGTTAAATTTTGTACATCAGAAGAAAAAGAACCTACACCAGAAAGTAAGTGGCATACACTGACATCAGTTGTGTGATCTACACTGGTTTCCTGTCTGTGCATATTCATTATGATTTTCACCTGTTTATCGTGACCTTGAGGAAGTGACCTTTTATTGCCTTCACGTTTATGTTGTACCCTTTACAAAGTTGTTGTTGTGATCCAGCCATCATGAGTTTGTATTTATAACCTTGACAGTATATGTTCATGCCCTTTGACCTTTAAACTTATCTATAAGGGATTGAAATGAAACAGTTTACCTTGACCTTTTGACTCATCATCAAGACATACCCAATGACAGTTTGGACCTTTTTTTGTTATACAAACCATCAACTACACTTACCAACATGACTTTGACCTGATACTGATTGGTACGACCTTGAACTCTGACTTTACCCCTTGACCTTGACCTTGACCTTATAATCTTACTCTACGTGCATAGTTTTCATTCAGTTTGATTGTAAGAAGTGCTGTTTTTGTACAGATCACTATGAGTTCACATGAAAGCAAATATGTCTGCACTTGTAAAATGTTGTCTTGAATAATTTTACAAAGAATTGGATCACTTTAAAATGGCTTTCTGAGCACATACTTGTTCACAATCAGAAGTGGTCCCTCCACACACTCCTTATCATCAGAATGTTGTCATCTGTGTCAGTATTTTATTCTTCAATTATTATTTAAGGACAGGGATACTTAGGACTGAACTTTTGGCCACTTATGCCTGTACTAAATTGTTCCCAATCGAGGACAAAATGGCACCTTTGAGAAATTCATCATTGATAACTTTTTTTCAAGTTTATTTTGAGAGAAAAATCAAAGTATTACAGCATGTACCATATCAAAAATATTATGATCTCAACATATTGCCTGTATAATGTGAAAAATAATGTATGCATCTGTTACTGGAAGGTTCTAGTTATCTCTTATCTATACTTTAATCTTTGAAGTTGTCTCCCTTGTACTTGTTAATTTTGTATCTCTCATTGATCCTTAAGTATGGGGTTGTAGTTGTATTTTGATGAAATTAATTATAAAACTATTTACAAAATATCCAGTTGCTAAAAGGAAAGATTATATTCAACTTACAATCTGAAAAAGTTTCTGTAAAAATGTATGAAAACAACTCTTGAGGTATTTTAAAATGATATTTAAAGACAAAATAGGAATCATTTACATGTCATTATGCTAATAAAGCTTATTGACTATAGGACATGAGCATAATGATGTATTTAAATGATATGTAAATTGTGTATGCAAATAATGTAGATAAGTTAAGAAATATCTGAGAAATAAATTTATGGTAAACTTTTAGTTCCCAAAAAGAAATCGGAAATGCCAGGTAAAAAGGCTGAAATTCCTCCTAAAAAAGCGCCTGAACCACCAAAAAAGAAAGAGGAGCCGAAAAAAATTGTGGTTAATCCACCACAGCAGGAGGAAGAGTTAGCTCCCATTGCTGAGGATGGTGAGCTGGCACTCAAAGCTCTGGATTGTGATTGGCTGTTGATTGCAAAGCTGAACTGCTACACTTTTTCTGATTGGCTAATATTGATTGCAAAGCTCGAATGTTACACTTTTTCTCATCAGCTAATGAATGCAAAACTGGAATGTGTTTCACAATTTCTGATTTGTTGATTGCAAAACTGAAATATGTTTCACAACTTTTGATTGGTTGATGTTTTCAATGCTGTAATGGTACACTACTTGTGATTGGCTTATAAAAGCGAAATGATAACACAAATAATGATGTTGCACTTTTAAAACAGAACTTGAATATTTGCAATATTGGCTTTTCACAATTGTCATTATACTTTAATAAACATAAACTTTTTGAGTCACATAGCCTTTTGACACATTTAATTCAATCATTTCGAAATTTGAATCTAATTCTCTGTAAAATACTTTTGATTTATTTCAATGACCATTGGTCAATCACATGCATTCTGTGGCCATTTTAATTTTGTATGCATGCTTTTGTTTCAGATTGATTTTGTATCACAATAATTGATGTCTGTTTCTTTTCCACTAATCACAGTGTTCTCTTGATTTCTGTTTCAGTAAAAATCGTGTTTGAATTATCAGTTAATTTTCTAATGCCTGAATTTGCATTATGTTTCAGGATCTTTCGTTGTTTTTCTTCGGATTTAGGGCCTTCTTTTCCAGAAAATTTGACGAATTGTAGATTGACTTGAGTATTGATTCAAATCCATGAAAACATTTACTGAATATTACTCCATACTGTAAAACTTAAAAACCTGGTATACAATCAATAACAAGTTGATGATGTAAAAATGTTTAAAAAAATATCCAATCCAAACTTCATTTGCTCCTTGTGATATTTGAATCACTTGTTTAATTTTTAAGAAATATATATTGTGGATCAAGATTTCCAAAAAACTGAAATCTTATCTTTACAAAAATGTATTATCACAAAGGAGAGATAACTGTCCTGGTTGGTTTAAAAGATAAAAACACCTTCTCAGTATTACAGCTTTTTGATATTTTAGGCAAACCCAATTTCAAAGGAGAGTTGGAAAAACTTTTTGGAAAATTACCCGCAAATAAAGAGAAGGAGAAGGGTGAGACAACTCTAGCACTGCCTGTGTCTCCTCGGGCATGCTCCAGTAGAGCACATAACTAACTCTCACTGTTTGTAGGGACGTCTGTCTCACCTGTCTTCACTTACACTGTAAACAAGGTTTATAATGTTTCTGCTAAAAGGAATCAAATCCTCTTCAATATCAGTATTAGTATTATTTTTTTTTCAATATCATTAATGAATTTGGGCCAATATTTTGTATAAAAGTAATTAATTTCTACTTTTGAATGTTTTGTTGCAAATTCCTAATTGTCTTCTTTGTAAATTATTTCCTTACAAACAATCAAAAATATCATGTCCATATAACACAAATGAAGAAATAGAGAGAAAAAAGCAATTTAAACATGATTTCTTCTGACTATTTATGGTAAATGGCATGATGGGTCAGTTAATTCAGTGTAGTTTTTTCACTTGGATTTGGCTGAAATACCAGTTTAAATTTAAATGCAAATAAATAGCTTGTGTTACAGTGTTAAAATTCATTTCTATATATTTATTTGTTAATCACTTTCCATCCTTTCTCATCAAAATCATTTTCTCATTTTGACAAATTGAGCTCTCTTGATAAATTAACAATTTCTATAATTTTGATAATTTTAATAAAAGATCACAATTTTATTAAGGCATCTTAATAATATAATCTGAAAATCTTGAAATAATTAAAATTGGAATTGTTTTATATCTGCTAGAAAAATGAGAAAAATGATTTTGCTTCAATATCAAAAGTTACATTAGATATTCCTTCTGTCTAAATAACCTATGATTTGTACGTCTATTGACTGAGCCTGAGGGCGATATGGGTTTGTATGGACCATGTGTAAAATTATTCTCAAAGTGGTATGTGTGATTCCTTCTGTGTATTATACTAAATTAATATCTCAAAGATTTCTTTTTAATTCACTTCTGTAAAAACTTAACTGTTATCTATATATAACTGGTTGTCTACCTATCTATTCCTGGTACATGTAACACTGTTTTATTTTTTCGAGTGTCTATTCCGTCTTTGCGTATTGCAGAGTTATCTTCTCTTGTGGGCAGGTATTGATTGTTACGTCATTTGTTTGTGAGAGTAAAGTCATCAAATTTTGAGAAACCCACATAATTTTCTCACACAAACCAATGACGTAACAATCAATACCTGCTCACAAGAGCAGATAACTCTGCAATACGAAAAGACGGAATATTATACTGTATACCGGGATACTTTCGTCAAGTCAAATATTCACCAGTAAAATCCATGTTCGCAAAGTGTTAATTTCTTCTTTCACATGTAATAGTTACCTATGGTTTGTTGTCAACTTATGTCCATATTCGCGATGAACTCATTGTAGATAGCAAAATATTATTATATTATATTATTTTGCATGTGTTTTAAACACAAATGTACATAACCAGCATTATGAAACGAAAGTCCATTCTTAGTGCACAGAAAAAATTCTGTGATTTAATTGATACCGAAAATTTTGTACACTACAATTCTGCATTGTACCTAGTAAATATTCTGTGTTATTAGTCTCAGAAAAATATCGACAAACCAAAATCATGTCATCGTTTTTGTTCTGTGTGTTTCTTGTGGTGTACTGAAGCATTGGCTATAAATTCTTTAGGAAAGCCCAAGGAGAAAAAAACAAAAGCTTCCCCACCTCTCAAGAAACCGAAAGAGAAACCAAAAAAGGGCAAAGGGAAAGGCAAGGCTAAGAAAGAAGAGGAGAAGGAACCAGAACCGCCTCCTAAAGAGCCAACTCCCCCACCACCCCCTAAAGAACCAACCCCACCCCCACCTGAGGTCAAATCTGATGCTGAGTCTGAGCGGGTGAGTTTATTTATCAGGAAAGTTTACATTAATATAAATTATATTTATTTTTATTAAAATCTATATAAGAAATTGAGGTCAACATACATAACTCAATGAGCTTAGTCTATTTTTGTGGCCCTTATATTCTGCTGGAATAATCTATGTCGGAAATATTGAGGTTCCAAATGTGCTTCCCCATTTGGATTTATAATAACACCTACTCTAATAAGTAAATAATAATAAGTAAATCTCCAGGGATTTTCATTGAAATTTTTAGTCTTGATATTAAATTTTCAGAAAAAGGTTTATGAAATGTGCATCAATGATGTAATGCCATATCTTTATTTCAGAGAAAGTCTATTTTTAAAAGTATTGATTTTAATATGAAGAAAGCAAAGTCAAAGGTACTAATTGTTTTGTGGTTTCAAGGTCATTCACGTTTGATCTGAAAATGGAGTTTGTACGTGTTTGTCGTCTGCACATACAGACATGGTTTCTCTCTAAGTGTGTCACTCTTCTGTCTTCATCACATTCAGCAACGTGTTTGTTGGTTGAGCCACAGTTTAAAGTAAAAACAAACACTTATTTGATAAAGAAGTGACCCACGTATATAAACTGTGAAGGTTGTATCAAAGTTAAACCTTCCAAAACTTCAGACAGAAATTTGGAGAATGCTAGTATATTTTTCTATGGATCTTTTTGTTTTCGCTATTTGGGATTGGGGCTGGTGACTATGGAATTGGGAAATTGGGTGAAAGTATTTCAAATTGGGAATTTATTTATTGTACCAAGTATTGATATTTTTACAAATTATTATCTAAAGCATTAAGATCATAATAAATGAAAGTTAGAAAAATAATCTATATACTTTTGTTTAAAGATTTGGAGAAAATTTTGGGGAAAATATCACTCATTTCCCCTTTTGAGATTCGGGGCTGAAATTTGGCCCTAAATGGTCCTGTAAAATCCCTCTTCTATACAGAATAGTAGAGTTTAACAAAAGAAACTGAACTAAATACATTTTTATAATGAATTTGTCCTCTATGTGGTGTTTTTTTTTAACTGCTGTTGCCGCAAGACATCTCTTGTATCCAATTCTATGAGTTGATCATATGACAACAATAATGCTATTTTTAGTTTGTCATAATTACTTACCAGAATTCTTTTGAAATTATTTTAGAATTATTTAAAAAATCACATCAACTTTCAGACTAATTTTTTTGATGAGATTACAGGAAAGATAGCACATCACTGCACCAGCCTGCCTTGTGTTTTTTACAGAAAATAATGATAATTTTAAAAATAGATTACTAAAAGAATGAACTTCTTACAAATGAAATGTATCAAACCTATCGGCAAACTTTGTATTATAAACACGAACGTTTCAGAAACGGTCAACTTCAATGTCAATTTTTATCCCGCAGCAGATCATTGGTTGATTCTTTGAAGATTTGTATAGATTGCTTGATTGAACTTTCTAATGTGTATGTGTTAACCGTTCACTCTTGTAATCTTGCGACATTTGACTCTTTGACCTTTGACCCACAGGAGTCCATCTTAGATTCCTACAAGTCGGAGGAGGAGTCTGACTTTGAATTCAACATTGTACGGGACTCTCCGTCACCAGAACCCATTCCACGATCTCTACCGTCGCTCCCATCGTACGATGATAACACGGAGACAGAGAATGAGGACGATGAGGAAGATGTAAGTTATACATTACTTCATTTTAATTCAAATCTCGTTCAATGGCATGTCCTATTTTTATTCAATTTTAGAAATATTTTTTGCATGTTTAGTTTCCAGTTATTCGGTCCAACATGTGGCCCATTGTGGTGAAAAGATCTAAGGAAGAACTAACACAGAATTTTATCTTTTATCTATTTTCTGTTATATATGTCTCTTGTTTTCAGTAATAGTATAGTTTATTTATTTAATGCATGCAAGTTCTGAATAACAATGAGGTATTAGTCTTTTAAATTACAGCATTTTTACGCCACGATTACATTTATTGAAATGTTAGGATTTAAGGTACAAATATTTTAATGATGAAACTGTTTTCTTATTACAGAGAGGAAAGGTAATTCTCCTTATAACATGTGACAGTCCTCCCTGTATATTAACAATCATGTCTACAGTTACAGCTACAAAATACAGGTTTATCACCAGATAAATTATAACATTTACAAAATACAGGGTTATCACCAGATAAATTATAACATTTACAAAATACAGGGTTATCACCAGATAAATTATAACATCTAATAAATACTGGGTTATCACCAGATAAATTATAACATTTACAAAATACAGGGATATCACCAGATAAATTATAACATTTACAAAATACAGGGTTTATAACCAGATGAATTATAACATTTACAAAATACAGGGTTTATCACCAGATAAATTATAACATTTACAAAATACAGGTTTATCACCAGATAAATTATAACATTTACAAAATACTGGGTTTATCTCCAGATAAATTATAACATCAATAAATACAGGGTTAATCTCAAGATAAATTATAACATCTACAAAATACAGGGTTAATCTCAAGATAAATTATAACATCTACAAAATACAGGGTTAATCTCAAGGTAAATTATAACATCTAATAAATATGTGGTTTATCTCCAGATAAATTACAACATCTAATAAATTCAGGTTTTATCTCTAGATAAATTATAACATCTACGAAATACAGGGTTAATCTCCAGATAAATTTTAACATGTAATAAATACAGAGTTTATCACCAGATGAATTATAACATCTACGAAATAAAGGGTTAATCTCAAGATAAATTATAACATCTAGTAAATACATTGTTTATCTCCAGATAAATTATAACATCAAATAAATACAGGGTTTATCACCAGATGAATTATAACATCAAATAAATACAGGGTTTATCTCCAGATAGAATATAACATCTAATAGATACAGGATTTATCACCAGATAAATTATAATCACTAATATATACACGGTTTATCTCCAGATAAATTATAACATCTACAAAATACAGGGATTGTAATCAGAAAAATTAGAAAGAATTTATCTCAAGCCATTTACAAAGTTTACAAAATAGAGGATTGCTGCAGAAAAAATACTAACATTTACAAGATAAAGGGTTTATTTCAAGGAAAAAATGTATTAATACTTGCAAATAAAGATCTTCTATTAAAGAAAATGTAGTGGGAGAAATGAACTGGTAACAAATTGTGTGAATAGAAAATAATATTTGTAAGTTTACAATAAACAGATGTTTTACTGCGACCGGCCACATAAACATTTTTATCTCAACAATTGTAAATTTCAACTGTAGACATGATGAAACCTCCACATCAACCATTTTTTCTTTATTTTTAATTAATAAAAAAAAATACCAAAATGTCACATATTTCGTCTTTGCGTATTGCAGAGTTATCTTCTCCTGGGAGCAGGGGTTGATTGTTACGTCACTTGTTTGTGAGAGTAACGTCATCAATTTTCGAGAAAACGACGTAATTTTCTCGCACAAATCAATGACGTAACAATCAATACCTGCTCCCAAGAGAAGATAACTCTGCAATACGCAAAGATGGAATATATAATGTGTTAATCTACGATGTGGATAACTTTCACCGTCCTATATATATATATATATGTACAGTTGTTCACATGTCTTTCTCTAATGTATAAACCAACGTCCACAACTTTCACATGTTAACAGTGTGACTTTCTAGCCTAGAGCATTCTGATGTTTGGTCTTCACAGGAGACTTTTATTACTTGTCTAGATTTTTATTACTTGTCTAGATTTTGTTGTCATTTGTTTTAGCTTTGTAGATGATGACTTCCACTAGATTTGTTTCAGAGATTTTTCATTCATCTGAAACCAAAACATCTTTGCATGCAGGGTCTTGAATTTAAATATCTTAAAAATAAGACTTAATGTAATTAGTTTCCTGTAAAAGTTTGGTGTTATGTTATTTATTTAATTAAAAAGTTAAAACTGAAATCAAATTTTAAAATCACCAAATTGAAGTTGTACAAATATTTTAAGCTTTTGCTTGATGGATAATATATTTAAAAAAAAAAAAAAAAAAACTTTGACAATTCATTAACATATTCTTGGATAGTAGCACAGTTTTGTTTTTTGACATTATACACCTTAATGAATAGACATCTGTTTATTCTGATAGCTCTGATGAAATCATTTGTTTTGATAGGCATATAGATTACAATATCATATACTTATAGTAATATTTAGATAATTTAAGAAAACTAAGAATTTGTATAAAATGAAAAAAAAGGTATGTAAAAATGGGAACAACTTTTAGATACCATTTGTTATGTTACAGTAAAAAGGCCAATTATATCCCTTTTTATGAATTCACAGTCAGTATTTTTGATATTTGTTAGTAAGATTTAGCAGTTACTAATTTTGAAAATTTGTTTTTAAAAATATTTTTTTGTGATGTCTAGACCTGAATCTTGCAGGTTTGGTTTTATTTTCAATACTATTTTAAATATATGCCCTTGGTTACTTAGGGATTAAATATGAAGTGATTTTTTTTTGTTTTAACTTTTTCATGTTTTGTAGATGTGCAAAATAGATATTGTACAATTTTTATTGATAGTCACTAGTAATAGTTAATACATTGGATGTAGATTCTTGTTAGAAATTCAGTAAATATTTAGAAGATATATCAAATATTAAATTAAGCTTTTCACTATATATGTAGCCAAAAGATTTATTTTAGTCTTTTGAATTAAGTTATTTTCTGTATGATAATGGATTTGATTAATTTAAGGTTTGCTTTAGCAATATAATATATTTTATTCTGGAAGAATTTTAATTCAATTTATATTTAAGCAATCCATTTCTGGATTAAAATAAAATTGAAAGGTATTTTTTTTTAATTATTTGTATATAATATGATCATTGAATGAATATTTAAAAATGATTTAAATTTGTTGATGTTTATATGAAAAAAAATATCTCAAGTTTTTATTCTAGAATTTTATATGACCATGTTAAATCAAAAATTTATATTTCTTGAAAGATGTTGCACCAAACTTATCATAATTAATAATATATAAAAAAATCAAGGTATGTAAAAATATATTAGTTTAAGGATCCCTGTACCACTGCAAAAAAATGTAACTAAGTGTTGGAAACTGCCTTTTCCGGCATTACTATAACCTTGATAAATCATTTCTGGAAAGAAAACCATACCTTCAGGTGTTTCTATGAAAAACAATAAAGATGATTTTTTTTAATTCAACAAGAGTGTCTTGATTGTAAAAATATTAGAGGGGCAAGAGGGGGATTCAAACCCTGGACTTGTTTATTATTATCATTATACTGTTACTGTTACCAGTTGAGCTACCTGGTCAACGCTCAAATTTGCTACAGTTATATACAAAGGGAAGTTAAGGGGAGGTAACTGCATATAAGGAAAACTGCAGTGCAGTGGGACAGGGATCCTTAAGGTCACACATGACTATATTAAGGATACAAGCATTTTTAGGCTTGGCCTTGAAATTCCTACACCAGAGAAGAAGTATATAAACTGTAAATTATGATAAATATATTTATCAAAAATAAATGTATTATTGTTTTGTTCCTTCGGCTGGCTACAGAAACAGAAGAAACAGGTAAACAATTCACCTAATTAATGCATTTTATAATTTTAATTTGCATGTATAATTTATTATTAAACATTCCATTTATTTTTTTGTAGATTTAACTTAGAAAATAATATAAATTATTTCTTTTTTCAGAATTCTTTCTTTTAAAAACTATAGAAATCCATACTTTCTTTAATAATTAATTACTCATTTACTTTAATTACTATAAAATTTACTTTCATCTTAATTAACGGTTGAAGTAGTTACCTGTACATCAATTACTTTTAACGTTCCCAAAATAATATTCTGAAAAATTATACTAATATTTCTAAGTTCTGAAAGAAATATTTTAGTAAGAGAATATATTAAGGAAAACATTGTGTCCAAAAAAGCATTGTTGAGGACCTCATATCGTTTTTAGGTTGCAAAAATTGATATATTTAAGCTTTTCATTTTGAAAAAAATATTTCAAGTTCTGTACAGCACCAATATTAATCATGTTTTATTTGCACTTTATGCTCGACCTGAATAAAATGAATGAGTTACGATTGTCATGAATGTATTGTCCGTATGAGAGAGCGAGAGAGAGAGAGAGAGATTTAGTAAGCACGTTTGACTGTCAGCAGTGTTGCATGGAACTTGTACTCCTCCAATTTTGTTCCAGGAACAGAACTGCGATAGTTAGAACCAGTGAAAATAATGATACGCTAAATAGCAATTAGTTAATAAATAAGGTTAAGACTTGTGTACTTAGTCAGTATTCAATACCCTCGACTCAGATAATTTCAATTGCGATTTTAAGTAAGAAGCCCTTTTCTTGTGCTGTCATAAAAAAATAAAATAAAAATATGATTCAATATTACTGTTTGGAAATTTAAAATTTCTCAATACATAAAACTGAAAAAATGTTGTAGTGTGTCAATTAAAAATATAGGTATTTACCAAGGTTAAGGCCAGTGATTTTATGTGCCAGCGATAGGAAACCTACTTAAACCTGTCTTTGAAGCAACATTATTAATAAAACTTGGTTAAAGGGGTTTAATTATTTATATTTTTTTCACATTTTAGACTTGGGGAAAGGTGGTTATTATAGTTTTTTATATTATATATTATGCAGATATAGCAACCTATACGTCTTACGGTCTCAATAAAAAATAAGTATGTTTGGCGTAATTTCTCTATAAAAATTAAGTATGTTTGGCATAATACGACTGATCCAGGAAAAACAATCTGAATTTTATTGATTGATTCTACTGCAATATATTTTTATATAAAATCCAAATGTAATGAAGTTCCCATATTGTTTAACTGACATTTATAAATAGAGGATATTTCGATTGCTTATGTGACTGTGTCAAGTTAATGAAACAAAATGGACGCATTATTTCTGTTGACTGACTCTACTGATTAGAGTTAATTAAAACTAATGTTTTTTTCTTTGTCAGAAAAAGAAAACATTTTACCAATAATGTACCTTCCTTCCCAGATAAAAAAAAAACTTGGTCAGGTTACCCAAACAAAAAATGTTAATGGTGGCCTAATATGCCTATGTCTGTAACAATATGGTCAGATAAATATAGTAAACAAATTACTCTATTCTATTGTGTCATATATCAGTTATAAAGTATGGAAACATAATTACCAAAAAATTCAGTAAGCTGGTACATATTAACCCTCAATATAATGCCCTTAGTTTCATTTGAAATCTCTTTACTGCCCCAATATGTCCTTTTTTGCTAATTTTCTTTCAAATTCTTCTTTACATTTGCTTCAACTCATCACTAAGTGTTTTTACTGTCACCATATTTCAATGTCCTTTTTCTCCATTCATTAAGAAGTCCTATATATATTTCCCTCAACTTATCGCCAGACCCCTTTATAACGCAAAATTTAGTTGGACAAATGGTGGCAGTATAACAAGGTTTTACTGTATATCAATTAGATACATCATTACTAAAAGACAGGAAGATATCAATACATGGTCATTTTAACAAAGAATTTTTTGAAATTGATGCAAAAGTTGCTATATCTGTAAATTACAAGCATAAGGAAGTGAATTTTGCTTGGCTAAGATTTTCTAATCAAATTATCTTTCCTCTAATTTTTCATGTTCTGTGTAAATTTCTTTGGATATTTGATCCATGTCCAGTAGTTGTGTAGCAGTTAATCTAAAGACATAGTTGTTTGTAGCATCCTCAGCTTAACTCATTCACCCCTGAAATTTCATAATGAACTATTCCAACCTTTTAACTGGAAGAGTTCAAATGTGTCTTCTGGGGTGATGAGTTAACAGGTTGTAAATTCCAAAGTTTACATGTTTTAAAAGATTATTTAAAATCCTGATCCATGCAAATTTTCATATATAGATTTCAATTATTATAATAATAATTGAGATTAAACATTTAAGCTAACCATGTGTTACTGATCCAGGCTGTGATATTTTTTATTCATAGACCCATTTTTTAATTATTTTTGTTAACATATTTAAAATGTCGTCATGTTGCTCTATTTATTACGTACACTGAAAAACGAGAATTCTTTGATCTGCCTTGATGCTAATATTGGGTCTCCTGTGGGTTTTAGACTGTTTTTTTGTCTTATTAATCACCATTTGACCGCCATGAAATACAATTCATATGTGTAGCGTTCATATCATTCATTAAATTTACTCATCTTTATCACAGAAATATATGTTTTGAAACAGGATGTTAATTTTCACTGTATTTTATTAAAAAATCAATCTAAATTTGATGTGCTTTGTATTAATTCATTTTAAATATTACATATTCCTTATATAATATTGTATATTATGAAATTTTATTCTATGATATATACTTTTTTTCACGTAATTTTGCAAGTATTTAATTATAAATGCTATTTTATTTCTTGCACAATTGATTCAATATCATACATGGAATTTATTTGCAATGTATATCATTTTCATTTTAATATTGCTAGAGTGTTTGTTGCCAAGGTGAAGTCAATTTTAATGCCGCATTGTTTACCTGCATGTTTTTTGTTTATTTTAATGCCTTAAAAATAAAGAGGGTTAAGAAACAGAAGGTAAATTTGCTTGAACCTGCACAGAACATTATTCTATTATTTGCAGCTAGAGCTTTATAAGCCAGAAGCCAACATATGTGTGTTTTTCTCAGAACTTGGATCACTATTTTGTTTATTTTTAAGCTACTTTTGATTTGTTAAGCACTCTTGAGTGATACTGTCTTTTAGACCTGATATTTATTCTAACATCACTTGGTCCTGTTTAAAATTATAACTCTTTGACTCTATCTACAGTGCTGACATGTTCCAGCCTAAAGGAGGCCGTCTTTTAAAAAGAATGTGCAGTCAGCTTTTTCAAAACAGGTTCTTTTACTAGAAATCATAAAAATGAAATATGTATCAACATTATATGGAGAGTTACATTTAAAAAACAAATATGAATAAATATTAATGGTGTAATTGTTCAGGCGAAAACAAATGGATTTCAATTTGCAAATTCGCTGTATTTAAAATCGTTTTTTTTTAATAATCTTTTTATAATAAATCTTTAAAGTAAATACCAGTTTGAACAACACACATTTCATGAAGCCTTTTTACCAGGTATAATTAGGCCCACTGCAGTGATTTTTAAGGTGATATTTAAAAGCAGTGTTTTTCTTGAAGAATCTAATTTTTAAAAATCATGACAAAACAAATTTTCTATAATCAGGGAGGGGTGAATAAAGTGTTATGAATGAACTGATTTCATCATGATAGTATAAAAAAAAAATCCAATTATCTCAATTTTCTTTTTTTCCAATAATAAAAAAAATAATGCAATATTTCTCCTAGCTGAAAAGTCACAACCCCTGTGGAAAGAAAAATCACTGTCTTAAATTATGCTTTGTATGCTATTTCATTTCACTCGTGGCAACTTTGACCGATGACGTCTTGAGATGAAACAGTCACATATTTTAGTCTGTAAATACTCATTTAGTTTCAGTTGGTTTACACTGTGGATATCTGCTTTAACTTTGCACCATTGCTTGATATTTATTATTTGTTGGCAATGCTGAAATGCATCACAATTGTTAATCACTGCAGGGACATGTTTGATGCTTACTTCAGTTGCAGCAGCTGTTTTGACGTATTAGAAAGTGCATTGGCTTCACTTGCCGTGTGTGCTTGATGACCGGCACTGAAAACAATAACATGTATTAAACTTACAGACACTGTATTTTTCAAAATGTATTATTAACAGATGTTTCCGCTGAAATTCAGCCACGAATACTCACTCTAAATTAAAGTTTGATTTCGTACTTGCCACTGCGTAACAGATTACAGATGTTCTTTTAGTGATGCACCATCGAAGTGTAACAAGTATATTTAAACCAGAGTACATAAAAACATACTAATATTAGTTATTTCAGAAATTACCATATCCCCGACAGTAAAGAAAGGGAAATATACTATACTAGAATCAGAGGGTCCATTTGTCTGTTCAATTTGTCTGACACATCGCAACTTCACTTCTCAACCAGTTTTGAAGAACCTGGATACATTTAAAAATTACCAGTCAATTTTACTTTTATAATTTGTTATTGAAATTTCATTAAATTTACTGCTACATACCTTCTACTTAGAGCAGTTTCTTTATGAAATTTTGTACACATGAAGGTACCATAGATAGTTGTGAAGTATTTTTTCTTCATTTCAATTTGTATTGGAGTTATGCCCCTTTTCTGATAATTTCTTTTTTATTGGGGCATTGGGTACTAGTTAGCCTATGGCTTACAATTTTAGTTCCTATCAAATTACTGGTGAATACATATTTACTGTACAGATCCATATTAGAGCCCACCATAACTGTCAACTATCCCTCATTAGGAGGGCGACTCACTCATTTTGACCTTAATTTACCAATCTCCCTCGAAGCTCCCTCATTCAAGTCCAAACTCAGACAAACTCAAAATCGATATTCTGTAGTCAAATGATCTCCTTTGTACGGCAGGATTTGTGTAATGATCATAACAGGTGTGTCTGAATCAAATGATTGCTTTTTGGAGTTATTTTGATACATAAAAAGGGAAAGATAAATTGAGCAAAGCAGTTTCAGTCATGTTTCATGCACTTTTTCTCTCATTTAAAATGTGGAATGAGAGATCTCCCCCTCATTGGGGGTTTATAGGTTGACCACTATGGCCCAATGCATCTCCCTGATGACTGTAGTTAAGAATTATACATTATTTATGTGTTACCCAGTCTTAAGGTTTTATCATGGATTAGATTTTGAGTTTCTAGTAAGTCATTCTTTAAAATATAATTAAAACAAATAGATTTGGTTGTCCACTGTTGACTCTGTAGTTTGTTTTTCTCATAATTCAAATGTAGATGAAGATCTTGTCATTATTGAAATTGTCTTTAAAAATTAGTTTCGAGTAATGAAACCTATAGCAGTATTAGGAGACGTTATTTTACATGGTAATAAGTAGTTAATGCAATAGGTTTTTTATACAGATAAGCATATAAGCATATCAGAACCTGTTATATTGAGGAAGTGGTGCCTGTAGATTATGTTATATATATTATTTGAACAAAAACTTATCACTATTAGAGCAAAATGCACTCGCTCAAGAGACTCGTACATTATGCAGTATATTATTATATAGTTAGCTTAAATGGAATAATTTTGAAAAGAAAAACATTAAAAAAAAATTGTACATATTTACTCTGTAATATAACATATACAAATATCTAGATATTGAAGTCACAAGGAAATTTATGATAAATGAGTCAAAAATTTGTAATTGTTTTCATTTTGTACTTTGATGAAGAAGATGAATTTTAATCTATAGTGCTTCTTCCCAAAAGGATATTATTTTCTCTCACTAGGGTGTTGTTAATTATAAACCTCAATTATGTTCATCACTTTTCAACGGCGCAAGTTTAAAAAGATGAGAAAACTGTTCATGAACATCAATTTCTGGCGTTTTGATTTACTGCATGTAAATTTTAATATATATGGACAAACTATTCCTGATAGATATTGATGGAGCCAAGTACGTGTTTTCACATTTTAAAATAACCAAGGGACATTACTCTAATTTCCATGATGGTAATTGTGTATTGTTATGTTGTATCAAGGATGAAGCTGCCAGACTCCGACAGATATCTAATAGGGAGGCTCGCGCAGCCAAGCGTGCTGCCCAGGCAGAGAAACGGCGCCAGGAGGTAGACCGGCGGCGGCGAGAACGGGACGAACAGTCTAAACGTGAGAAGGAGGAATGGGAACGACAAGAACTTCTGAAACAGGAACTGGAGGAAGCAAGGAAACGTAACGAAGAAAACAGAAGGTAATCATCACATACACTGTTTGTAAAAAAACAAACATGTATGTTATGAAAGTGAAAGTAAAAATTTTAAAATGACAATAATCTAGGTGAAATAATAAATGAGTTGATACATGTATTTTAAAAATAAAATCAATCTGTTCTAGTGTTGATTTAGAAATATAATTTTTTCCGTACCTGTGATTTTCAGAATTAACACTGTCCTTATGAAAAGGTTCTAGATGCATTTCTATGAATAATCATACCCTTGAAAAAGACAGCTATACAATAAATTCTATATAGCCTACAGATATCACTGGAATTTATACATTTAAAGTAGGATTATGATCACAACATACTCAAGCATCACCAATTAAATTTATTTGGCCGACTAGTTTCGCCTCTGTAGGTGAGGCTTCATCAGGAATTGATAAAGAAATATTTGCACACTACAGTATAAGTTCCTTATGTAACTTTTTCAAGAAATGTAAAAGTTCTATTTATCTCCCTTCCAGACGTAGACGAGAGGCAGAAGCAGAGGAAAATGAACAAGAGCTTCTAGAAGAGCAAAACAGACAGAAAGCGCTTCAAGCAGAACAGGAACGAGAGAAGAGAAGGAGGGAGGAATACCAGAGAAAACTAGAAGAAATGAAGAAGAAGCAAATTTTGGAAGAACAAAAAAGACATGGTAGATATTTAGTTTTTAATTTTGTACCTAGATAATTTGTGTCAGTTACCAAAACTTAAGTGTCATGAACACCAGGATTTAGAAATTTTGTTCAATTGTTTGGATCAATAATTGCATCCATGCAACAGCTAAGATCATGTAAGGAGGGTTTCAGCAGATGAATTGACCTGGCAACGTTAAAAGATAGAAGTATCTCACTGAAATGTTATAACCTGGAAAATGTATAATGATACTGCGTTTTCACCAAAGGCTGAGATTGAAAGTAAGTTTCTATATGCATTTCACGTTTGCATTGGCAAAGATCTCCAAATTCCACCAATTGCCTATTAGATAAATGGATCACAAGGTCATTTCTAAAGATTTAGCTAGGTTTCAACATCCTGTTAACAGCGAAAGTTATTTAAGGATGTGCCTCCATGTATGTAATGTATACATGTGTGTATGTATATTGTATGACTGATGTCTGTGTATTTGCCTCCTTGTGATGGTGCAGATCTGACGCCGACTTTAGAGTGCTTCCCCACTGAAATACCTTGCTAAGGAAACCATTCTAAAGGAAAAGAGTAAAAAGTAAAATAATGTTGTTATAAAGGGCTGGCGCAAGGACTTTTCTTGGATCTGCCCATCTCCAGATCTCTATGTGGGTTACAAGTGTTGTGGCAGCTTTTATTTTTATGTTAAATTAAATAATTCGTCATTTTGCATTGTGTTTTACAGAGGAATCGATGAAGAAAATGAAAGAAGAAGAGGAGAGACGCTTAGCTGAGGAAGAAATGATGGCAAAGATGGCGCAAGAAGAAAGAGTAGCATATGAGGAAAAGAAAAGAAGGGAAGAGGAGGAAAGAAAGAGAAAAGAAGAAGAAGAAAGGTACAGTACATAGGTTTATCATTGATAAAGTAAATCCATTAAAAAGGTAGTAGATATTTAGGGTTATGACTATCTTTCCCATTATCTTGCATGACATGTCAGTTTGTAGGACCGACTTTACTAAGGAGTGTTTGTTTACTATGGATTAAACCTCCCTTACATAGTAAAATTTCACAAAATGACTGCGATATAAGGTGATTTTTTTACCTCTTCTGGGGACAAAAAGTCTGCCCCTTGTGATGTATGTATTTTCCCAAAATCACAATTTTGCACAAATAAAAAAAATGTAACTACATGTATACAACAAAACTTAATCATTCAATTGTTTGTCCATCAAAAAGTCCTGGTTGTAAAGTTACCGGTGATGATTTGAATATCAATGACACACCAGAACATTAAACTAGATTTTCTTTCACATTTTTCCAAAAGCATGGCCTGACACCATATTCCCCCCCAAAACCCCACAGGGACTTGAAACACTCCTACATGTATGACCCAGAATAAAAAAAAAATACCCCATGGTCCAACCCCAAGATCACTATCTATTATTGACAAATGCAATAATAAGTGATCTGGGGGTCGGACCATGAGGTATTTTTTTATTCTGGGTCATAGGAACGTGTCAAGTCCCTGTGCAACACCCCAAAAACACGCTAATGGCATAATGCTATAATATTGAATTGATTGTACATAGTGAAGCGGATGTAAAATCAATCAATCAATCAATAAATCAATTAACATTTGAATTTTAGAATCTTCATTTCCCCATCTTAAATCAATGAAAAGACTTATATTATACTTATTTTGTATTGACCACAATGTGTTTCAAATTATATTGATGATATAAAGACAGCAATGCCTGCTCCACCAAGATCCTTTTAAAACTTATTGAATTTTGTTTTTAAGGAATACCTTTGATTTTTCTGTCAACAGGATCAAAAGGGAGGAAGAAGCAAAGAAAGCTATGGAGGAAGCGAGGAAGCTAGCGGAGGAAATGGCACGGCGACAGGCCGAGTTGGAGGCTCGCCTCAAGTTCAACCACACCATACAGGTCGAGTCGTCTGGCATGACTCACTCTCAGAGCATGACTCGTGCGTTCGTCTTCTCCTACTACGAACTTCTGTCATGGCTCGGACTTGATATCCCCGAGTTTGAGCTACTCAAACTCAACCAGTATTAGTTCCTCACCATCATATACTCAGGTTGTATTAGTTTTCATTAAGGATCCTCGTACCACTGCCAAAAAGATATGTATTGGAAACTTTTTCACCTTTTCCTCATATGAATGTAGAATTGATAAATCATTGGTGAAAAAAAATATCTAAATCTTTTATGAAAAGTATGATTAGGATGAAATAAACACAAAACATATTAACATTAGTGTTCAGAGTGCAAAAATGCAATGTTCCTAGATGAGGAATCGAAGCTAAAACCTTCTAATCTAGGGACTGTCGGTCTAATCATCTGAGCTTCCAGGTCAACAGGTTTTCACTGGCCGAGTCGCACTACAGCTACATCTAAAACAATATTAAGGGGAGGTAATTGTACCTACAAAAAGCTACAGCAGAACTCTTTATGTTTTACCTCAGTGGGACAGGGATCCTTAAGGGATTTAGTGTAATTATAAAAAAAAACTTTTTAATCTTGCTAGATAGGGGTAAATAAATTATTTAAGTCATCATTATGTGATAATTGATGTAATTCTTATATGTGTCAATGGCCTTATAATTCAAAAATGATTTATTTTAATGTCAGGAAGAATTACATACAAAATATTAGGTCAATTTCACGGTTGTTCATTGTTTTTATGTGTTTATGCTATGTTTGGACATTCAACATTGCTAGGTGGTATCAGAAAGGGGAGACTACTAGAATGCTCCAATAAGGGGAGATAATTCTAAAGCATCGGGTAATGAAATATTACAGAAAATTTCACTTCATGGTTGGCACTGGGTATTTAAATATTCCCAATATTACTTTAAATGCTACAATGATTTATTTATCAGAATGATCGTTATAGACCACTTGTAAAAGCTATAATTTGATAGTTCTATCTGATTCTTATAAAGTTGTTACATGACAACAGGCAAAGTTAGTAGTAATAATCTAATAAGGGGAAAGAATCCATTAGTCTACCTTTGATCAACTATTTTTTAAGTGAATACCCAATTTTCTTTTGATATCTCGACAAATCAGGGGTTATATTACAGCAACATTGATGGTGGTTTATGCATGAAAATAGTTTTTTTTACGATTGATCCAGTATGCCTTATATATACTAAGATTCTGGCATACTTTTCTGTAAGGATTTCAATGCTTTGGAATATTTTCTTGGCATTCACAGGGTATCCAGATTTAAGTATTTGTCAGTATTTCTATTTTCAGTATGTCATTCAAAGAAAGTTTAAACAATGTTGTTCACAGCTTGACATTTTAGTTTTCAAATTGTTAATGCTACTTCGTAAAAATATTTTTAAAATTTTAAAATATTTTTGATAATGTGATATTGTAATGTGTGATATATCTACAAAAATAGTTTATAAATCTAATATTTATAGCCATCCTTTTTTGTTTGTCAAGATATTTTCATACTTATAATGATTATTGTGATATTTTATGGTTGTTGGTTTTCTGAAATAATTTTATAACAATTTTTTTCTGTATTATGCTGTTCAAAAGAAATATTTAGTATTGATAGAAATGTTTTGATTTTTCTTTCCGTCCATCTGCTGCTGATATTTTTATGGAAGCGAAATGTTTACACTGTCATGTATAGCGATGTGTTTTTAATGTATATTTAAATTGCTCAATCGGAATGTGATATAATGGAAACAGTACAGCATTAGAAAGTCTACTATTGCTTCAAGCTTTTCTGTTAGTGTTGTGTAACAAGACCTAGGCCTATGTTAATTGTAAAGCCAGCTGTTCAAAATCGATTTACAGTGTTAAACTTTATACTGCATTACTGTGTACATTATAAGTCACCTTTGTATATATGATATATCAATTAAGTTTATATCAAATGTTCATTTCTAGTTATATAATGTCGTTACTATTACTGTATTTCTACACTGCATGTTTATTTTTAAAATATGTAAATCATGATAAATTCTCTGTAGACTGAATCAGGTGCAGAAGTATATATACCTGAGGAGTTAAAAAAAATTAAGGAGAGACAAGCTTACGTTAATCATAACAGATATATATAAATCAATAACTCTGATTGGTTTATTTAAATCACTGTTTGTACATCTCGAAAGATCAAATAAGAAAATTACCACAAAATAAATCTGGTTGGCCTATTTCCTTTATTATGTGTAGCAGTGACAATCGTTATCCTAACGAGCGCACAAACGGGAGTAATGAAGAATTTATGTAAATTTTAGTTAGTTCCTATGGTCACCATTTGACTATATGAGAATTGAATTTTTTGAAAACTTGTACATTGTTTACAATACTACTTTGAGACTTATTCTAAATCGTTTATATCACGATTTTTGTAGTTCAAATATGGACAGCGAGATCATTTGATGATAGAGATTTATCGGCGATTCCGTAACACGTGGTAAACATGGTGCTGTAACCGCCAAACTCTGGTTGGCCTTTTAGATACATTTCGTTATTTTTATTTTCAAATTAGTTCTGTTGTAATTCATACACTATATTTTAAATATGTGATATTTATTTACAAGACCGTTTTTGTTTCACAATTGTATCATTTATTACTATTTCCTGTAATTATTATTATTATTAATATTCATTTGTTACAAGTTATTTAGATGTAGATTTCACGTCACTTTTTATTGGTATTTTGAGGTAAGCACAACAGCAGACACAGGGTAGATAGAAGGGCTGTAGTTTAGATTTAGTTTCTATAGACTAATCCATAGACCAGGGTTGTCTTTTTTACTGTTATCCACTCCTGGGGGACCAGGGTCAAATATGGAAAAGTTCTTTTTACATATTTGTTATATATTTCTTCTTCAATATAAATAACGATGTTCATACTAAAGGAGGAAATCACTATATTTTAGTTGATATCCGTTCTCATTCAGAAAAATAACCTGCACATGCGGAAATTTTCACGTGAGCTTATGAAAATTTTGTGTTAAATTCAGCATGCGTTGTACAAACTACCCCCAATATGTACAGAAATCGTAAAGGTTAAGCTGATTTAAAACCAGTGTAAATAAAATCACAAAATTTTTACCCGACCAAAAATTGCATGTGTACAGAATGTATCTAATGATTTGTCTACAATAATCTTCCTCCAAGGTTCGGCCATTTTGGTTCTTGACTAGTGCACTTTCCTTATTGGATTTGAAATAGTGAAGACATTGATAGTTTGAGAAATTATTTCAGAAGCTGATACTTGTTAAACCTTTTAGTGTTTAGATCCTTATTAGAGAAATGCTATTATGAAAAGTATTGTGGCAGAATGAAAACATTTAAATGCAAGGTAAGATAAACATAGATTTGTATGAGAGTTGCTTCCCTTCATTTCATCAGCGTGGTATATACGTAAGTGAGATAGTTACAAGGTTGTTTTTTTTATCTTGCCAGGAAAATTAAAGTTTTCAAGAATTTTGTTAGCAGTTGATTTGGTTGGTTTCTCTGTACCCTTATATTCTATTCAGATTTGGTCACAAGACTTTTTTTCTGCATTGTTGCGTTTTGAAATTTTCAGCATTATGGTTTTTGATATATTTCAAAGAAATTGGTTTCTGCAAGTTTTTAGGAGAGTTGATATCATTTGTTTAAGCAAACTTTATTGCAACCTAGTCATTTCTGCAATCAATAAAACTTTCATAATTGTGGTATTAATTCATTCACCCCTGAAGACACATTTGAATTCTTCCAATTCAAAGGTTGAAATGGTTCATTATGAAATTTCAGGGGTGAATGAGTTAAGATGTTAGCCTGTGATAATTATTTGCCAGCCCTTAATGGAGTTTAATTATCCATATCTTTGGTCTATTTGGTAACTTTTATTTTTTGTGAATTTTGTTCATTTTCAGTTCCAAATAATGGTACGAATACTGCCTATGACTGGAGTTCGTCAGTCATACATTTAAAATTCACATCAACAAACGATAAATTGACAATTTTAAAATCCACACACAACGATCATCTTGTTATAATGTGATCGTTTGTCAAGAGAAATTTGGTATTAAAATGTCTTTTGGAATTATTTTAACCCTTTCACCATTGTAGACCATAATGGACTTATCCAGATCAATGTATGGTAGAGTGTATTAAAGTTACATAGGGGTGAAAGGGTTAAGGGAGAGTAGACTATGAAATAATTGGCCTTGAATAATTTACCCCCCATCATTTGTCAACTGGTATTGCCACATTTTCTATGGTTTTGACAATATATGTTGGAAGTAAACCCTCATTATACTGCCATTATTTCTCAAGTGGGGTGTTGGCACTATAAAGGAATTTGGTGACAGATAGTGGGAGACTTATAATCAAACTCTTAACAAACTATTTGATAAAATAATGAAATGGAACATTGCCAAAGACTGGCAGTAAGTGAGATGTCCAATGAAACAAGCGGCACTATATCAAGGTTTTCATTTGTATATGAATTATATATGTGTATATATTACATGTATTTTTCTAATAGATATTTTAGACTTTCAGAATTTGCCTAATTAAATTTAATACATTCAGCTAGATATTCACAAATTTAAGACCTTTGGTTCATTTGTATAAAACAATGAGACACATAATTCAGTTTCTTTGCTGGCAGTAACATTTTAAGTATATCATTACTGTGCACTTGTATTTCAAATATGATCGTTTTGTTAGGGAGCTCACTGATAGGGGAGATAACTCTTCGAATTCTGGAAGATGATGCTCTCATGTTCTTAATGCCTGGTCATATATCCCAGGTCAATTGTATGTGTTCATTATGCACTTTTCCATCTGAAATAAAATATTGCATTTTTATGAAGTCTTTGCTTACTTATTATATTTCTAAATGTGTTGTTTTGGTAATTATTTGGGATAATTTCCTACTTATATACAAGATTTTGTTTCCTTAAAAAAATATGCTACATATAGCTGATCCAATCTTCATATACACATTTTTTTGTATAAAGGAACCTAAACTCATTCACCTCTGAAGTCACATTTGAACTCTTCCAATTCAAAGGTTGGATTAGTTCATTAAGAAATTTCAGGGGTGAAGGAGTTAAGAAAAAGGCTTTGGATATGTAAACCTATTGAACTGTAACAGGAGAAAGAGAAATGCAACGACCAGACCAGGGTTCAAACCCGGGACCCTCCGAACTCTAGACGGACGCTCTATCAATTGAGCTACATGTACTTGCAATTGGTCGCCGACCATATTGATTGACCCATTCAAGTTCTGCTACAGAACAAATGTATTTAGGCCTACAGTAACCATAATTGAGAACTGGAACATTGACAAGTCAGAAAGGGCTCTGTCCTTTGTTCCACCGAATTTATCACCCGTAATCGCCAAGCAGAAGTTAGGCGATCATCTTCAACATTTGAGGTATGGATTATAAGGCGTTATAAGTAAGGATAACTATAGAAAATAGAACAAGTGATAACCCGATAATCTTAACCAATCAGAAATAATGGCGGCCATCAAAATTGTATCAAAACAACAAAAACCAAAGAAGTCAGAAGGCCAGTCAAAGACAAACTTCAGCTTGAAAAGGAAAAGTGGCTACCAACAGCTTTTGGGTATGTAAGTATTGTAGACATTTGAGATTTGTAATATTGTTATAAAATGTTCTCTTGTTGGCTTAAGGTCAATGCAATCTAACAACATATTTTCAGTAAAAAATGTTGTGACATGCAATGCATTGAGGCAGGTCCTTGCGCTATTTATAACTAAATATGAATAATATATGTATGACCAATCTGGAGACGGGGAAGGACAACCACGCCTCGGCGGTTTTCTGTATAGGTGGGATACCATTCACCGATTGCAGGTTTTACAGGGTGTAATTTATTGTCAACAAATGTTTTTGCTACTTTCACTTTACAAAATTGATATGAACGGTTCAAAATATGTAAAATGAAGTTTAAATCAACAAATGGTAGCAATAGAGCTGCTTCCACGGCACGATCTGCCTTTTCATGACCTGATATCCCCACGTGTCCCGGGAACTCAGCATAATGTAACATGACATTTCGAGGTAATTTTATGTAATTATTTGTCAAAGTCAGAAATGGCCGTATAATGTAGTTTGATGGTATGTCACCCCTACGTGTTCTGTTTCTAGTAACACTTGCCTCGATCGATGGCTAACTTGCAATTTTATTTCGACATCCGGTAATCAATAAACTATTAACCACGGAAACAAATGGTATGACGTATAAATGTAAAACCAGGACGAAGAAAAACATAAATTACAAAGAAATGACTGGAAATGACTGGAAATTGTTTGGGTGGTATACACTAAGGGAGGCATGTGCACGGTAGTCAGGTGGTAGGACGCCGGGCTCGTGACCGAAGGGTTGCGGGTTCAAGTCACGGAACGGCATTGTGTTGTGTCTTTGAACAAGATACTTTACTCCGCTTGTTCCAATCTACTCAGCTGTAAATGAGTACCTGGTTGGGCAGTGCTAGAATTGGTGAATGCTAGCTTTGAGCGCCGAAATGGCAGCACCGGCTGTATGCTCCCCAGGTATATATAGATGAGAAAGATATTTGCTGGTTGCAAAGGCCCCATAACCACGGATACTAGTTTGTGAACCGCTTTGACACGACCTACCAACTAGGTTGTGATAAAGCGGTATATCAGAACCTCGAATTATTAATATCATTACTTGTATTACTTGATTGAAAGTATGAAAAATATTTATTTACCTATGGCAATATGATATGATACTAATCGGCATAAAATCAAATTTTTAAAAAATGGCAGCAGCATCACTAAATTTTCAAACAACCATGTCATCATGACCCCCCTATCGTATGTTATCGAGGCGACTTATATTGACCAACTGCAGATTCGAGGGTGCTCTAGACCTTCTGCTTACAGAACACTGAGGAGATCAACATTGATCTACTGTCCCAGCGTAACGTTTTGGATATGTATCTTTTCTCTTTGGCATTCTCATCCCTTTCAACAGCGTCTCACTCAAGACACCCATCTTCATGTGACTTAAACTTTTTCGGAGACGAAAAATCTTAAGAAACCAAACAAAACCATGCTCTCATAAATATAATAGTTTTGATTTTCTCAAGTTGTACCCACGTATGATATTTGGTAAGAGTTCAATGCAATGTCTAAGAAAGGTGTTTTATGTAGGAGGAACCGACGGAAGAAAAACTCTTAATGTCTCTTTTTTATTTCTCCCTTTATCTCAAAATAAATACTTTTTTTTTCAGAAAAGAAATCGTTTCTGTGTCAATTTATAAGAACCACGTAGAGAGCTGAACATATACATCATTTTCTGGGAAAACTAACATTAAACCTCCACTAAAATCCAATTCACTACGTACATTGATTAATCGTGTCTGGTACAAGGATGTTGTTTGATCACGTTTTATTCATTGTGTTGTGTTTTATAACTGCACAGTGTATATAGGTTAAGTCTCGCTTAACCAACATTTAGAAAACACTCAGTGTCACCTGGCCAACATTTCATTTTTACACCTGAGTGAATCTTTGGTTATAACCCCTGTTCTATCACTATATATTAGTATTTCTATGAATGCAAGTACATGTATGTGTAATGACCCATGTAGGTATATATACGAATTATTGATTTGATTATTTAGAGGAGTGAAAAAAAATGGATCAAACGATTATATAACCATAGAGTTTCTTCAATAAATCAAGAAGAAAATTACATTTTAAGATAAAAAAAAAAAAGGCTGTCAGAAAGGAAACCTCATCGCCCCATATGTATTCATAATATTTGTGTATCATTTTACAATAAGTTTTTTTCCGTGGTAATAATAGAAATTTAAAGATATGGATAAGTTTTATTGCGTGGTTATAATTAAAATGTAGAATTAAAGATAAGTTTTATTCCGTGATTATAATTAAAATAGGTATAGATGTAGGTATTAATGATTGTCCTATTTAGATATTTCAAATACTTTAATATGTTTATTGTACCTTTAAGTCTTTGATTTTAGGTGATGATACCGGAATTTATTATAATCCGTAAACGAATCAGACTACTCAAATATGAAATATCAAAAACTATGTCTTTGATAAGCCCACATTTTAAGATGCCTTATATTTAATGCTTGACGCATATTAAAATGTCATGTGTAGGGTATTTATCAGTACCTACACTGTATATGTGTATGTTATACCACGGAATTAGATTAGACTAAGTCCGTGGTATACCTGAACAATACCAAATGTTGGCTAAATATACAGCAATTACCTGTGATTAATTATCTTGTTCTACGACTAACCCCCAGTCTCACCTAGCCACACAAAAATCTGTTTTGCGTACCTTAACCAATACCAAGGGTTGGCTAAGTATGAGGACATCGTTAGCTGGCCTATTGCAGTCACTTGGAAGGGTCGGTCAAACAAGCGTCATCGTGTCATCGTTCGTGATCGTAATTACCGTACGCGTTTGACAAGTTACCTTTATTATCACCTCACACCATGTCATCTTAATATAGAAATGTGTCTGTGTGTTATACAAAATTCACATGTTTAACACATCGTAGGTATTTTTATAGAAACAAACAAAAATATGTTTTTTTCTTAACGTCAAATCACAGAGATAAAAACATATCACTAAAATCGTTTGATGGACTGAAGCATTAAACTAATTTACAAATTAAGCTGGTGAAGCTATACTCGATAAAGGTTAAAAGAAAATAAGGTTACATATTAAGCTTATCATATCCAAGACAAGGTCATATGAACTAAAACGCTCCGCTACATTCATGATCAGCTTGCGCATTGTTTTCTTAGTGTAGAAATGTGTCTGTACTTAATACAAAATTCGCCTTCTTAACACAATTTCTAAGAAACAGACATTCGTGTTTCCCTTACCTTTAAATCGTGGTGATAAAACACATCGTTAAACCCGTTTTATTCATTGAAGCGTGAAAATAATTTTCAAACTAAGCTGACAGAGGTGATAACCGATAGAGGTTATAAGAAAATATTGTTATATATTAAGCTTATCATATCAAAGAGGTCATTCTCATTGAAACACGCCTAAGACGAGCTTAGGATGGCACTGTTGATACAGGTAGAGTATATCGCGATTTCAAATTATATTTGCATACATGCTTTCTCCAGTCGTTAAATGGTTTTGAAATTCAAACTTAATTAATATTTCTTAAAATGAGGTATTATAGTGATAATGGACACGTGCCCACAGATATTTAGGGAAGTGATATGAAGTGGGAATGGAACAAAATTCTCTCGTTATAAATACCCTATATACAAACACATCTAACGCAAAAAGTCGAAAACTACTAAGTATTACGATTCAATCAAATTATTTCATATCTCCATTAAGATACCGATAGGTTTTGTTTTATTTTGTTTAATGTCCTATTAACAGCTAAGGTCATTTAAGGACGTGCCTCCGTATGTGTTTTGCATGTGTGCATGTGTGTCGGACACATGGTATGTTGGTGTACTTGCCACCTTGTGATAGCGCGGATTTGCTGCCGACTTTATAGTGCTATCTCACTGAAATACCAAGCCGAACGCACCCAGTACAGCATTCCGCCCGGTCATATTACCGGGTAATTGACCGTAGTACCTCTAAGTCTGGAGAAGAAGATTTTGAAATTTTGGTTACTTTTCCCTTTGGGTCCCCGCCCTGGCCCTAGGGTTCGGGTACGAATCCCAATTTTACAATTTAAAACCATCTTCCTCCAAGGATAATTATCGAAAAGTAAGAATATTTTCCTACAGAAAAATGTCAAAATATACCCAAAAGTGTTGTTTCCCTATATAAACTATAGTAAACTTTACCCCCTCCCTAAGGGAGAACGGATTGCTTGGGGGTCCTGAAATTTACAACTTAAATAAAGCCCCTGCTGCGCTTTCCATCCATGCAGAGAAAATGACTGTAGTACCTCTGAGTCTTGAGAAGAAGATTGTTGAAATATTGGTTAATTTTCCCTTTTGGTCCCGCCCTGGTCCCTAGGATTAGGGTAGGAATCCCAATTTTACAATTTCGTAGCCGCATCTACCAAGGATGATTCTGACCAAGTTTTGAAAAAAAAATCCATCCACATGTTCTTTAGAAGAAGTTGAAAATGTAAAAAGTTTACGCACGACGGACGACGCACGACGATGGACGGAAAGTGATCGGAATAGGTCACTTGAGCAAAGCTCAGGTGACCTAAAACATCGTTCTCCAAAACAGTTTAAATCATATTTTGAACCCAATGATACGACTAAGGAAGGGCCAATCGACATTTCATGCATGTTTTTAACGTAAAAAGGTACTGAATTGCATATTCTGAACATGAATGACGGTGTGAAACCGAATTGCTTTCAAACACATTTTCCTAGGACGCTTCAGGTAGTGGAGTGATAGACGCATAACGCTATATACTAGTAAGCAACCATCTCATCTGCGAGGAGTTTGCACTCCAAGCTGTGGTAATATATATTAATTCTTTATCGTCAAATATTTACATCTCTCCCTTCTTCAGCTTAGTAAACACTGACTGCGTCGGAATAAGCCTATACACAATGACAAAATGCTCGACGGATTCATACACGTTTCAAATATGGTGCCGTTTACGCTTCAGCGAGATAATATTTCGATGACAGGCATTGATTGGTTTCTTTAACATCTAGAAACATGGAACATATTCTAGATGCACTGTGTCTAATCATACAACAAATGGATTCTGGCAAACTTCCTATTTGTTGGATGCAAAATCAAAATTCTTGGACGGTAAAGTAAAGAATGGCGGCTTCCTTTTGGGACATTCGAACGCGTCACTACCAGAGTAGTGTGTCAATGCGCGTAAATAAGGAGGGTTATAAATTGATAAAATTGTTCAAAATGATTCAATACTTCTTAATTAAAACAAGAGGCCCAAAGGGCCTATATCGCTCACCTGAATATATGTTTAAAATAATTGGTATGAAGTAAAGATATAGCACTCCATGGTAGGTCCTGTAAGTACATATGAAATTTCAGAAAGATCCATCCAGTACTTGAAACATAGCAAGAACAAACTTCAATCAGAGCCCCATCCCTATGCCCTAAGGGGGTCATACCCACCAATTATACAAAATCGAGTCCCCTTGACCCAATGATGTTCCAGACTAAATTAGGATACAATCCCTATGGTAGAAGAAAGATTTTAAAAGTTTTACCTCTATTTCCCCTATTGGGCCCCGCCTCCCTGCCTCTAGGGGGTCAGACACACCATTTATACAAAATCGGTTGCCCTTCACCCAAGGGTGCTTCAAACCAAATTTTGACAAAATCCTGCCATTGAAGAATTTGCTATGTTTCCCCTATTGGGCCCCTCCCTTCTGTCCCCAGAGGGAGGGGGGCACACTCGCTGTTTATACGAAATTGAGTCCCTTTTGCCCAAGGATGCTCAAGACTAATTTAGGATAATATCCCTTAATCTCTATGGTAGAAGAAGGATTTTAAAGGTTTTACCTCTATTTCCCCTATTGGGCCCCGTCCCTCAGGTCCCAGGGGGCCACACCCACCGTTTATACAAAATTGGTTCCCCTTCACCCAAGGATGCTTCAGACCAAATATGGAACAAATCCTTTCATTCCTACAGAAGGAGAAGGATTTTAAAGAATTTGCTATATTTCCCCTATTGGGCTCTGCTCCTCAGCCCTTAGGGGGCCCACACAATACAAAATTGGATCCCCTTCACCCAAGGGTGCTTCAGACCAAATATAGACCAAATCATTTCATTCCTACAGAAGAAGAAGGATTTTAAAGATTAATTTGCTATGTTTCCCCTATCGGGCCCCGCCTCTCAGGCCCCTTGGGGGCCACACCAACGGTTTATACAAAATTGGATCCCCTTAACCCAAGGATGCTTCGGACCAAATATGGAACAAATCCTTTCATTCCTACAAATCCTTTCATTCCTACAGAAGAAGAGGGATTTTAAAGAATTTGCTATATTTCCCCTATTGGGCTCTGCCCCTCAAGCCCCTGGGGGGCCAGACCCACTATTTATACAAAATTGGGTCTTCTCCCCCCTAAGGATGCTCCACACCAAATTTTGTTAAAATCCGCTCAGTGGTTCATGACTAGTAGTGTAAAGTTGACGGTGGACGGACGCAAGACGACGGACGCTGCGGTATGGCATAAGCTCACCATGGTCCTACGGACCAGGTGAGCTAAAATTAATACGATGAAAAGAAGAAAAAATAGTGCTGTTTCCTGGAACTATATTATCCTAGCAACCACGGCTACCGTAGTTACCATCATATCAACCCGCTTCAACTGTTGTTTCTTTGAATATATCATTTAAGTATTTATTTCTGATGTAGATATAAGGATTGCTCTTCACTTTGAATGCGCACACGGTAGTATGAACGCAGTTGGCAACGAACATATTCTTGATGTACCCATAGAATATGTTCGTTGTCAACCGCGTTCATACTACCGTAAACACCGTCAAAAAGGAAGAGCAACCCTTAAATGCGCCATACTTGTGCTTAGTTTATGTGGTTTAAGACAATATTTAAGTTTTAGAAAATTGCGTCATGTTATTGTTATATTTTAGTATCAGACAAGTTATGATTTTCCTTTCAATACTATAAGTGAAATCAAATCCAAAATACCAGTCGAAATATATATCTACTTTCAATTCTATTGTTTAATAAAAAGACTTTCAGTCAAATTTACCTCTGGCATGCAATAAACAAAATGAATTTTCAATTCTTAAAACAGAGGATATATCAGCAGCCTTTTAAGCACATGCTTAAATGTAATGATATTATATCCATTTAACTTTCATGAGCAGATTTTGGTTCTTCTCACGACATTATGCTTTGCCACGGCCTCCCACGACGGTTGTCAGGCATGTATAATAAGAACTTACTGTCCGTCCCAGTTCTTCGGCCTCTCCAAACAACAAGTTTACAATATGATCCATCACCATGGTAACCCTGGACCGTTTGGGAGGAGGAACAACGACGAGACGGAAGCACGGCCAAGGAGACAGTTCTGTTCTGGACCGTGGGCACAGCAGGGGCAATGCTACAATTTCCTCGGAGAGGAAGAATCTGGATGGTTAACAATCGGTTTAAGGGACAATTACGTACGTTTATAAATTCGTTTGTCATTGATGCTATTTATTTCTTGATCTTGCTGTAGGAAAACACTATGCTTTATTTTTCCTGAAGTTAATGATGTTTCACTCTGGCGAAAGATTTAACTCGGAAAAAGAAGCAAAGAATAATACTCTCCTAAAGCAAAGAAAATACATATGATATTAATAAAAATACAACAGTGAAGATGATCAGGCTCCCACGCTATTGTTGTCGTCTGCGTCAGACAATCGGTACTCACATGTGATGGCTCGTGCCAATACCTCTAGAGACGTCCCAAAATAAAAGTGCCCAATCGAAACACGCGAACAGGCAATTACACTCAAGCAATGCCACAAATATTTGTAATACATGTTAAAATGACAGAAATGTTATGCGAGAATATGGAAACTGCATGGCCCAAGTTCTATATAAGAAAATATATATCGTGACCCTTTAATGTTTCAGAGCAGAGTAACGAGAGTCTGGGTTGAGCAAAGAAATATCAACTGGAAATGTCCGCACCACAATACACGTAAGTACACGACCAGCAGAAAACAAATACAAACGTTCATGGGTTTTATGGTTTTTAAAAGGAAAACTTAATAATAATAATTCGAGGTTCTTACATACCGATTTATCACAACCTAGTTCGTAGGTTGTCTCAAAGCGCTTCACAAATAATCATCCGTGGTTATAGGGCCTTTGCAACCAGCCAGTATATCTGTCTAAACTCACTGGGGAGCATACAGTCGGTGCTGCCATTTCGGCGCTCACAGCTAGCATTCAACGATCCTAATACTGCCCAACCACGTACTCATTTACAGCTGAGTAGACTGGCACAGACGGAGTTAAGTATCTTGTTCAAAGATGCAACACAGTGCCGTGACGTGACTCGAACCCGCAACCCTTTGGTCACGAGCCCGGTGTCCTACCACTAGACTACCGTGCCTCCACGATACTTCTTTTCTTTGTAAATGTCCTCCTTATAAGTAAAGTCATCTTTTTTTTTCTTGTAGTCTTAAGGATCCCTGTCCTGCTGCAGACAAAGAACTAGATAATTCCATTGTAGTTGTTCCGACAGGGAGCAACCCCCTCTTAGTTTAGTGTTGGACATGGCAGTAGAGCGACTGTGCCAGGATGTATCCGTGACAGTATAATCCATGGTTCAAATCCCGATATGGCGCCGTTGTAAATAAGGAGACAGAAAACTGTTGATATTTACAAACAAAAGGTCCAGAGGGCCTGTATTGCTCACCTGAATATGTTTAAAATAATTGGTATGAAGTAAAGATATAGCACTCCATGGTAGGTGCTGTAAGTACAGATGAAATTTCAAACAGAGCCCTACCCCTATGACCCTAGGGGGGTCATACCCACCGATTATACAAAATTGAGTCCCCTTTTGCCCAAGGATGCTCCAGACTGAATTAGGATAAAATCCCTCAATCCCTATGGTAGAAGAAGGGTTATAAAAGTTTAACCTCTATTTCCTCTATTGGGCCCCGCCCCTCGGGTCCCAGGGGGGCCACACCCACCGCTTATACAGAACTGGATCACCTTCACCCAAGCAAATCCTTACAAAATTGGTTTCCCTTTACCCAAGGATGCTCCACACCAAATATGGACAAAATCCTTTCATTCCTACAGAAGAAGAAGGATTTTGAAGAAAAATTTACTATGTTTCCTCTCTTGGGCCCCGCCCCTCAGGCCCCTTGCGGGCCAGACTCACGGTTTATACAAATTGTGTTCCCCTTCCCCCAAGGGTGCTTCTGATGAAATATGGAACAAATGCTACATTCCTACAGAAGAAGGATTTTGAAGAATTTGCTATATTTCCCCGATTGGGCCCCTCCCCTCAGCCCCTAGGGGGGTCAGACCCATCGTTTATACAAAATTGGTTTCCCTTTACCCAAGGATGCTCCACACCAAATATGGACAAAATCCTTTCATTCCTACAGAAGAAGAAGGATTTTAAAGAATTTGCTATATTTCCCCTATTGGGCCCCTCCCCTCAGCCCCTAGGGGGGTCAGACCCATCGTTTATACAAAATTGGTTTCCCTTTACCCAAGGATGCTCCTCACCAAATATGGACAAAATCCTGTCATTCCTACAGAAGAAGAAGGATTTTAAAGAATAATTTACTATGTTCCCCCTATTGGGCCCCGCCCATCAGGCCCCTTGCGGGCCAGACTCACGGTTTATACAAATTGTGTTCCCCTTCCCCCAAGGATGCTTCTGATGAAATATTGAACAAATGCTTCATTCCTACAGAAGAAGAAGGATTTTTAAGAATAATTTGCTATATTTCCCCTATTGGGTCCCGCCCCTCAGGTCCCTGGGGACCAGACCCACCATTTATACCAAATTGGTTCTTCTTCACCCAAGGAGGCTCCACCCGATTTTTTTTTTAAATCCGCTCAGTGGTTCATGACTAGTAGTGTAAAGCTGACGGACGACGTTCGCAGGACGACGGACGCTGCGGTATGGTATAAGCTTACCATGGTCCTTCGGACCAGGTGAGCTAAAAACCATAAAAGTCCCGAAAGTTATGGTTTTCTTTTCCGAAATGTTTATTTAAATTTTAGTAATGCCGATATATATTTTGTTTGTTTCCTGTACACAGAGTTATGTGGTATGGTGATCCTTAAAAAATTAGTACATAGCGTTAACCTACTACATCTACATATTACAATATAATCATGTCAGCTGAAAATATTTACATTCTGTATGCTTAGACCCATTGACAAAAATTACATTCATAAATGCATAATACAGGTGTTCATAGAATCTCAGCACGTGGGAACTGATAGTAACCTGATCACACTGCGTAGTAATACACTACAAAAACTACTCACTCGGAACGACCGACCTAGATGCTTAATTCTTACATCTTAAAATATTATTGAACTGTGCTTTGTGAAATATCCACGTATTCACGTGTCCTGTGCTACAAATAAACATTGAATATGGAACTACATTTTGTTGTGTTATTGTTGTTGACGGTTGCTAAGATCTCTCACGATAGTGTCACATTTCCCCGCGAAAAAACACTGTTCTCGCCACTGCGTTGCACCCGTGTATAAGCAGGAACAAACCCTGTTTATTTGTTTTATTCGTTGTTATATCGATCCACTGAAAGGATTCGTCAATGTAAATATAAGGAATGATATTTATTTTTTCAACATTTATGAGGTCATAACAACAATGGGTTTTTGGACATATTTTACATGAATCGCTAACGCGATTCATTCAATATGTCCATAAACCCATTGTTGTTATGACCTCATAAATGTTGAAAAAATAAAAATCATTCCTTAANGTGTAAAGCTGACGGACGACGTTCGCAGGACGACGGACGACGGACGCTGCGGTATGGTATAAGCTTACCATGGTCCTTCGGACCAGGTGAGCTAAAAACCATAAAAGTCCCGAAAGTTATGGTTTTCTTTTCCGAAATGTTTATTTAAATTTTAGTAATGCCCATATATATTTTGTTTGTTTCCTGTACACAGAGTTATGTGGTATGGTGATCCTTAAAAAATTAGTACATAGCGTTAACCTTCTACATCTACATATTACAATATAATCATGTCAGCTGAAAATAAAACACTGTTACATAGGTTTATATCTAGGTCGACCTTATCAGGCCATTTGTTCATTACTTTTCAATAATTCTAACATAATATAAGGTAACGTTTACAAAAACAATACCCTTTATGATGACTGCAGTCTAATCTTATTCCAAAGCGCCAATAAGGATTTGTTACCTATTATCTTCTCTTTATTCAATTCTTGATGGATGACCTATGTTTTTTTCTTCATTCATATGTTAATGGTTGAGCGATAGTTTTCTGTTTTTCATTCATATTTTGATGGTTGATTTATGGTGTTTTTTCTTCATTCCTTCATATTTAAATGGTTGAGCTATGGTTTTTATTCTTCATTCATTATTGATGGTTGACCTATGGTTATGTTTTCTTCATTCATAATTTAATGGTTGACCTATGGTTTTATTTTCTTCATTCATATTTTAATGGTTGACCTATGGTTTTCATTCTTCATTCATTATTGATGGTTGACCTATGGTCATATTTTCTTCATTCATATTTTAATGGTTGACCTATGGTTTTCATTCTTCATTCATTATTGATGGTTGACCTGTGGTCATATTTTCTTCATTCATAATTTATTGGTTGACCTATGGTTTTATTTTCTTCATTCATAATTGATTGGTTGACCTATGTTTTATTCCATAAATATGTTAATGGCTGATATATTTCAAATTATCCACGTTAACAATTCTCCTTACTGTACATCTGATCACAGACGCCCCTGTCCCAATAAAAGTACACGCTACATATGCACCGACAACAAGGGCGATAACTCATGCTGATACAACACCAGTAACTGTTGTTACTAAGGCGCCAACAACGACACCTAAAATGACGACTACGACGTCACGTCCTACCACGCCGACACCAAGCACCACGCATGCTCCAGTGACACATGTAGTTACTATGACGACTGAACAGCCTTCTACAACTGCTGGTAAGTAGGGCCAATAACATATCCTCCAAACTGCTGGTAAGTAGGGCCGATAACATATCCTCCAAACTGCTGTTTATAGGTATAAAGGAATTGAAATAGTAAATGTAGGTCTAGTGTCGTGCTCGAGTCGAGCCCCTGTGGTCTGTCTCCCTCAAATTACATCTTCTAATTTCACTTCCGATGATTGTTGACTGAAACTCTTCAAAGACAGTTACTCTGGTCTTTTAAGCGCTTATAATAGTAACTGAAGCGTTGTGACAAGCGTTAAATTTACAACGTACATGTACTTAAAACCAGAAACAGTACTGAGTATTTCAATGCGGTTTTAAGTTAACGTTAAGTAGTTTTAGCTACTGTAGATGTTTGCGATATGCTAAAACTTTTGAGAACTTTTTGCGCTTGAGCTATTTCAATTTCCTAATAGTAATTGATTGATTTGTAACCCTGAAGCTCCCATAATAAATATGAAATTTCAAAGCATCTTTTTTTTTTTTTTTTTCCAGACACGTGTATAGATGTCGTTGATTGTGAAGCCTATGGTAAAGACTATATTTGCAGAGAGTATCCCGAGGCGGCGAAAGTCACGTGCCGAAAGTCTTGTTCTTACTGCTGAAGTAATCATCAAATTCTTATAAACAAAAACACTGACAAGTCAACTGATGTGTTTTTGAGTTTGTTGGAGATGCACAATATTATCAGTTTGATTCTAAAAAGGTGCGGGAGAAGCAAAAACAAAAATCGGTATCAGTACAATACTATACAATTTCACATGTGTAAGCGCGCTCGAAATTCAGCACATTATCGAATTTTAGCTTACTTCAAATTGATGAATTGGCTCGCTGACAATATGTATGCAATAAAGCAAATTACAAAAAAATAACACAATAGTAATTTAGTGAAATAAAGAAAACAAAAGCGATTAAGTAGGATTATCATCAGAACGCGTTCGTTTACAGGAATTTCCCAAATAATTTAACCAAAATACATTATATGTAACGATTTGTTCTGAAATGCCACAAGGCCTAGAGTAATAATATTTCTCCCGTAGCTCGTTAGAATGGCGGGGCTATCGAATCGACATGTTTTTATGCTAAACGGGTTAAATGTGCTTAAATCTTCTTCTGAAGATCCATGTGGTATAGAAAAATGATAATTGGCTTTTACCCTGCTGGAATGAAGGACTGTCAAACGGTTTTTTCAGACTCACTTTCAGGGTCAGTTCTGCAAATGTGTCATAAACTTCAAATGAGCTTTTCTAAGAATTCACGCTGTCAGTCAGGAATTCGACAAACAGCAATCTAAGAAGTAAAATGACATGTTCCCTGAACACTGAAGGGTCGAAACAAGTGTGAAATAGAAATATTCCTTCAAACCCAAGAGGCAGAGCTCATCGGCATGGCATTTCAGTGAGATGGCACTATAAATTTGGTATAAAATCTGCGCTATCACAAAGAGGCAATCACACCAACACCTGTCTCCTGCATACACACACGCAAGCACGCATACACTACACACATTGAGGCACATCCTCAAATTACTTTAGCTGTTAATTTGACGTTAAATAAAATTAAACCAAACCAAACCAAACCTCATAATTTTTGGCAACAAGAAAATAGATTCTAAATTGTTTTCTAAAATCCCTGCATCTAAAGTAATGTTGTTTGCGGGAGAAATGCCTTTCAATTTTGTTCAAATTGGTTATATTGACTTACGATCCTGTTCTCATCCCAGTCAAATACCTTTAAAACTTTTAAAAATCTATTAAGTCAAGAGAAAAGATATTGAGCTTGTGTTTTAATTGAATACCTTTCTCGCAGATCAACGTTATTCTTACCGAAACCAAGAATCACGAAGTGTCAAGGCGTGTGTGTATGCAGGAGACAGGTGTTGGTGTGATTGCCTCTTTGTGATAGCGCGGATTTTATACCAAATTTATAGTGCTATCTCACTGAAATGCCATGCCGATGAGCTCTGCCTCTTGGGTTTTCTGATTAAAAACATTGACATGCATCCAAAACATGGTAAATCACTATATTTTACAAATAAATTTTAATTTATTTCACATCTAGTAAGCAAGCAGTTCTTACAAATATATTCGCAAGACAGAAATTGAAACAATAGAACACACATTTAATAGGGGAAGAGTTCAAAACTTACTTCAATAGTTTGAAACTGGTTAATTTTGCACGCATAATATTAAAATTTCAAAAATGGTTTTAATTATCACAAAGGAAGCACAAGAAAAATGGATCAGGTAATAATCTTAACAATAAACCAATACACACATAGATCAAAGTGCCTCTAGGATAATACACTCATAGATCAAAGTGCTTAGGACTGTTACATAAAAAACTATATATACACATATAATGCCTAGAAATACATTGCTAGAAGTCTGGAATGAAGGCTAGAACCAAATGGCAAAATCCGTTTGAAAACACTTAAACCTAAAATTTGAACACATTGGCCAAACCAAAATACTTGTTTGTTTTCAGGTACCCTACCTAGTGCTTTTTGTGTGTCTAAACTTGTTTTTGCCCCTTAATAATGAAGCACTGTCAAACAAAATGGCAGAACCTGTTTGAACACACTTAACCCTGAAATTTGAACACATTTGTTTTTTGTCATCAACTCGGGCAAAATAAAACCGTTTTGTGTCCGGTTACCCTATTCCGTCTTTGCGTATTGCAGAGTTATCTTCTCTTGGGAGCAGGTATTGATTGTTATGTCATTGGTTTGTGCAAGAAAATTACGTCGCTTTCTCAAAAACTGATGACGCTACTCTCACAAACAAGTGACGTAACAATCAATACCTGCTCCCAAGAAAAGATAACTCTGCAAACGCAAAGACTGAATACCTATTGTATTTGTTTTTCCAACCCTAAAACTGTTTTGCCAATTTTCAATGAAGCACTGGTTAAGCCTATATCAGGGGTCGACACTTACACTAGTCCGCTAGTCCTGGACTAGTAGATTTTAGCAAGGACTAGTGAATCACCTACCCTAACTGGTCCTTTGGACTTGTTAAAATATGATTTTAAAATAAGAATATAGCTTTTTAAATTTTAGAAAATTGCTTAAAAAAAGATACATAATAATTGTCTAAATTTTCGTAAATTTTCACCATATTTTAAAGCAGTAGTAATTAAGTCCCCTGCAGTCGATCACTTTTGATGTTTCGTGTTAGGTCCTGATGTTTCCTTATCAGAAATCGTGGACTAGTTACATTGGTGAAGAACTAGTAAAGAATCTATTCAACTAGTCCTGTGGACTACCAAGTTAAACAAGTTAATATAATTTATTACCTACCTACTCATATATTTTTTTTGCAGATATAACACATGAGAAAGACTACTTTTTTTGCTTGGCCTAAAGTATGTTTATTTAGTTTCCTACCAACCTAATATTTTCTTGCTTTATTAGATATACTGTATAAAAATTATGAACACACATCGATCAAACTACTCTTCTTGACTCAGTGAAATATTACTTGTTCTGATCATGATGTTGTATAAGGTATCATGTGTCGGTGTGTTTGTATTATGTCTAATGTAAACTAAATATATATCTATGTCAATATCAATATCTTGACATAATACAAGATATGGCACAGTTATAAAAAAAAAGAACACTATGGTCAGCAGTGATCAATCTAGACTTGATTCACCACCATTTATGGGTAGTTTCCCCTTCAGAATAAAAATTCCCGTTCGTTGAATTTCCCCGTTTGCTTCAAAATTCCCCTATTTCAACAAGAAAAAAGCTGATTTTTCTTCAAATTATTTTCCTTATATATGTTTTCTTAAAATTCAACAGTTAAAATGCAAATACTGCATATATATACATTTTCTCCACTTCAGTTAAACAAAAATTCTACAATTTTAAGCTTGAAAATTGAAATATACTTCGAACAAAACATTTATCTTTCACCTTCATGATGCTAGAGCCTTGTATCAAAGTTTTAATTTCCCCCAAATCAGAAAAAAGGTAATTTCCCCTAAAACCTAGATTGATCCCTGGGTCTGTAATATTAAAACACCAGTGGAACATTGCTTTTGTCCATAACAAACTATTACAGATTATACAGTCTCAATAGTAACATATCATGCTTGATTGGTTCAGTTCTGTACAATGTAAACATCAGACTGTCAAAAACCTTATAAACAGTACTGTAAACCACAGTATGTTCATCCTCGGGCCTAAACAAGGGAGATAATTATGACTTGTTCAATGAGTATAGTTGCTTTACTTATTGTGTCAACAACAACAACAGAATCTGTGTTTTAAATACTACTGCAACACATCCTGGTGAATGAATAGCAAAATGAACTATTTGCCAAGGCCACTTGATCTGAAATCTGTCAAAATTGGATTATCTTGACATTTGCCAAAAATTTTGACCATAAAAAAAGGCTTTTACAAAAAAAACTGTATAATCACACTCCTTCAATCCTATATTATTTTGCAGATTCTTTGTCCAGTCATGATTTGTGGAATCTGAAAATTGTCACAAATGCATAGAAATACAAATATTCACACATAAACATATATCCAGACCATATTATGCAATAGATTTATAGTCCACTTCATTATTTAAGCTGCACCATCGAGTACAACATCTCAATCAACACTATTTCGTTTTCGGTCGGACGTCATTTTCAGTTCTTACATAAGAAACTTCATGGCAAGCATATATGTAATCTAATGTTGCTTTTGACTTGAATGTGCATGGTAAGTTTCTATTCAGCCAGAAACTCCTGTATCCAGCATCGTATATATCCTTCAGAATCCACAAGCGATGCAGCCATAGAACCTTTTTATTAGTATAATTTGCATCCCAAAGGTGGTACTCAATGGCAAGCTGCTTGGGTAGCTGGCTAGAAGTTAACAGATCAGGTAAAACATCCCATTCCCAGTATTCTATGTCCATCTTGATAACATCTGGAATCTGGTAAAAATACAAATGTAAAATACATGTATAATAAATGAATCTCACGACAATATTTGAGGTATTCTTATACGAGGGACCCATGGGCCTAAATGGTCACCTGAAGTATAAAACTGTATAAACAGCAACTGTCACTCTATGTCAAGGCTTTCAGGCTTAGCCTTTTCATCATGGATCGAATGGTCTTCACCCTTATGTCATATCCATATTTGAAAACAGGAAGTGACACACAAACAGGAATTCCATGACATTACTGTTGATGATGTCACAAGATAATTGATGACATCAGAGTAACTTGATGTCATAATCTATGACACCCTCACTACTACATGTACCTACTGTTGATTCCACTGGGGAAACAAAGACAGAGTTTATCAATCCAGAATTCCTCCATCACCAGTCTCGCCAATTTAGACCCATCCCTGATGAAGGGCTAAGTCCGAAGACTTGGACGTAGAGTGATCGTTGCTATTTATTTTGTTATGTTCACTGTATGAACTTTGTCATAGACACTTTTTAGTGAAACTGTATTTGGTAGGGAGTCTGAGACAAAGTCGTGATCTGTCTTTTTTGTCTTCTTCTTTAAAACCACTAGACCATTCTAGGCAGGAGCTAGGAAAAGCTTTGAAAATATGCTGATCCAGTTGTGTTCATAGCCCTATGAACGCCGTTTCTTATGCTAATAATGCTCATAGAGAAACTTCCAGTAGAAATGTAAATGCAGATAGATGGCACACAACGATAGACAAAAAGGTGACCGAAACACTGCAGCTAAATAGAGACTTTTCTCACATGACTTAATAACATCTATATAATTAATATACATATAACATTGAAAATTTACAAGAGCAACTGAAAAAACCCATCAAAACAACAGACAAACATCAGACCTTTTCAAAAATCTAAAGACAAAACAAATTAATTCAGACCGTCAATAGATGTGTTTCCAATATCACAGGGGCAACATACAAAAATGTTTCCCTGGAGAATACTCTCAGGGCTCCATCATGCATACATGTACTTACAGTTTTATGTCCTAGTTCTGTCATTGTGTCCTTCAGATTCAACATCCTCCATTCTTTATTCCCAATCACATTACGTGATTTACTAGCGATACCAACGTCATGAAAGTACACGAAAGGTTTGGTACTTCTTTGGTAGCTTTCCTGGTTCATACTGTAAAATACACACAACCATTTACTGGTCTGGATAGGAAATAAACAGAATGATTTAAAAGATTTATAACGTTGACTTATTTATCAAAAAGAAACTGCATTTTGTAGTAAAACTAGATTTAACTTGAATCATTGGCTAAAGGATACCCCTACTCCCAACACATGTACAATGTTTGAAGCCCAGGCATTGAGTAGTTGTGGAGAATTGCTGCAGAAACACTGTATTTTAAAATTTGAGGTCAAGGTAAATGTCAAAACAAGGTCACAGTCACCTCATTTATGGTGCAACACACTGCTTTCCTTATAATACACAAAGATTGATGACTACATCATGAAACAACAGCTTAAAAATAAGCTCCGGAAACCATTATTTTTGTACTTGAGGTCAAGGTTAAAGGTCAAATTGAGGTCACAGTGACCTCTTTTTAGGATGCAACACACCACCTCCCCACAATGTAACTATATACAAAGCTTGATGCCAATCTTTAAAACCACACTCAGCACAGACAGACACATAGATGGACGGACAAAGCCAATACTGTTTACCCCAGACTTGATTTATAGAAGGGGTATAAAAAAACAAATATGTTGAAAAATAATTATAATTTTTATTGATTCAGAAAACATGCAACAGTTACAGGTGTCCGAAACTTTCTCAAATATGTTACTTTGAAGAATTTAAATCAGTCTTTTCTTGATTGTCAATTAAATAGATCAAATTTAAGTATCTGGGAGTTTCAAATATACCCGACCAAATAAATATAAAAAACAGAAGCACACAATTTAATTTGTTTGCAATTTGTAAATAATTTTTTTCCGCGACATAAATAGAACTAAAATATAGTGTTTTAGATGCTACTGAGATTTTAGATAAATAGATTTAGCTGGAGGTTAACTTCTGTGAGGCAGTAAGCAAATACATTTGTATCACTTGTTTATTATTAAATATTTTATTTTCTGACAGTGTCATATGTAGCATAATTAAGCTAATCTTACATATCTTGTACATAATGAATTTGTCAGTAACGTATTTGCCGTAAGTAGTGCCCTTCCCCCGTTTTTTGTGAGGAATTGAAAGTATATGGACCCCTCTCCCAGACCTGAACAGGCCCAGTCAATGATTTACAGTACTTGTTCTTTAAAGCAGAAGCTTTTGTCTGGTGATCATGACTTGATATCCTGTGGAGTAGATGAAAGTTTGATTAACAAACCTCCAGCCCCACCGCAATGTTTAAAATGTCCTTCCATCAATAAATGGTTACGTTGCTCAAGTTTTTGCCCCAAGTTTTTGACAAGTACACTTGTAGCTTTGATATCATACAAATTGTAACAAGCTGCTGGTCAGCGTACAGTGCTATACATGTATTGACATAGAGGATGTATCAAGAGTCATGAATAAAACATGGACATATATTCCATGTCTCACTTCAATCAATATACATATTTAAATTCTGGTTGTAGCAGATTGTGTTGTGGGCTGCAGAATACATTTTGTAAACAAGGATCCAAAACACATGCTAGATGTTTGGTTGCATTGAAATACGTGAGCTGTTACTGATCAAAGAGAAAAGAGTAAATAGATGACTTTGAGGGGGCTTAATTTAATCAAACACATGTACACTCTCGCTACACACAAATTTATCAACCTTGATTATTCTTTTTACTGGGTCTTGTGGAGCAATAGTGATTCCCTGCTCATCAGTGTTGGTGTAACTGGACGACATGACGTGATTTTATAGTGTTATCCTCTATTTATAATAGGATCGGCTGATCGATTATAATCGAAAATTGATCGGTTTGCCCTTTCTGATTCTGATATCGATTACATAATCAATATAATCAGTTTATTATTGATATAAACGTGTTAGTTCTGGTTCCTCTTTAACTGTAGATTTATCCCCATTAAACTGTAGATTTATTCCCATTAAACTGTAGATTTATTCCCATTGAACTGTAGATTTATTCTGATTAAACTGTAGATTTATTCTGATTAAACTGTAGATTTATTCCCATTGAACTGTAGATTTATCCCCATTAAACTGTAGATTTATTCCCATTAAACTGTAGATTTATCCCCATTAAACTGTAGATTTATTCCCGTTAAGAAGCCAATTTAATATCTTACCTTGGGTCAAATGAGTGGACTTCACAGTCAAAATCCTTAGCTACAGCATCGTCAAAGGTAAAGTCGTAATTAATCCTGTAAAAATCAAAATAGACGGGTATTTCAAAACAAGACTGAAAATAACATGTATAATGTACCGATAACTGTATCCGATGAAAAAAAAATTGAAAGCTCATTTCATTCGCCACCTAACTTCTCAATTCTTTCAAAATCCTTTTTGCTCTTTTTGTACATTTTCCTCAATTTATTGCCAATCTCCTTTATCAAGCTAAATTTTCTCTGAACAAATCATCGCTGCATATAACAAGGTTTTCCTGTACATTTACAAATTTAAACTTAGCTTGATGTCACAAGTACTAGCAAGTTGTTTGATCTGTCCATTAAGTTGCCCAACTGTCTTATAAACTATTCATTTATTGGACAGTTGTGACATCACAGCCTTGAGGACCGAAGGCCAGGGACAAATAGGGGTTAAGTTAATCTGGCAATATTGCTGCAAAAAAAATAACTTCTACTGATTTCAGTGATATTGATCAATTATGGACTTTTGTCGTGATGAGTATGTGGTTATGTGGACCTGAGAAAGTGATTAACCGAGATGAAGGCAAGGTCAATATCACTTTCTCAGGTCAATATAACCAGAACTGAAATTTAAGTCCATTACTGTTATGTTTGTATGCTTATATGTTATACATACTAAATAATGTTTTAATTATTAAAAAAGATGGAAGGTAGGAAAACTGAACTGAGGAAATAACTGTGTTTGACAGAAAATATTGTGACGTCACAATTGAAATAATGTCATAAAAATTGATATTGACCTGATGTTTCTAAAGAACAGAAACACAGAGTCGATATCACAAATCACCGACCTCCACATGGTTGTGATCCAACCAATGAGAATGTAGGAAAACTCTGTGTTAAATGATACGTATCAATTATAGCCTTTGGCTGAGGTCGATAAATCCAGGTATCGACCTCAGCCAAAGGCTACAATTGTTTTATTATTTTCAAAACAGTAGTGTTAGCAATCTGAAAAACAATCACAGCAAAATTCTACAGAAGCGGGACGACGCGTTTGTTTGGAGTCACGTCATTTTTAGAAACACCCAGTCCTTCAACAAAAATCACACGCTCCAAGTCAATATCGGTTTTTATCGATGGACACGTGATGCACTCCTGGCCAATAACTTGTCGGGAATAATATGAAAAAAAACCAAAGACACTTAAGGATCAGTGGTTAGCAATCCCATCAACACAATGGAACTTTTCCTAATGAGAAAGTCACTTCCCTACAGTAATAAGAACCAATACCGACTCTGTTGGAAATGGTACTATAGCCGCTAAAATCTACACCTTTGTTATTGTTTAAAATCGTGTTACTTATATTTTTAAACATTAATCATTTCCGTTCCTCTTCCGTGTGTTGTTTAAATCCTTGGTCGTATAATCCAAGATACTGTGGACGAAAGTTCTTACATTATTTGTCAGGTTGCTCCAATCTTTTCAGACCATTTTTTGCTAATTTTCAAATATCCAGATATTACACTCCATCATATTTGTCTGTATTAATGGGAAGACTCAACCTTTTGAATATTTTGGTTTTTCTTCTTACAGTTGAACTGCTTTGCTTCCGTTTTCTTTTCCTTTTCACTCATTATTTTGTGTATGAAGTCTATGGTGTCATCCTCAGATATATATATTAGTAAATGTGGCCACATTGAATGGAAAGTGTTTTGCCTTATTTTCCTTCACCCTACTCAAAATTCACTTGTAGACAATTGATACCAAAATAATTTCTTAACCACAACAAAATATTTTGAAGCATCAATGTCAGAAGAAAATTTGTAGATTAAGCCCAATTCATGATCATGCAATGAATCAAACAAGCATTAATTATAACGTCCCATCACCTTACCTGTCCAACAATTCAAGTTATTAATAAAATGAGTATGGTCCATTTCACACACCTGAATACCTGCATTAAGTAAGTGAGGGGTCCAACATGTACTATATATGGTTTTAAGTAAGACATCTACCTCAAACTACCTAAAACATTACCTCAAGCTAATATCCTTAGAAGATAAAGGGAGATAATTTCTCAGATTGCACTGAATGCCATGTTTATTTTTTTAATGATGACATTTATTGATGTTTTTTTTTCAACTTGCCATTTTTTATTTATGTATTCGTTGAGGGAATTCTACAAGTTAATTTTTATCTTTATAGCCATTGTTTAACTCCTACTGTTTGTCAAAATTGAACTTGTAAGTTTTCACTTGAATTCCTCAGTACCCTGAATAAAAGCACTGTTGTTTGGATTTTATGCTTACCCAAAGGAATAGACCTGGCATTTCCCGGGTGTCAGAAACTGTTTCTCTACACACAGGTCCCATCCGCCATCATTCCGGTTCCCGAGCCGGATAGGTCTCTTGCATATAGTCTGTACTGTGCTTAGGTACCTGTCAATCGAAGTGAGTTGTCATGGTGATATAATCGAAGTATTATGCATGAAAATCTCATTTGAGTTTTAATTTATAAGTACATTGTACACTTTATATCAATCAACAGTTGAGTTTACCATAGTGGCCATAATGAGTGCCCTGCCCCTAAAAGTGACCCTGACCCCCTTTTTTTGAGGAGGTGAAATTACGTAGACCTTTGCAAGTCCTGACCAGACCCAGCGAATGATTCATAGTACTTAATTTAAATGCTTTACTTAAGAGAGTTATATGTGTGCATGGTGAGCATGGCTAGACTTTCTTTGAAGTTGATAAAATATTTGATTTCCAAATCTCCAGAAACACTGGAAAGTTTATTATATCCTTTGCTGACAACAATGGTTGCTGTCACACAACTTTTTCTGCCGTAGCTCACATTTTATTATCCTAATAAGTGCCTTCAGTTTAAAGCAGCTTTTAAGTGCCCTGGGTGCTATAATTACAGCAATTACGGTATATCATATCTAATACACAATAAATTTGTATCATTTTACATGTTAACAAATCAATTTGTAATTATTTCTCTACTGCTGAATAAAAAGATCAGTAGCTGATGCTAACTTGGACTGTATCAGAGTATTTCTGTTTAAATGTTAATTCATTACTGAGGTTAACAGTTTTTATAAATTATTTTCAAACAATCTTAGCTAAGTGACTTTTCTCTCTAATAATTATAATGTCAATTCACCCATCTTGGAAATATGCAGGAAAACAACGTTATACTGCCTGATGCCACCATTTGTTCTGAGAAATTTTGGCGTTATAAAGGGGTACTGGCATTAAAATGAGAAGAAAGTATAAATGAGAAATAAGGACAAGAGAAAACAGGAATTTGGGATGTGTTGGCAATTAACAAAGCTGTAAATGAAATAATGGGCATTATAAAGGGGTAACAGCATTAAAATGAGGGCAAAGTATAATTGAGTAATGAAGAAAAAGAGAAAACAGGACTTTGGGATGTGTTGGTGAATAGCCACGTTGCAAATGAAATGATGGGCATTATAAAGGGGTAACGGCATTAAAATGAGGGCAAAGTATAATTGAGTAATTAAGAAAAAGAGAAAACAGGACTTTGGGATGTGTTAGTGATAAGTTGCAAATGAAATGAAGGGCATTATAAATAAATGAGGTTTTACTGTAGTCATTCAAAGGATATGTGATAAGATCAGCCATTAAAAGCTGTCAAGGGTCCCTGTCCCACTGCACTCTGTTTTTTTCATATGTAGAGTAACCTCCCCTTAATTTCATTCTGCAGATATAATGGCATAACACAGTGGGGACAGGATTCTCCCCTTGATTGGTTAGCTCAGTCCATTAGAGAAATATATACACATGTAACAACCTGAAGTTCAGCATTCAAATCCCGGTCTAGCATGCTGATTTTTTTGTCTCGCTGCCACGAAGTATTGGAATCGAGAATAAGGGGTTGCTTTTCAAGCGACGGCAGTGGTGTCAACATTAAGTGTTTTGCATTTCAGTTACTTTCACTGAACCAAACTTGGACCATAGATGCATAGTACATCCCAACCCATACATCAAATGCTGGATGGGGCCTACTTTTCATGGTCCATTGACTTTGTCAGCATCTCCATCAGGATTTAGTTTTCGCATTTAAGTTAGTTTCTCTGAAATTTCAAGTGCTAGACCAACCAACCTTGACATGTGCATTGATGATAAAACCGGGGCAAAGGCGAGACATCTCAATCTGAATGGCTAATATTTACCATCAGAACACTATCTTAATTATTTTTCATAAAAGTCCTTCAATGTATCATTTCCTTTTCAAGAAAGCATTTACCAAAGTACAGCCATGCCAGAAAAACAGTTTCCTATGTGTAGTTAGTTTCCGGTAGTGTTAAGGAGATCTTTAAATGAACATATTTAACTCTTAGACTGCTAAGCAAGATTTACCTCCCCTTAGACCCAGCCACCAAGTAATTTCAGCTAACGAGGTTTTTAATTAGTGTATTTTATTTAAAAAATCGTAACTTTTTTGTGTTTCATTTGATTGCAATAAGACTATGGTATGTTTTTGAGTTTGAAGTAAACTTTCATTTGCAACCAACTTTGTTTTGAAGTGTTGTCATTTATTCGAGAAATGGGGTGTTGAACAACAAAAACGAANGAAAAAAGTAAGATGCATGATAAGAACTCACATTTGATAAAGTTTTTCCAAGTCCTGCATTGTCATCGCACACATCTCATCCTTCCCCGGTAACAGGTACAGTTCGGTATTAAAATTGTACTCGTAGTTTTTTGTTGTGCGGTTCATACATGTGTAAATGCCTTTTGGAATATTCTGATACTACAAATGAAAGGATTTTAAGTATACATTTCCATCAACTGAAAAAAGATTTCTGCTGAACACTATTCATGGTACCTTCTGGCCAAACATGACTTCTGGCGTAATAGAAATTAAAGATGGAACGTTGAAAAATATACCCCATACTAGACCTGCTATACCAGCCCCTAAGTTATTATGAAGAATTTTTCGATTGCATTTTACCACTAGCTTATCTCCCCCTAGTTAAGAACAAGAAACAGACATCCAAGTCATCAAATAGAGAATTAGCTAGCTGATTTCTTCCCTCAGAGAAAAAAATGACAAGGGGGGAAGAAATCAGCTAACCAATAGTTTTCCCCTAGTTACTAATACAGATGTGGGGGGGGGGGATCAGCTTACCAATAGTTTTCCCCAAATTACTAAAACAGAGGGGGGAGGGGAAATCAGCTAGGCAATAGTTTCCCCCTTGTTACTAATACCGAGAGGGGAAAGAATCAGGTAGCCTTTAGTTTCCCCCCTGATTACTGATACAGAGGGGGGGGGGAAAGAATCAGCTACCAATAGTTTCCCCCTTAGTTACTAATAGAGATGGGGAAAGAATCAGCTAGACAATAGTTTCCCTTTTAGTTACTAATACAGAGGGGGGAAAGAGTCCGCTAGACAAAAGTTTCCCCCTAGTTACTAATACAGAGAGTAGGAAGGAATCAGCTAGCCAATAGTTTCCCCCTAGTTACTAATACAGAGAGGGGGGAAAGAATCAGCTAGACAATAGTTTTCCCTTAGTTACTTATACAGAGAGGGGGGAAAGAATCAGCTAGTCAATAGTTTCCCTTTTAGTTACTAATACAGAGGGGGGAAAGAGTCCGCTAGACAAAAGTTTCCCCCTAGTTACTAATACAGAGAGTAGGAAGGAATCAGCTAGCCAATAGTTTCCCCCTAGTTACTAATACAGAGAGGGGGGAAAGAATCAGCTAGACAATAGTTTCTCCTTAGTTACTTATACAGAGAGGGGGGAAAGAATCAGCTAGTCAATAGTTTCCCTTTTAGTTACTAATACAGAGGGGGGAAAGAGTCCGCTAGACAAAAGTTTCCCCCTAGTTACTAATACAGAGAGTAGGAAGGAATCAGCTAGCCAATAGTTTCCCCCTAGTTTCTAATACAGAGGGGGGAAAGAATCAGCTAGACACTAGTTTCCCCCTAGTTACTAATACAGAGGGGGGAAAGAATCAGCTAGACAATAGTTTCCCCCTAGTTACTAATACAGAGAGGGTGGAAAGAATCAGCTAGACAATAGTTTTCCCTTAGTTACTTATACAGAGAGGGGGGAAAGAATCAGCTAGTCAATAGTTTCCCTTTTAGTTACTAATACAGAGGGGGGAAAGAGTCCGCTAGACAAAAATTTCCCCCTAGTTACTAATACAGAGAGTAGGAAGGAATCAGCTAGCCAATAGTTTCCCCCTAGTTACTAATACAGAGGGGGAAAGAATCAGCTAGCCAATAGTTTCCCCAAGTTACTAATACAAAGGGGGGAAAGAGTCAGCTAGCTAATAGTTTCCCTCTAGTTACTAATACAGAGGGGGGAAAGAATCAGCTAGCTAATTGTTTCCCCAAGTTACTTATACAGGGGGGATGGGGGGAAGAATTAGCTAGCCATTAGTTTCCCCTTTACTACTTATACAAAAGGGAAAAGAATAAGTTAGCCAATGGTCCTCCCAACCCCTGGTTACTAATTCAGAGTGGGGAAGACTCAGCTAGCCAATTGTTTTGCCCAAGTCACTAATACAGAGGGGGCAAAGAATTAGCTAGCTATTGTTGGTTTCCCCACATGTTACTCATACAGAGGGGGGGGGGAAGAATCAGTCAACCAATAGTTCCCCCTCTTTTAAAAATCATTCCATGGGGGAAAGAATCTGCCTGCAAACAACCCTCCTGCTCCTCCCCCATCCATCCACAAATCAATTCCAAGGGGGTAGAGAACCGTAGTTCCCCCCTCCTTAAAAATCAATATCAGCATGCTAATAGTTTGCTCCACCCTAAAAATCAATACAAAAAAATGAAGATAGGGAAAAAGTCAGCTAGTTATTTTCACAGGGAGGAAAAAAAAATTAGCTAGTTGTTTTTTTGCCCGCAGAAACTTTCAGCGGGGGGGGGGGAAAGAAGTGGCTGTTACGTATACACCAGTATGAAAATTTAAAACAATGACGTTCAAAAATCCATATATTTTCATTTTTACTTTATAGAACAATTGTTTGATTTTATGCATTTGTTCTTGAATAATTAATTCATTACTGTGTTTTGTATATGCGTCGTCCTTTAAACAAAGTTGGCGGAACAACCTTATTTAAATGAAATTCAGGCGCCAAGAATTGAACGTAATCATTCAAGCGTTTGACGCAGGGGAATTCTCCATGTTATCCGAAGCAAAGCGACACGACTCTCATTGAACAAGGTTAATCCATAACATCATAAGTTTTTGCTTTCATACTCAAATGAAATGCATTCCTGCTGGTAATGTTCATAAAGTGGGTTGAAGCACAGATGTAAATAAAGAAGGATTGAGCAGCATTGTTTGCAGTGTTCATGCTGGTATGAATGCAAATTGGTTACATACACATGTACATATTTATCATGAAGCCGGGCGCTAGCGTTGTTCAACCCTTATATCATTTTGAAAAAGATTGCATACAAACTAATTTGTCTTGATTCATCCAAGCTCTTTCAGGATATGTGGCCAATTAGGACTTAAATATACAATGTACAACTCCCAACAGAATGTGGTTTATAAACCTTCAATAATTAGCAAGTTTATGAGTATAAGCATCACCGAACGGAATACGTACAGCATCTGGATTCAAATCATCAATTCCTGGGTTTTTTCCAGTAGATTTTGTATTTTGTTTTGAGAATAGATGGCTTGTATGTATCCGGTTCCAGGTTAATAATGCAAACACCACGGCTACTCCAATGATCATCATCTTCAGATATGGCGACCTCATCTTGGAGTGGCAGCTGTAAGAGAAAAGAATGATCCTTAAGGACTCAGTTTAAAATCACAATCGATAATATGTTTGTAATCGGAAGGAGTAAACCGATCGATGATCGATTGCATAATCAGTTCATAATTTTATGGGACTGAATACCCAAATAAAGTGAGAACACTACCATAACATAAATAGACAGAGTTGTTACCTATACACTACCATAACATCAATAGACAGAGTTGTTAACTATACACTACCATAACATCAATAGACAGAGTTGTTAACTATACACTACCATAACATCAATAGACAGAGTTGTTAACTATACACTACCATAACATCAATAGACAGAGTTGTTAACTATACACTACCATAACATCAATAGACAGAGTTGTTAACTATACACTACCATAACATCAATAGACAGAGTTGTTAACTATACACTACCATAACATCAATAGACAGAGTTGTTAACTATACACTACCATAACATCAATAGACAGAGTTGTTAACTATACACTACCATAACATCAATAGACAGAGTTGTTAACTATACACTACCATAACATCAATAGACAGAGTTGTTAACTATACACTACCATAACATCAATAGACAGAGTTGTTAACTATACACTACCATAACATCAATAGACAGAGTTGTTAACTATACACTACCATAACATCAATAGACAGAGTTGTTAACTATACACTACCATAACATCAATAGACAGAGTTGTTAACTATACACTACCATAACATCAATAGACAGAGTTGTTAACTATACACTACCATAACATCAATAGACAGAGTTGTTAACTATACACTACCATAACATCAATAGACAGAGTTGTTAACTATACACTACCATAACATAAATAGACAGAGTTGTTAACTATACCAGGTACATAAGGTTTCGTTCTTTTTAGGGCAATTTTTATTCAGTTTCATCAATCATATAGTAAAAATCATAAGAATATATGACTTTCAACACATTTTTTACGTTGAAATCATTAATTATTAACACTTTGATTTTAATGAAGAACCAATTTTTTTTAAATGGAATTTGTAATCAATAATCAGAATCGGAAAGGACAAACCAATCAATTTTCGATTATAATTGATCATCAGACCATCACTAATGAAAAGATATATTAATTTATATAATTTTTTAATTGTTTGCTTCTGTCCAATTTTTGCTTAGGTTTTTGTTTTTCCTTTTAAAATCCTTTTTATCCTCGTTGTTTTTTTGTGACATCCTTGATATTTTAGAGGTTTGGTTCACTAATGTAAGTTCTTACTTGAAGGCACAGGTTATCTAAGGTAAACAAAAATAGCAGATCAACCGATATTATGACCTTTCCACCAAACCCTCCGAATTATGGTAATTATTTTGATAATTATTTTATGTTTTTGTGACCGATTGATTTTGATAAATAAATCTTAATGCCAAACACTCTGGAAAATTTGTATTAATGATAAAACTATATCACTGAAATTCATATACAGTATGTATATAAATTCAAAGGTAGAAACCTGTTACACTTTTTAGCTTGTCTATTAGAAGAATAGGGGGGTTAATGTAACATCCTCACGGCGTCAGCGTCCCACTTCAAGTGAGCCATTTTAGGTTTGATTACCCACAATATGTAAGGTCATTTTACTTATATGACCTTATACTTAAATATTTGTATATACATCTGTATAGCACACCCTGTAACTTTCCTTTAGCCCAGATTTTGTAGATGTAATGGTTCACCAACATTGTCTACAACAAAATATAATTCTAAAACTAACAATACCAGATTAGCAACCTATTTTGGACACACAGTAGTCCAGTGGTAGGACGCCAGGCTCGTGACTGCACGGCACTGTGTTGTATCTTTGAGCAAGATAGTTTACTCCACTTGTTCCAGTCTACTCAGCTGTAAATGAGGATGTGGTTGCAATTGGGCAGTTCTAGAATTGTTGAATGCTAGCTGTTAGCGCCAAAATGGCAGCACTGGCTGTATGCTCCTCAGGGAGTTGAGAAAGATGTTGGCTGGTTGTAAAGGCCCTACAACCACAGATAATAATTTGTGAACCGCTTCAGTAATCTCTGGTCATGACTGCTGATTGGCGACAAACAATAGCTAGGTCTTGTAACATTGTTATTGTTAGACTGGAGGGCATAACCAACGTGCGAGGCCGTTATTATATTAAATCACTTGTAATTCGTGTTAGTTTTTAGATACACTCTTAAGGTCCGGGGTTTAAACACAATGGTTGCAACTACCTATAATGTAATGTAACAATATCATTAAATAAGGGATGCATCAATTTTTTTGTATTTTTTTGTTATTGTTCATTTTTCATTTTTAACATAATATCTAAACATGAAAAAAGTAGGTTCTCACATGCACACACACACACACACACACGCATACACACGAACATACATGCTATTTTTATTTTTTCTCTTTGCTGTTTCCTCATTTATAATCATAGCAGATCATAAATGCTATTGAATATATATTTTAAATTACTGTATTCAAAACCTATAAGCAAGAAACTAATTATTCAAATCATCAGAGAATTGTTCCTTTGGTAATTAATTCCTTACCTTTAAAATCCAAAACATTTGATTGAACACAACATTTTTTGTTCAGTTTTCAACAAAGAACTCTTTGTGGGGTGTATATAATGTACTGGCAACAGCCAGGGTCACCTGAGAACGGGTGTCTCAGCACACAACGCCCCAAGAGAAAGCATATAGGGAAAAAAGAAGACAAGAAAAGAAAAAGAAAAGATCATGAAGGCAGCAGATCAATCTTGATATCTTACATGTCTTCTTTTTTAGCAATAACTGTAAAACAGGCAATAAATAGCCAATACCCAATTACTATAAATAGCGTCAAAATTGTCTCCAAACAATATATCTATTAGTATTTCAGATATATAAATGTAAAATTATACAAAACTGATAGCATTGTCTAATAAACAAAGCATGTGAAGCAGCATCCATACCTGACCTTCCCCTCAAACCTGTGGCTGTTATAAGTGTATATCCAATATGGCTACAGATCGTGCTGATCGCCCGATTAACATAGTCAGCCCAAACAGGCCAGGTAAATGCTGTTGTAACACTGACCCAGGCTTGCCTTTGTACTGGGTATCCAATACAGTGCTAGTAGTAAAAATAGAAAAAAAGAACTAGGCGCATTCATGTCCCCCCACAATGGGACAAAATTAAAGGTACACAAAGTTAAAGATTTTTTGAAGGAACTCCTAGTAGCCTAAGGTGTAGTAACACCTTCATATAGAGCTTTAAGCAATTCAAGTGTTTTTTTTCTTTTTTGGTTTTACCATAACTATAAGGATTTTTTAAAGAACAAAATCAGATGTCATCGACCTTGCCTTGGGTTCAGTATAGATAGGTTTCTCTAAGGCTGGGAATGTAAGTGTATACATTGTAAAAAAAATATACACAAAATTAAGTGGAGCAACGTTTATTCACAGCGAAGATTGTGTATAGTATGTAATAACACCATCATATACACAAGATGGTGTACTGTGATAACACCATCATATACACAAGCTGGTGAACTGTAGTAACACCATCATATACACAAGATGGTGTACTGTAATAACACCATCATATACACAAGATGGTGTACAGTAATAACACCATCATATACACAAGATGATGTACTGTATTAACACCCATCATATACACAAGATGGTGAACAGTAATAACACCATCATATACACAAGATGGTGTAAAGTAATAACACCCATCATATACACAAGCTGGTGAACACCATCATTTACACAAGATGGTGTACTGTAATAACACCATCATATACACAAGATGGTGTATAGTATGTAATAACACCATCATATACACAAGATGGTGTAAAGTAATAACACCCATCATATACACAAGCTGGTGAACACCATCATTTACACAAGATGGTGAACAGTAATAACACCATCATTTACACAAGATGGTGTATTGTAACAACACCATCATATACACAAGATGGTGTGCAGTAATATTACCATCATATACACAAGATGGTGTATAGTATGTAATAACACCATCATATACACAAGATGGTGTACTGTAATAACACAATCATATACAAGATGGTGTACAGTAACAACACCATCATATACACAAGATGCTGTACAGTAATAACACCATCATATACACAAGCTGGTGTACAGTAATAGCACCATCATATACACAAGCTGATGTACAGTAACAACACCATCATATACACAAGATGCTGTACAGTAATAACACCATCATATACAAATTCAACATTACAGACTTGACACCATCATATACACAAAATGATGAACAGTATGTAAAATCACCATCTTTTTTATCACAGCGGTCACTATCAAAATCAAATATATATTTACACATATCCTACCTGTCAACAGCTGGTCTATAATAGAAATGGAAGGCGAGGAGTATTCATTTCACTGTTTAATGGTTAACTGTTACAGAGATAGTCGCCCAGTACTTATTCAGCAACTAGACACACTACCCAACTTTACCCAGATACACTGTGTGATGACTTCGATGAGTGGAGTGGGGATAAACCACTTTTTGACGACAATGATGAGTGGGGTAGGGATAAACCAATATTTGACAACGTACATTTAATGTTTACCATCAGTGGAGACCAAAACCGACAGAACTTCATGAATGTGATGGGGTCAACTAAAAAGGAATAAAGTGTAGTACAAATGTCACTCTCAGTCCCAATATGTCGGCCTCCTAAAAGATTAATATTTACATATCCTTGCAAAACAAAAGGATCAATCCCCAGGTGTTGTTTCCCTGTTTTTTCTGTGTTTATGCTTTATATTCAGACATATATTACATGCATCAGACATCCTAAAAAGTTGTACTTTTTTTTATATATATGTTTCCATGATTTTCTCACTGAAGAAAACTTTTTGACAATTAATTTATAATATACAGCATATAATATACAGCATATATTCTGGACATTTATGAAGCTTTTGAGATGACCC